ATATTATAAAAAATAATAATATTTTCCTAATTAATAAATTTTATAATTTAATTTTTTAATAATAAAATAATATTTTTATTTTAGGTATGTTTTTATTTAAAAATTCCAATATAATATTTTTTTTTTTTTCAATTTCGTTTAGATTATATATAAGTTATAATAGAGATATTAATATCATTATCGTTGTCGTAGTCATTATTGTCGTCGTTGTCGTTGTTAATGTCGTTGACGTTATTTTTAATAATAAAATAATATTTTTATTTTAGGTATGTTTTTATTTAAAAATTCCAATATAATATTTTTTTTTCAATTTCGTTTAGATTATATATAAGTTATAATGGAAATATTAATATTATTATCGTTGTCGTAGTCATTATTGTCGTCGTTGTCGTTGTTAATGTCGTTGACGTTATCGTTATCGTTGTTGTCGTTATGGTTGTGGTTGTTATTATTGTTGTTGTTGGTGGTGGTGGTGGTGGTGGTGTTGTTGTTGTTGGTGTTGTGGTTGTTGTTAGTGGTCGTTAGGTAGTTGGTTGGGTGGGTAGGTGGGTGGGTGGGTAGATGTGATTATTTGTCGTTGTCGTTGTCGTTGTCGTTGTCGTCGTTGTCGTCGTTGTCGTCGTTGTCGTCGTTGTGCTTGTTGTTCTTGTTGTTCTTGTTGTTCTTGTTGTTCTTGTTGTTCTTGTTGTTCTTATTGTTCTTGTTGTTCTTGTTGTTCTTGTTCTTGTTGTTCTTGTTGTTCTTGTTGTTCTTGTTGTTCTTGTTGTTCTTGTTGTTCTTGTTGTTCTTGTTGTTCTTGTTGTTCTTGTTGTTCTTGTTCTTGTTGTTCTTGTTGTTCTTGGTGTTCTTGGTGTTCTTGGTGTTCTTGGTGTTCTTGGTGTTCTTGGTGTTCTTGGTGTTCTTGGTGTTCTTGGTGTTCTTGGTGTTCTTGGTGGTCTTGGTGTTCTTGGTGTTCTTGGTGCTGTTGTTGGTGCTGTTGTTGGTGCTGTTGTTGGTGCTGTTGTTGGTGCTGTTGTTGGTGCTGTTGTTGGTGCTGTTGTTGGTGCTGTTGTTGGTGCTGTTGTTGGTGCTGTTGTTGGTGCTGTTGTTGGTGCTGTTGTTGGTGTTGTTGTTGGTGTTGTTGTTGGTGGCATGGCAAAAACAAGTTCGTCCTCAATGATGGTGAGGTGTCGCGTGGCCAGGATGTTTGGCAGGGGGGCGACCTGGGGTGACAAGTAATGGTGCTAAGAAAGCTGCGGTCACGGACACAAGAGCATGGTAAAGACAGAGCAGCTAAACAGACCAAGGACAGCAGCAAACATCATTTGCGCGTGAAAGACTCACATGCCTGTAACACGGGCACTCTCAATCAATACCGGTGCGATCTCTACGGGGACTTTGCCCGTGGTGTTGTTGGTGTTGTTGGTACTGTTGGTGTTGTTGTTGGTGTTGTTGGTGGTGGTGTTGTTGGTGTTGTTGGTGTTGTTGGTGTTGTTGGTGTTGTTGGTGTTGTTGGTGTTGTTGGTGTTGTTGGTGTTGTTGGTGTTGTTGGTGTTGTTGGTGCTGTTGGTGCTGTTGGTGCTGTTGGTGCTGTTGGTGCTGTTGGCGCTGTTGGCGCTGTTGGTGTTGTTGGTGTTGTTGGTGTTGTTGGTGTTGTTGGTGTTGTTGGTGTTGTTGGTGTTGTTGGTGTTGTTGGTGTTGTTGGTGTTGTTGGTGTTGTTGGTGTTGTTGTTGTTGTTGCTGCTGCTGCTGTTGCTGCTGCTGCTGCCCCTGCAGCTTTTTTCTTAGTGCCAAAAATCGTCAAATAGGTTGTGTTTTCTTGTGTTTGTGTAACTCTCGGAGCAAAAACCACTGTAAATACATGTACCCATGTTTTTGGCGGGTCGGGATCCCAAAACCACGGTGTTTACGATGTCTTTTGCCTCTGGTAGCAAAAATCACGGTATTTACAGTGTTTTTTGGCCAGCACCTAGCCAAAACATTTGTATTTACGCATGTTTCACCATGTTGCAAGATGTAGTTTCTATATCCGAAAGAACAAAAATACGTACTGTAAATTACAATGTCTTGGGTCTGCTCTTAGGGTGCGTGGGGGGCGTGGAGGAGGGCCTGCATAATCAGGTAACGAGGCTGGCCGCCCTCCCCTTTACTTCGTAAAGCAAAACTCAAGGTAGCCCCACTGGAGCTACCTTTCGTGATATCCTAAATAAATCCCATTCAAAACCCAATAATGCCCTAAACAAGGCCCCAAAAAGCTCTAAGCATTCCCCAAATAAATTCTTCATATACCCCAACTAAATCCAACTAATACAAATAAAGGCTATTAAACTTCGAATCTAAGAGGGAATTATTTTTGTGATTAGAAGCGGGCCATGTCCACGAACACTTGTTCATCAACAAAGCAAGAAAACAACATATTCATTCGCGGTCCGCGGTTGGCAATAATCTTGTGGCTTCCGGCCAGCCCGTCCCGATTGTCCCGCCCATACCGACCGTCCCGGCCATCCAGACCATCCAGACCATCCCAACAACCCCGACCGACCATCCTGATCAAATCCCGACCGTCCCAACAATTCCAACCATCCCAACCATCCGGACCATCCCTACCATCCTGACCAAATTATGACCTATGACGCCGATCCATGAGACACTGATCTATGACGGTGAAGCAGGATACGTCTCTGATGCTGATCCGGACTCAGAGATTCTGATCCCTGACGCTGATTCCATCCGGAAGATTCTGACATGGATTTTACTCAGAGAAAAGTGGAGAAATGAGAAAAATTAAGACAACTTAGGAAAAGCTGAGAAGATGTCTGAAATTCTGAAGAGAATATCAAATAGACTTATTTCAACCCAAAACCATTTCACCTAATAAAAACACATATATCTAGCAAGCACCTTGCAACAACATATATAATTATTGCATTTGTTCTTCGGACAATTAATTTACTATTTAGAAGAGGAGGCAAGGGAGCTGTGATTGGAACCTTGTGAATGACTTTTTCATTCGTACAATCTACCCATCTTTATATCTTTTCCTGAAAGACTCACTTACCCATCGGTCGGCAACGCTTACGAACTAGCCCAAGAAAAAACTTCCTTCAGCCATTATTCAGTCCTCACTTCTGGGTTTCCAATCCCCAAGAAACACCGCCCTAACTAATCAATAATGCGTATCCCTGTTCATAAGTAAACAGTAAAATATAACAGGATGAATAATATAAAAGAACATAGGATGCATGAGATAGATGGAAACAAGTGGATAGATCAAGTACAAAGCTAGACACGCAAAACTAGATTAAGTAGGAAAAAAACAAATAGGATGGATACATTAAGCTAGAAAGCATTCATACTTCAAGGATCTTCAAGGTATATGAGGTTATATGAGATAGAGGAGATAGATGGGATAGAGGAGATAGATAAGCTCAGATATGTGAGGCTGGTAATAGTCAATATATTTATAAAAAAAAATGTCAAACAACAATAGGAATCAATATAACATAGTATATGATGATATAAGCCAGTATAATATATATAATAGGATATAACATCAAATAAAGTAGCATAGATAGATATATAATGATGAATACATCTAAAATGGTATGCACGCATATGACGCACATATGTAAATAACTGTAAATATATAATGCATTGAAATGCATAGACATTTAATACTATGCACATATACGTATCAAATAACTATACTCTATATATATATAATATCATATGTATATTCATTACCATACAAACTATTAAAGTGCGTATTTATATCATGCACCATTCATTAACTTGCCTTTTGATTTGATCTGCTTTCCCTAAGGGTGTACTTGCCCATTGGGCAGAGTCACAAGGGTTCACACAAAACCAAATTGACGTCGTCATGCTCCACTGCTCAATGAGGCTTAGATGGATCGTGGAAGTGGAACTTCTCAACGCCCATGATGGGCATCAAGGTGTCAAAGATCAAGAACTGTCCTGCTGTGAGCGTGCCAATCATGATGCACCTTGGTCCAAGACCAGTCGTGCAAAGCTTGACAAAGCCCGTCTCTTTGGCAATGTTTGCAAGGCGGGAAAGCATGCCACCATCTCCACCGGCACCCTTCTTGTTGATCTTTGAGAGGAGCGAGTCTGCGGGGTGCGAAATGATGGCCGCTGCGACTCCAGCAATGAAGCCAGAGGTCACGGAAACACCCATTTTGGATGCCTTGCTCAGGTTCTCTCTCTTGGTTGGCAATGCACTGTAGATGGAAATCTCTGTGCTGCCCTGAACTGCAAACTTGGCCATGGTGTAGGGGATCTGCTTGAACAGAATTGGAACAAGGCCGGCGTACCAGCCCATGATTCCCTCTCTGGCCATCAACTCCTTCATCGCAGTGAAGGTGCCCTTGGGGAAGGTTGGATCAGACACCTGACGAATTCGAGCTGCTTCCAAGGGGCACAGGAAGATGTCCGCAATGAACTCCGCACAAGCAGAGGCACCAAGCATGATGGGTGTCTTCATGTCCCAAGCCTTTTGGTCACCCAAAGACTTGCAGAACTGGATCTTGAAAAACTCATTGCCACCAAACTTGAACCAGCCTTGCACAAAGTAGCCGGCTGCAGTGGGTCCCAAACCGGTGGCCAGCACGCCAGCACCTTCTTCGGCCACGACTTGCTTACCAACACTCAGCAAACCACCCTGGTACTTCACTGGGTCCAGCTGGATACGAGTCTTCACGACGTCCACTGGACATAAGGCACCATGTGTGATTGAGCAACAAATTCCTCCACACAGGGCACCGTTCAGGTAGTACTTCGGGTCATACTTTGCCCAGTTGTAAAGCGACATCTTGCTGATCAGCAGGAACCAATCAATGTTTGGTCAATCACCGTACAGGTTGCTTGAAGGAAAAGCCACAAAATTCACGATCAGCATCAGACTGCCCTCCTAATTTTCCAAGAGAGTTATGTGAGATATTGCCACACCACACCACCTTAGGCAATGCAATGCTTTTCCTGCATGGTCATGTTTGCAACATATCTTAGAAAAAGAAGCGGCACTCTGATTTTTTGACTATCGCAATCACGTCACATTACATTTGCTTCTGCACTTATCTTGTGCTTGGGTGAAAAGAATTCAGTAGAGCCGGCGATGCGAATCACCGAAGCCATCATCGAATGACCCGTGGACCGGGATAGCCAGGTGCCAAGGATGGCATTTGGTACCTCCACAGACAACCAGAAAGCTGACAAACAAGCAGCAAGCCTATCCATCCCCAATCAGATCGGACAGAAATTTCAACAAAATGCTGCCATGATGCCCTGAGTTGTATTGTACAGGCACAGGTGTGGCCTCACAGCTGTGCTCACAGCTGTGCTGATGCCATGAAAACTGCCCCAGTGCTGTTGCCAAACGCTGCGAAATCTCAGGCGCATGCATATGGACTTCCAGAAAAGTTCACCTCATTTGTGCATCCTTCTTTCGGCTGCTGCAATGGAAAGTTGTGACCACTGACACCGATTCCCAAGGTACTAATATACCCTACTTGTCAACCCTCAACTTGGCCCTGGTCTTCATGACGCCGTAAAACTCACATGGGAACAGAATGCCATGGCGCCTGCGGTGTAGCTGTGAACATCGATCCAGATGCCTCGGCGTGTGTCACCCTGCAAGCCCCAAAAACCTGTGGGTCGTTCTGAGCTCGAGGTGTGAGGGCCATGCATAGCCCTGAGGTCTTGCTGAGGGAACATCATCCTCAGAAGTTCACTGAAGTTCACACAAGAACCACAAAATCTATCATCTCATGATGCGAAAGAGATGTGTTTGGTCATTTTCTTTGCTTATGCCTTTGTGGGTGCCAAAGATGGATATCTCAAACTCCACAGTTGGTGTCCCTGTTGACAAAAGGACACCCATGCGGATAGGCTCCGGACTACATCAACTTCTTCCGACAAGCGAGAGGCTACCTGCACAGCCCGCATCTCGGCCTGCGTCGGCCGTCAAGACAGGATGATCTCATCAAACCACGCCGAAGGCTCCTGGTGCCAGTGCCTGCTTGAAGAACTCGAAGCTATGAATTTACCAATTTCTAGACACTGTCACTGACTCATCTCTGCAGAGTTCAAACACCATCTAAAAGCCCTTTCGATCCAACTTCGAGGCTACACCTCTTCGATCTCTCTTCGGCTTGGAGAAGCAGCTCCGGCCTTGAAGACAATCAAGGGATTTCGATTACATGGCACGATGGTGAAAGCAGATTTGAAATGCTGAACTCAGAAAAGTCCTTAGAATATCTTAGAATATCTTAGAATATCTTAGAATATCTTAGAATATCTTAGAATCAGTTCTAAAGACGCCTGGCACTACATCTTTGGCTTTATATTATGTAATTCGCCTATGACAGTAATCGTGGCCCGAGGGCCCAACCCCATTCTTCTTCGACGCCTTAGAGTCTCCACTTTTCACCACATAGGGGCTGCAAGGGGCTGCTGGATTTGGGGATCTGCTTGACCAGCTGCCCTATCTGCCCTCATGAAGCCTTGAAGAATCTTGGTGCCACTGATTAAGCCATAAATAATGGCTGGCGTTATCGGGCAATTTTCCCTCACCTAGCAGTGACCAAGATTCATAGCACCCAAAATAATCGAACAGCCATAACTATAGTTAATATAACTATATAATAATATCACTGTCTTTCGCTCGACAGGGCTTGGATCTCGAGCTTTACCCCCTTTGCTCACCTGCACGTGCACAGCACGGTTCGCAATCAGAGCCATCGTTCCACAAGTCCAAAGAGGTCTTCAAAGCTTTGCATCAAGTGCCAATCCCATTCAGTAACCCAATAATGAACCATACCCCGTTTACCTAAACACAGTATATTATATAGTTATAATGCACATATATATATATATATATATTATATATATATATGTATATATATATATATATGTATATATATATAGTCAGGGGTATTAGAAAACGATGCCCAAAAATGAGTCCGGTTTTCTAGATTATCTATGTAGCATCCCGTTTGCACGACGGGCAGGTGCAAGTGCAACTGTTGGATATCTGGCCTGTCCATATTCAGGGTCCTGCTCAGGAGTGAAGATCTGCAAAGTCCAACCCATCCCAAAAATAGTACACATAGTCCTTGCAGATCATCTCTAAATGACTCGAAATTTTCTTTTCGTTGTCGAAGTTTATAAAATTCCTTGGTTTTTCTTAAAAAACCGCCAACCAAAAAAGCGTGTCTCTGTGTGTCGATGATCCTTGATTTGGCGCAGCTCCTCATCCCCAAGTTTGCGGAAAGAACCCAGCTTGGTCTCAGCTTTTCGGGTAAAGGAGACCTGCAACTCGTGGAACCAGAATGCTATTGGCATGTCTGTGGCAAACAGCAGAAATGCTCTGTCCTGCCGGGATGCTCCAGTCCCATGTATATAATCAATACATATATATATATAACATTATATCATGTTATATATATATATTCTCAATTCAATCCCAGCCTTCTTTTTGGACCAGCCCTGGGCTCAGACTGTGGCATACACTTTGCCCACGGAGAGACCCGACGGATTCCACGGTGGCATTTCACAGTCTGAGCTCTTTGCAAAAAGCCAAATGAGAATTCCAATGATCAGCGCCACCAGGATGAAGCCCAAGATGAACATCCAAAGCTGCCAGGGCCACCAGGAAATGATGTGGTGACAGATGTGGTGACAGAACGAAGACCAGGTTAGATGTCCAGACGTGGTTAAATAATGGTAAAAGTCTGCATAAAGAATGCAGGGTATGACAGGGTGACGAAGAATGCACATGTTGCTTTCTCAGGCGATCTCGAGAAACCAACATGTCACAAGACATGTCTCATGTCTTCAATTCCAAGGGGTCAATAGCGTCAGAATTTCCTAGCTGAAATTACCCAAGAATTCGCGATATCCGATACAAATTGTCATGGGGAAAATGATTATAAAACGGAAAAAACTGGAGTAGCCGATTTTCAAACATACCCACGTCAATCATGCTAGCAGAAGCGGCAATATCTTAAATGCCTCTGCGTTCGCATTGCTGACCTGACATGTGCAATCAAAGTCGTCCAAAAGACCCCGGTATGCATCTTTCTGGATAAATCGTCTGTTCAAAATGCACTATGCACCTGCACCCCTCAGGTTCCTTCAGTCAAGACTCATTGTTCAACATCAAAAACAGTACCATCATGACATCATGTTCTATTTTTGCAGCATTCCAGTTGAAGACAACGAAAAAAGCTGCCAGCCTGCTTCCTCTCTGCGTTCAGCGGCAGGAAATCGGAATCCTGCGCCTCACGTTGGGAGAAAAAAAAGGCCCAGCGCCTCACGTCCCAAAGAGTTGAACTATTCCATGTTCAAAACAGTTGACATGTTTTCACATTATATCATATTATATATATACAGTATTATTATATGTTATATTATATATTATATATATATATGTGTATTATATTCTATTATATCATATTATATTATACTATATTATATTATATATATATATATGTGTTATATTATACTATATTATATTATATTATATATATGTTATATTATACTATATTATATTATATTGTATTATATTGTATTGTATTATATTGTATTATATTATATTATATTATATTATATTATATATATATATTATTATATATATATATATTATATTATAGTATATATATTATATCATATATATATATTATATTATATATATATATATTATATATATTATATTATATTATATATATATATATATTATTATATATATATTATATTATATATATATATATTATTATATATATATATATATTTTATATTATATATATATTATATTATTATATATATATTATATTATATACATATATATATTATTATATATACATATATATATATATCGTTTAGATGCACTTCAATTCATTTCACATAAGATGGAGGAAAAACATCAGAACTCTTCACAATCTCCACATCACACACACACACCAGCTTCAGATCGGAGCCTGTCGCATGACTGCCTGCGAGTGCATTTGGACTGTCAAGGTTTGAAATGGCAGTGGCATGCATGGCTAAAAGTGAGCTTTGAAACACTCCATTGACTCCACAACTGTCTTATTGGTGCAATATCTTGCGAATGCTTCTCCATCACACCATGAATGTAGCCACTTTGTCAGTTCGCTGCCTAGAAAGTGCATGCTGAAGCAGCATGATGAGGTGATATCAGGGTAGGCCCAGATGGGGTGCTGACCTGCACTCTTGGCAACTTTCCACCCACTGGGGTGTGCTTCAGCATTGCAGCCGTTTCACTCTGCACCTGGCGGGAACAATCCATGGCTGCAATTGTTGCAATAAAATCATGACACGTACGCTGCGTACCTCCAAGTAGAATCTGTCAGAGGTGAGCACACGCGCTGCTTCAGAGTAGGTCTCTTTACCTGCACCATGAACAACGGCTTGTCAGTGCAGCTTCATATCATTTTTGGGGAATCAAAATCTATAGTGACATGATAATGATACATCATGATACAAAAACTGTGTCACGGATTGATTCCCTGTATGGAAATATCATGATCAGAATGATCTTTATCTTCCAATCCCCCGATGGCATGGCCCAATCATCCGTGATAAGTTCGCCATCCATGGCCTTTCTCCGAAAGTTTGAACGCAGCTTTGAAGCCAGGCTCTGCTGTCCTCAGAACGGCTCTGTTCCAAGTTCTACCGCCGCTACAAGGATCGATATCCGGGGCACTTCGCTTTGAGATGGTCATCACAATCATTCAATGATTCAACCCTTTGATGAAAGAAACATGATATGATACAAACTACGCTACATGAATATATATATATATATATGAATCTAGAAATTCTAGAATAACGATAGATATGTTATGTTATGACAAATGTGACAATTTCTTGATGGTCTATACTCAAAAGTCTCCGGTCTGCGTTTTTCCATCGCTGCCTTTTTCATTGCAGCCGTGCGGCTGCAGCCTGCGAATCAGCGGGTTGCCAGTCTGCCACGACCTGGACAGCAACAGCTCTGCAGATTCTTGGGACAACTGGGACACATACAGTAGGAAAATGGAGGTTTTAATGGGAAAACCATAGGAAAATGGATGTTTACCCTCTGGTAAATTAACATACCCTCTGGTTATGACTAACATAGCCATGGTATAGATGGCCTATTTATAGATGGTTTACCTGGGTTTACCGTTCTTAAAAATGGTGGATCTTTCCATGGCGAACTGTTAAATAACTAGATGTAGATAGTTCATTGTGTATTCTATGCAAAATAGTGTCCTTTGCAGAGATGGGGTCACTCAAAGTGAGTTTTGACTTTTATCCGCAAGATCGTCTGTCAAGCTGTCGATTACTGGCAGTAACACTTAGGATATTATTTATATATATATATTATGTAATATACATATATCATATATCAGGATCAAGAGCAGACAAAAAAAAGAATATTTCAAAATACTTCCAAGATCAGCAAAGATCTTCACAGTATATCATATTAATATGATGATATAATATTGTTTCATGCTTCATGCCTGTGGAAACTCTGAACTCTGTCCAATTCGCGGGCTGGCAACTAAGATCCCGAGCTCGAGAGTCACATGCCCGGCCTTTCAAAAGATCGATGGAGAAATGTCTGGGTAATTCGCATAGGGACGCAATAGTCTGCCAGTCTCTGGAAGGGCAAGAAGTGGGACACAATCTGCACTTGCAACTTCCACAATAAATAAAGAATGATAAATAAATAATAAAGATAAATAAAGTGGTTTCAAAATGTTTCAAAATTACAAGTGATGCTCACCTTGTTGTTCAAGTCCAGGACATCGTACTTGGACAATCCTTGCAAATCAAAGGACCGCACAAAAAGAGGCCACAGGATTTCTGTGTCCGAATTGACATGGATCTTAATGATCTTATGATACGCAACATGCCATAACTTTCTACTGACTTCCTTGCAAGTCCTCGAGTATGTCACACTGTATGTCCATTACTCCTCCAACTGTCCAACTGGGGCTCCACACGGGCGTTGGCCGCAATCATCTCTGCATATCTGTCTGACAACTTGGACCTGACAGCAATGCTCGAATGAAATGGTCTGGATGCCATGAGCAATATGACGCTAACAGTCACTACCAGGCATAACTGAAGAGACTGTGTATAGTAATATATACATAAACAGTGGCATCTTTGGTGTCAAATCCTTTCAAGTCCTACATGACTGTGCTAAGACATCCATGAGGCTTCTCCATATCGCACGGTCTGCATGATGCATGCGAGACGAACAGCACGCGTGGGTCCAAGCAACTTGCAACTCGATTTGAGGGTCAAGAGTTTCAGACAGAAGAATCAGAGATGGACTGGCCTTTGTGAGTCAACGATGCATCATGATGCATCCATGTTTCACGCTTCAAAAATGTTCAAAGTTGCGAATTTTGACCCAAGCTCCAAGGTCAAGATGAGACATGATGAGATCATCCTGGCCTTGTGGTGCTGTCAACCAAATTGAGATCGATGCCCTTCACCTGCAATGTGCTTCGCGAATGGCAACATCACTCAGTGGCACTCTGCGGAGCAGTGCTGTACGTATAGATGCACCTATACATGTCCGTGCCATATGTGGTGATACATCATCGTATCACATGCCATTGCAAGTATGGTCCATACACACAGCACATTGCACATCATTGCTCATCATTACACCATATTTATGCATCACGTGACTGGCAGGCTGCAGCAGGCTGCAGCAGGCTGCAGCAGAGGCACCACCAACGCTCCGACACCCAACAGTTTGAGATCTTTGGGATCCACCTGTGACAGCGGCTTCACACAAATTGCAGCTTCAACTCCCTGCCTCAAAATCTCTGAAGTTTCGAGCCATATCCTTTGGTGTTCCTTTGGTGTTCCTTCCCTTCTCTTTGCAGCCTTTTTGTGCAATTTTGTGCATCTCCCTGCCTGACTGCTTGCACGTTCATCTGGCACGACGGTGCAAAGACTTTTCAAAGCGCTTCAAGGCGAAGAAATGTCAAACTTCGCAGAGGATTTGGTCACCGAGGTTCCTGGCCTCTTTGTGGACTGTGAGAGGGGGCCATTGTCACCAGATTTATGCCTGCATGGTCACTGTAAGTTGCCAGCAACGAAAGTGTTCCCTTTCTACATTTTCTACATGGATGTGTCATCGCATAGCACCTACTACTCATCAATAGTGACTCAATAGTGAATGTAGTGATGAGGTATGCTGAGCAACGCTATGATTCTTCTGCAACTGAGCGCCTGCTGTGGTCCAATAGGTCCTTTCACTCGTGGTGGGCAAAGTGGTGGTCTCTGCCGCGGGCTCTGGTGTCGTGGTATCCGTAGCTGTTGTCCTGAAGCGCACAATGATGAACCACGGTGGCAGGTACCAAACCTAGCTCATGAGAAAAACATCAAAGTTCTAAAATGTCCTGTACCGAAAAACAGAGCAAAAGATGACAAAAGTACAACAGTTACGTCTTGTTCTGCGTTTCACAATTTGGAGACTCCGACTGCTAAGCTTATCGCGGGAGGTGGAACTCTGGAATCTCCTCTTTGGACCTCCAAAAAAAAATCCACTAGAGTCGATCCATGTCGATGGATTCCAAGTCATATCGCCCAGCTGGCTAGAAGATTAACAAAGGTTGATATACCCATCCAAAAGTATCAAAAAGTAATCCCATAGATTCTCATCATAAGAATAATTTGATAGATTTGATTTGGGATGAACAATTACTTGGGAAGCGTGAAATACAGGGGCACCAAATGGATCCAAATCAGAACGTGACTGGTCTTAACTGGGGCTGTGACGAGATATCAGCATAGGGAAGTTCCTGCATGGCAAGGGTTTTGAGACGAATAGTTGCAGAAAAAGAAAGCATCATGTGAAAACGTCTGGAAACTACAAGATTCAGTAACTTTGAGGATCTTTTGTTGACCAAACAATCAATATGGTCTTATCTATTCTTACGTCACGGTTCAGTCCTTGCATTGATGCTGAATGTACTCGCCATCCAGAACTTCCTGTGCCTTGCCAAGTCCCCGCTGTGTCAAATCTGTGCCCCGGGTGAGGTGAATAACGATTCGAAGCCAATTCACAGTATGTCATCTATGTTTGGGATGTCCGTTTGGCTACCTGCCATAGATTTTGTGAAGCAATCATCAATAGCTTGTGATCTGTGTCTCCATGTTGCAATCCTCGGTATTCGCCAGCTTCGCCATACTTTTTTCACTAACTTAAAAATCGGCGGTTGCGCCAAGGTTACAACATGCCCCATGGTTTCTTTAACACGTGGAATCTGGACGCTTGGAATCCGAAGCGCCAAAGTTTCAGAGGTCCCCCACTTCTCTGGCGAAGACCTGGAAGGTGTCCGTTGTCATTGGCACCTCGACCAGGGAGCTGCTGGCCAACTCATAGACATCAAATGACATCGATGGTTAAAAATATGTCGGCAATCTATGGAAATCCAGGAAGAGGACCGGCATCCTTTGGTGCGAGATGTCTTCCACATAGCAACCTGCATCAACTGATGCCAGCACACTATTAAAAAAAAAGGCAAAGGGGCTAGGCCCTGTTAGGTCTCACCAAACAAGAGCGACAGACACGAACAAGATCGCAGCTTCCCTGTCCCCATTCGCACGCCTCTCACCCTACTGTAGATCCACCACCTGGACGGACGTCCCTTGTGTGGTGACAGAATGCGGACTCGCCGCAGCGCAGCTTGAGGGTCTGACTGGCAACCCAAATCTGAGTAGCAGGTTGTTTGGCAGGCCTTTACACCATCCTGGAGCGGATGAGCCAGGTGGGGCCTGAGACCAATTTTATATCCCTGCAAGTGTGACGAGAACTACCAATTCATTGTCAAAGACAATAAACTAGCTCTGACTGCCAGCGGTGCAGATATGCTTTGCTGCATGAGCAAAAACCTAAACTCTGAGCTGCCTGTTGATCATGCGCCACCGGATTTAATGCCTCAATTCTGCTAGATTGCCTGTTATCTCAGCAGGCCTCGTGCTTTGCAAAATAGTTCTCATCGAAAACTCTTTTCAAGCCATCAATATGAACCTCGATTGTCGGAATGCAAAAGCATGGTAGAGTCCAAAATTCCAAGATTTCAGAAGCTGCTGTCTTCGGAATGCCAAAATATTGCCAAAGTAATTACATCTACGGCGTAATCTACGGTCAGCAAAAATAATGTCAGACTGTGTTAATAGCTGCAGCACAATGGAGGGGTTCATTGAAGCTTTACATCTCAATATCCTGCCCTAATATGAAGATGCAAATCTGATCGAATCTGCATATGGGGACCCACGATGAAAACGAAAGTGCTGCTTTGCCGAAGAGAAGTTGAAATGGTAGTGGTGAACTACTGTGATAATAATAACTGGAAAAGAAAACGAACAAATAAAGCCAACAACAGCACTAATCGAAAATAACAAAAATCAGAGTCATTCTGCTAAATGATAAACTATCACAGTGATAGCAGCATCTCAGTACACAAATGAAAAGACCTACAAAAGGTTCTGAGCTGTTCACAAAGCTCAGCTTCTTCAAGACTCTCACCTGCAGGTAGAACACGGTATAGCGGTGACTCTGTGCTTGAGCTCTCATGTAGACACAACATGGCTCCTGAGAATGCAGAGTTGCTTTACTCCGTATATAATGATATGAGGACTGAACCTCCGTACAGGTCAATGTCTATATCAAGTACAATGACCTGGCCACTGCCCTGTACTGTTCTGCACACATCCTGTACATCCCTGAATCTATGTGGATGAGCAGGGTCAAAATCCGCAAAGCCTTGAAAGTTTGGAGATCATCTGAATCCCCTTTCAAGATCTTTCAATCCATGACTTCAGATATCCAGTACAATGTTCATGGCAACCTCCATGCAGAAAGAAATTCGTATCTCCCAGGCTGTGGTTCTTGGTGCCTCTCCCTTCATGAGTCGCTGTGCCCTGGCAGCTCAGTGGTTGGGTATCACATTTTGATCCAAAGAATCCATTGGTCACCACTTTATACATACATACATACATTACATTACATTACATTACATTACATTTACATTTACATTTACATTTACATTTACATTCACATTTACATTTACATTTACATTTACATTTACATTACATACATACATACATATATATAATGTATATATATATAATATTAAATATTATGTATGCATATATATATATATACGTATATAATATTCATATATATATATATATATATTATATATGTATAATTTACATATATGTATTATGTATATTATATATATACATATCCATATATACATATAATGTATATACATATATAATGTATATATACATATATATATATATCATAGTAAATATTGTATACATACATACATACATACATGTATATATATACACATACATATATACGTATATAATGTATTTATTTTCTATATCATATTAAATATATTATACATACATACATACTTACATAACATTACATAACATTACATAACATTACATAACATTACATAACATTACATAACATTACATAACATTACATAACATTACATAACATTACATAACATTACATAACATTACATAACGTTACATAACATTACATAACGTTACACAACACTACATAACATTACCTAACATTACATAACATTACATTGCATAACATTATAACATTACATAACATTACATACTATTACATAACATTACATAACGTTACATAACGTTACATTAACGTTACACAACACTACATAACATTACATAACATTACATAACATTACATTGCATAACATTATAACATTACATAACACTCCATACTATTACATAACATTACATTACACTACATTACATTACATACATACATATATATATATACATAGATATATATATATATATACACATACGTATATATATATATATACAGGCGTATGTGCTCTGGGACGTGAAAGTCAGTGCATATGTGGAACGAAGGTAAAAGCTGCATGGGACGCCGCGCATTCAGGAAGTCAAACGAGTCAATGCAACCAGGTCTAAAACACCATGGGACGCACTATATAGAAGTGTTATTTTTAGATCCCTGGCAGTGCACTTTTCTATTGCCAAATTTTCCAAATCCCCATCAGGACGCGAGTGCGCAGTTATGTCCCACAATCTTAAAAATATATATCCACGGATGTTAAACACCATGTGGACGCTTATCCAAACATGCACATTGATACCTACGCCATTTACTAGAACTTGCGCCAGCCGCATGGCTGGCACACCGCTTACGCCAGACAAAATCTCTTGCTTCTCTGCCCAAAAACCGCGCCTTGCCCAGAAGCAGCAACACAAGCAACAACAACAGCAGCAGCAGCAGCAGACCAAGCAGCAGACCATTGCAAAGCCTTTCCACAACCTCTCCGGGCTGGGTTTTGACTGGCTGCAATTTTAACGAGGTCCGAACGAGGTGCAAACGAGGTCCAAACGAGGTCCGAAATCAGATTTTGGGAGACTGACCCCCTAAGTCTCCTGACAAACTCTTTGGTAGCCACACGCTTTCGCATTCTTTTCAGAACAGTTAGACTCAAGAGCTTTCAGCGGTGGAGCAGAAGAGGAAACCAAGCCAAGCAGCAGCTGCAGGCAAGAGCAAGGAGAGCAAAGGGACGCAAGCTTGGCAAACAAGTATACAATTGCCACGACTTTCATCTTTGGGAGTATAGTGGGTAAACCCAAAAAGATATGACAGGTAAGCGTCGTGTGCCTATGCGAAGTGCCAAAAAATACATCAGTAAGTTAAAGTGATAGGCGCTGCACATGCGGGCCTTTCAACATAGGCACTTGTTATAACATCGACACAGTATTCGTCGGTGTTTGTATGAATCTTGCACAACAGAGCGAGCCACAAGTGATGTACAAAACTCCCAAAACACAAGGGAATAGCTACAACCATCTGCATGGTATCCATGAAAAACTCACGATAAACCATCAATTGGAGAAAACACAAACATGATAAACACCAACTGGACGCAACATCGCACCGACTTCCAGAAATTTCTCCCCCACCTAGGACGCACATTTCATTGAAACGCTTTGACTTCCACAACTTAGAGTATATATATATGTGTGTGTGTGTGCGTCATGTTTCCATATTTTTCTCACCTATTCTGAGGTTCACCAAAGTAGCAGGCTTTTGACCCATCAACAAACTGGAATCCAAAAGATCAGAGACAATTTTAATCTATTTTGCGTGCGACTAGAAAAGACTAGAATTTGCCTGTTCAATAAACGATTGACCGAAGATTTATCTTGCCTGATGGGCTTGAAGTCCAAGTCCTCCTTGCCGTCCACGATACGCTGGTAGCAATTGTAGCCCGAGCCTGCACGCCGCCAATCTGAGTGCAACAAGCTAATCTGCGTTTTCCGCACTTCGAACAAAACCGGACTATTTCTGACTCAGCTGTGATCTCTAGCAATGCTTTCAATGCCCCTGAATCACGATTCCAGCCAGTTGTGCGCATGTCGCTTCTTTATAGCCCTAGAAGCCAAGGTGCTCCAAAAGGTCTGGAAGCAAGCCGTTTCTCCGCCCTGGTCCACTTCCTGCGCACAAACACAACCCGGACACAGCTGTGGTTAGAGCAGCAGGATACTTTTCGGCTGAGAACAGAACCCGCCTGCCAAACGGAGCAGCCAGGCTGCTTTTCACACCAACTTTGGCAGGTCTCTTTGTAAGGCACTACCACCTCATGATTGCAGTGAATGACTACGTATAAGCTCCATCCAAGTTGATCCAACTTGATCCAATTTGAAAAAAAGTGTCTCTGCTTTCTCTGCTTCATGTGTTCAACTCATGTCATCCTTCTCAAGAAGCTAAGCTTCCAGCTTCGTCCAGGCCCAGGCATTTTCCAGGCCATCCAGTTGCTGTGTCCTGACGCGGCGAAGAAACAGGAACAAACTGGACCAGTACTGGCCAGTATTGGCCAGTACATGTAACAAGAATCGAGATCTCACACAATCAATCTGCAGTACGAAGACCGACGAAGACCATTAAAGACCAAGTTTTAATATTTATATATATTTATCAACATATCAGTCGGGTCACAGACAGACAATCAACCAGCTAAATCCAGAGGCAAGCCCTTAGCCTCCTGATCAAACATGCACACTGGCTGTCCTCGACAGCTGTTACTCTTGGGCAGTTCTTGAACTTTTTGCCTCCCAGATTGCTGTGATCCCACTTTCGAATTGGTGCAACTGCACACTGCCGTCATGTCATGATGCAACATGATGCAGGCCTACAAAGTCCTTAGGCCAGCACCTCATGCAACTGCTCCGTTCGGAATCCCAACACATAAAATGACATAAAAGGTTCCACTTACTTTCTTTCCCAGCCGAAAGATGCAGAACTGCTGGAACACACATTGAAGATCATTGAAGTTTGCAAAGGGGAAGGATCTGAAAGTCGGTAAAACCCTGAACCGTGATGAAGCTGATGAAGTTAGAACTGCGCCGCATTCAACTTCCGATCTCCTGGGTCTCATTGGGTTTCCAAACCCAAGCTTGGGTGGAACCATGTGCATGGGCCAGGCCTTGAGAATGAACGCGCATCTCACGTCATCTCACCACTCAACTGGTGAAATCCAAACTTGTTGTCATACGATGTCATACGGACCAATCCAATCCCGCAACCAGGCGGGATTGTGTGTCACATGGCACCAAATTTCACACAACAAGAGGGCAACAATTGTCCAAAATGTCGCTGGTCGAGCTGTGTTGCAAAGGTCCTGACCATTTTGGACATCTCGCTGTCTGCTGCTGGAAATGCTGGCGTTGGCCTCAGTGGAATGGATTTTGAAACACTCTGACACAAGTGTTTCAACATCCTCATCTCACTAAATGAAGCTAAAAACAGGGACTGTCAAGGATCACTCCTCCGCTATCATTGGTAATTCCCTTAACATCCATGATTGCCCCAGGCCGAAGAGTTTCTCAACCCCTTTAACCCTTCTGGGTTGCCTACACCATCCTACACCCTTGAGGCAAGAAAGGCATCTGTTTCGGGCGCCCAGTGCCGTTGAGACTGGGCTCCAAGTTTGAGTGTCTGGCAGGTCAGTGCACGCCACTGGCTCCTGGGGACCTCGGTGCAAAGCAGCAAAAATTGGGAAACAGGATGAATAATCCATAATTTTTGTCATAAATGGGGGGTGTTCCAGCTATGAATTACCAGAGGTACTATCTTTCCATCATCTTGCAGTCACCATCCAGTCACCATGCACCCTGCAATCACCTGACCATCGGGGCTCCAGCAAACCTTGGGGCCAGCATAAGAGTCTTTGGAGAGGTACGCTGTAAAGGCCTGGAAGCTCCGCTCGGCGCATCACAATGGTGTGGCAGAGGCATCGTGCTCATGCGATCAGTAGCTGCTGTTCCAAGCTATTTCTGAAAGCTAGCAGAATCAGTTTCTGTGTAACAGCAGTTGTTAGATGTTGTGACTGATCAGGCAGTTGGTGTTTCGGTGCTCAGAAGTTGCAGCCACTGATCATTAGAAGTTCTCACTGCCTTCCTGTACCTGGTTGGTTTCGTTTCCTGCAACAACGATTTCAATGGTTCTAACTTTCTAACCCTTAGCATCTCTTCGCTAGCACTCTAAATCACAATAGAGATCACTGCAAAGAGATGTGTCTTCGCTAGCGATTTTGCAGCTTTCTGCCGCCTCGAATTCCAAAACTCTCCCCTGAGGCAGAAACTGCGTCAGCTGGTGCCAGAAGGCAAGCGCCGGTAGAAGGGAAAAAGTTGAAAAAAAAGCACTTGATCTCTGTGCTTGCAACCTTGGAAAGCTGCCAAAGGTAACCCAGGCAGAACCTGTGTACATTTCTTTCCAAGAAAATCAGAAAAAACCATCGGTCGTTTATTCCATTCTAAAGCTCAGCTATCAAGAATGTTGATCCAATTTTGCAACTGCAAAACAGGGTCGTTCTGCCGGTGACATCCTTCAACAGAACAGTCAAGCCAGGCCATGCCATCAAAAAGACTGAGTGTCGGGACGCACTTTTGCTGACACTGATGTATTGTGGTTGCATTTGTTTTCTGCGAGAAAGGTGAGTAGTACCTGCATGCTGATGAATGTTGAATCCGCGAATCTGATGAACAGAATCCCCTGTAGGAAGACAACGAAGACAACATAATCAATGGGGATTTCAGGATCCTAAAATGGAGGTACCGTACCATATAAGACTATATTTTGTTGGGATATTCCCTTACATAGGCCTTATATAGGCCTTATATATGGTAGGTACCTCCAGTTTAGGTACCTGAAATGGCCCTTGACATAATTACATCCAAATATATCCAAATGCATTATCAAAATTGATTAAATCATATTAACGGTCTACAGCTACAGTAGAAACATCCACCGCTCTCAGCCTTGCATGCTTGTAGTAGCAGCCCTCAACCAATGCGATGTGAGGAAACTTCATAGGACTTGCCTGGCAGACCATTGCATCAGGCCTTCATGCCGATGTGATGGCCAGCTGCGAAGTCTCATCTCATAGAAATCCAAGCGACCGCCTAATGCAGCATATTAATATAGTTATTTGGCCAGAAAATGTTGAACGCGTTCTTAATTACATGGAAATGATTGGAAATGTGTGTTGAAGGGCTCGCCTCGGACCGTGCTACCGATGCAGTTGCTAGCTATGCTGGCCAAATGACCACCGTTGATGTTAACAAAATGATGGCAAAGGTGGTACCCGCAGGATTCACTACACGTCTCACACTTGCAATGGGTCTATCCCATAGGCACGTGGGGTGCATGTGCCTGGCTACATCAATGTGCATGCTCAAATTGTTTAATAGTGTGGTCTCTTTATCCACAAAATAGCCGCTCCTGCCCAGAAAAAAGGTGAGTCAAGCAATTTTCGCAAATCTCAGTGAGGCATTTGAGAAGTGCCTTTTCCCATGAAGGAATTCTGTGTTGGCTAAGCGCGACCTGCAAACCAGGTCACGTTTGAGTCTCTTCATGGGGAGGCGAACATGACAAACGTGCGCTCGAAACATTGAAAACTATGTCTCTCCTTGGCAATGGTTCTATGTTGAAAGTACACCTGTGGTCTCTTCAGATTGCTCTTTTCCATGTGATACTCAACAGCTCAACCATTAGGCCATAGGATATCAGCTTTCAACAAGGCTCGCAGGCTCGTTGCCTGAAAGGACGCCAGCCAAATCGGCAGCGGAATCATTGCTGACAAAAGGTATGCAATGAGTAGCGATGAGTAGCGTGTTTTCTCAGGATTCCGTGTTGAGTCTAGCATCATAGCTGGTACAAACTTGAAGCAGGATGAGAATTTAGTTGACTTCCACTCTAGTACACCTTAAATATCCTTAAATTGGGTAATCCAAATTGTGATCCTCCGTGTTCAGTGACAAACCATCCGAGTCTCACAAGCCCTTTCCAAGAAATGTGTCGCCTCGAATACACCATGATTGACCCTAAATGATTCAGTGTTCATCGGCTGTAAGCGATGAAATACTGCCAAACATGGGGGCAAACAGGCTGAGCCCGAGCTTTCGGTTGTGATGCTGGTTTCTGTGAAGCTGGACAGGAAGACTGCTCCATGTATCGATATCGTCTGTGCAACATGAAAGACTTCATCGAGGAACACGGTGCAGATCTGAAAGAGCGAGTCTGGACTAAGTCTCAACCTGGTTTTGGACCGCCAATTCATCACGCATCTTTTTGTCAGCTTGGGAAGACTCTAGGTCCCTAGGTCCCAAAGCGTGGGGTGACCTGGCGAGTTGCACAGCTGCTGAGTACCCCTTCGGCCTTCAGAGCATAATTTCTGACTCCCATTGTTTTCTCACGTGTTCAGAGAGATTCCGATTAGAAGATATGGGTTGGGTCAATACCACATGGGTACTGGTCATTGAGAACTCCGAAAATTGGAGAGTTCATCCAAAAAATCACCAGCCAATCTACGGTGCCTTGAACATGTCGGATCCATCCTCTGGGTTTCTCTGAAAATGGATCCCAAATCCCATGCTTCATCGTCAATGAAATATATCTTCAACGCATCCCTCATGTCAGACATAAACATAGACATAAACCCCATGCCAAATATATTCACATATAATTCCAAATCATATTGAATCATATTCAATCACAGAATATATCACATTGAATCATATTGGTTCATTAATATTGAATCATATTTAATCATATATTGATTATGATTCACATTCCATATTGATATTTAATCAATATATCCAAACCATATTGAATCATATTGATTCATAGAAAATATGGCTTTGTCTGAAAATAGGCTATATTCCCAATGAAATAGCCATAAAAAATAGGGATAATGATCAGCAAAACCATTGGGTTTAGGGGTACACAACATTTTCAGACACACCCATATGGCAGTGTGTCAAAACCCTATCCCCTGTAGTTGGACCACGGTGCATAATTCGCCGTGGTAAAATATGCATTTTCTGGCCAGTGGAGGGTTTACGCTGGGGTGGGGTGGGGTGGGGGGGGGGGGTGCATTAACGTCCTGACGACCCACGTCCTTGATATACGTCGACAAGACATGTCGAGGTAACTTGGAAGACGTTGTTGATGCTACGTTGATGACGTGGGGTGGGGTGGGGTGGGGGGGTGTATTAACGTTCTGACGACCACGTCCTTGATACTACGTCGACAAGACATGTCGAGGTAACTTGGAAGACGTTCTTGATGCTACGTTGATGACGTGGGGTGGGGTCGGGTGGGGGGGTGTATTAACGTCCTGACGACCACGTCCTTGATACTACGTCGACAAGACATGTCGAGGTAACTTGGAAGACGTTCTTGATGCTACGTTGATGACGTGGGGTGGGGTGGGGTGGGGTGGGGTGGGGTGGGGGGGTGTGTTAACGTCCTAACAACCGAAAGGTAAAGATGCCAAAGAGTTTCCAAGTGCATGTGATGGCACTAGGTGGAGTGGTGCGCGGAGAACACAAGACGTATGTAGTTGTCTCCTTTCCAGGAGAACGTCCCCCGACAGAGAACTTGCATCAGGTCCACGAGTGTAACATTTTTTAAGCACATTCAAAAAGGAGGCACTTGTGTCTTCAGCGATGGTAACATGGCCTGGCGCAGTGTCTGTTACAAGAACAACATTCGAAATCAAGAAGTTGTTCACCAGGTCAAAGAGTTCACCCGTTCAGTTCAGCATGGCAAGAAAAACCTGTCGACGCTGGCGGGCACACAGTGTGTGGATCGAACTTGGAGAACCCTCAAGCACTACCTGCCCAAAAAGAAGTTGATGAAAGATCCACACACAAAGTCCCTGTGTCCCTTTTTCGAACACCAAGTCTACGCATGGGCTTGGCGTAAGAACTTGGGCCAGTTGTCTGCAAAGATCTTTTTGCGGCAGCTCACCAAAATTTGGTGAACAGCACAGTAGTTTACTCACGCTTTGCAGAAGAGAAAAAACAGAGTTTTTGCCAAGAGTCACCGCAAGCGAAACAAAAATCACAATGGAATTTCAATGATTTCAGCATCGCATGGAACTCATCAAATGGCCACTTTCCCTCACGGCGAAATATGAGCCGTGAACCTAGTTCACATCAAAATAGCTGGTAAATGGATGTTCATTCCCCTAAAAATGGTATTTATAGGTATTGATCCACACCCATATCCAGTTGTGGTTTGGTTCAGATCCCCGGGATCTCCAGTGATCTCCAGGCCTCACCGGCCACGTCGCGCCACTTGGAGGCGCTGTTTCTTCGAGAGCCGCACGGAACCGGAGGGCCGGGGGGGGCGACGTAAGCGGGCCTGGGCACACCCTGGGACCCTGACGGAACATATCAAAAAAAAAACAATGGATTCAAGAGACTTAGAATTTATAGAATTTCTAGACTTAGAATTTCTAGACTTAGAATTTCTAGACTTAGCAGAGTCTCAGACTAGATTGAGATCTATTGAATAGATGATACTGAGATCTTATACATCGTAGTAAGGCAACAGAACATTGAATGGGCATGAATAGACCATACTGGTCTGGCAGTTTATGGGAATCACATGACATGGATTTCCATCACCGTTCATCTCTCGTACAAGAATTTGGGGAGTCAACCGATTGCTCACCACTTCAGTGTGACTCACTTTCATTCCTGGAAGAAACGTTAGTTTCCCTTGTGCTGGAAAAATGACAGAAGGTGACTGAAAAAATCCTCTCTTAGGGACATCTGCCAGACATTGCCAGACCAAAATGTATAATCTTAATTAATCTTATGTATCTGTATCGGTGTCAATGGCACAGGACCTGCATCTCTTGAAAGAGGCCCCAAAGCACGCGGCTCGGAGCCTGATGTCAGATCTGATGTGATGCGGAAGTGGGGTGAGACGAGGCATGACTAGACCCTGAAACATCTGAAACTCTTCCGAATTCTTCACATTCTTCCTACCTCTAAACGCGTGGTCATCTAAAAGTTGAGAAGCCGCATGTGGTCCTTTGAATAGTACATTGTCAGTCTCACTGGGTCAACAAACATCTATGTTTCACAGCCTTGGATTTGCCAACTTCACGTGTGTCGTCTTCCTCGTCCAACATCAAATCTGCCTGGAACAAATGAAAACCGCATTTTCATTTAAAAAAAAAAGACTGATTTCCTGGAATGCGCAACTTGCAAGGAGAAGGCACTGGCCTCCCTGGCAGCTTTCTTTAGCCAGCTATCTTCATTCGACTGCTTGAACGTCTGGTGAACCTGACCGTTGAACCCCAGGCACAGTTGGCAACGATCTGAAACGCGACGATGAAGGACGCTGAATGCCGGCATCGCCTTCTTTTCCAGTTCGGCTGCCAGCCGAGATGCCTGGAAGTCAGACGAACCACAATGGTTCCGGCTTGGGACGACAAAAATGGACCTGTCTGAGCCTGTCTGCCCATCTGCAAAGCGCTCAGCATGTCGCTGCATATCGGGAGAATGTCAGAGATTCACTGTAAAAGCATCACGAACAACCCCGATTTTCAGATGCAATCGCCGTCACCATGCCATGTCTGACAAAACTCAAATTGAAGATGTCTGATATGTTCACAGGAAGCCTCCTTGGCTGCAGTGATTTCTTCCGGAAGGGTCTCAACACGTTCAATGTCCTCCTGGTGCACTGGTGCACTGGTGCACTGGTGCCACGAGTGGTTAGCAAGTCTGTCGCGTCACCACAGCGTCCTTGACGATTCCAATGGCTCGATAGACCTGACAGCATTTCCCAACTGGCAGGATGGCTGAAAATGAACAGGAATGGGCACATGCACAATTCAATCTTTATCCTGCATCATTGATCTGTCTCTATTCTTCATTCTTTATTCCACTTCATGAAGCCATTCCACAGTCTCTGAAAAGTGAAGTGCCACCTTGTTCCAATGGGTCACGTCGGTCGGTGCCACAAAGGCGATACTTTGTCCTGCAAGAAACATTCAAAACACAGGCGCTTGTCGTGGCCAAGAAACTCAGCGCAATCTGGATATGTGGCTGTGACCGCTGAGACAATATGCTCAATCCGGTGTCCAGCTCTCTTTACAATTTCAATGGCTGCCAGTGCTTATGAGCAATTGTGCAAATTCTATATGATGTACACACATGTGTGTTTTATGTGCATATGATGTATGTATATATATATATGTGAAATATGTATGCTATGAATGTCTATGTGTAGATGCTTAGATAGGTAGATAGAGTAGATTAGATTAGGTTAGATTAGATTAGATTAGACTAGATTAGATTTAGATTAGGTTAGATTAGGTTACGTTAGATTAGATTCGATTATATAGATTAGATTATATAGATTAGATTAGATTAGATTAGATTAGGATTAAGATTAAGATTTGGATTTGATTCGATTCGATTCGATTCGATAGATAGATAGATAGATAGATAGATAGATAGATAGATAGATAGATAGATTAGAGAGATGGATTGATAGATTAGATTCGATTAGATTTGATTTGATTAGATTGGATAGATGGATAGATATAGAATATGTGTATATCATTGTATATCTACACTATCTACACCATACAAAAGAATCTGCAGAATGATGTATGTATATAATCAATCACTTCATATATATATATATATAATTCATAGTCTTTCATAGTATTCAGAAATTGTCACACTGATATTAGCATAGTCAATGTCAACATTAATGTCAACATGTGGGGATTTCCATATGTTTCCATACATGGAGGTACCCCTGAATCATCCCATCCAGTGGGGCTACCCAGGGTACCTTCGCGGCCAGCTCGCGCGGTGCGCCCACTGCGGTGGACGAAGACCTCCGAGCCGCGAGGTGCCTGGTGCCATCGGTGCCGCCCCGCAGATGGGGAGATCGTGGGAAATTCGTGAGATAAAATCGATGGGATATAGGTAATTAATATAGACTTCACCAATTATAGTTGGGATATAGTTGAGATAAACCAGATAGGATGGAGAGGTAGACATAGACCAAAGCCAGCAAAATCTGGACCTGCTTGCATGAAACATTGCGATTAAACCATCAAACATATTCAAATTGAGATTATTGAACAAATCAGCACTAGACATGGGCATGTCTGAAAATTGGATATACCCATCAAGTAGCCAAATTTGGGGGTTCAACCATATCTAACCATTCAAAATATGTCAAAATGGGGATTGCATCACCAACTATGATAGTCAAGAGTCAATAGATTGATTGAAGCGAACATTCACAGCAAACTCCATTGTTTTTTACCAAGAAACATGGGGCTACATGGGGCTTTTCTATCATGTGATATGAGTAATTGTGGATGAAACTTGGGGTGCGAATGGACCCACAACAAGCCAAAATGATGCATTTTCTGTATGAAATCATCTATATCATACATTATATTATAATATATTATAATACTAGACTATATCAGTCATCTATTCTTTGGGTTGAATAGTGTTGATAGTTTTGATAGTGTTGATCCATCAAATCTGTTGGGCAGTGCCATCCAAAATGGTGCATGATTCACAATTTGACACGGCAGACCTGGAAATGGATCACAGCAGACACATCTGGAACGTCAAGACCTGGCTCGAAAGGCTTGGATTCCCAGCCGGACCATGGTAGACCCCTTAAAATCACCATTTTCACTGTGAAAATATATGAAAATCAGAAGAAACCACAGGATTACCCATTGGATTAACCATTGGATTTTAGAGGTATCCGAATGGACTCATGTGCAGCTCGGCATTCCACCTCGTGCAGCAATGTCAGTGCAAACAAGCACAGCGTCCTTGAGAGATTCACAGGCTGCTTTTTGATTTCTTGTGATTGATGTCTTTTTGATGTATGTGTGTTGATGGTTGATGTATTGTTGATGTATTGTTGATGTATTGTTAATGTATTGTTGATGTATTGTTGATGTATGTCATTGCGTCTGTGAATGTTGATTGTTGGTCTGATCTATCGTGCTGTGGGGGGTTTCTCACGAAGGACAGGGCAAGAAACAAATCTTGACAGCTTCCTTGGCGCCACATCTTGGGCGCACACCTTGAGTTTCCGAAACCTCTCGATGCGCTTCAAACGATCCTTGCACGAGTCATCACAAGTGAAAAGAAAGGTGATGAAAGGTATCGAAGATCGCATGTCAGAATGTGCTAGTACTTTTTAGCATGTTTCAGATTGTTTGAGCAATTCCTGTCCCAGGAATCAGTTGATATGACATGATGCTGATGTGACCAATGTGAATGGAAGGGGCTATGACCATGCTAAGCTTCGGCACTTTTTGCCGCATTTTGGAGTGCAGGTCCAGAACATCGACAGAAAGCCCAGGCGGGGCCCCTTGATTACCTCCCAGATCAGGAAAAAATTGGCACAGCGACTTGGTAGACTTGGTGTAACTCGGTGGACATTGAAAGCTGTTCTTCAAATGTGGACTTCCCTCATAGAGTCAGTGCCAATATCTCAAAATCCGCCCGCACCGAAGGTGCTGGGGCGTGATCTTCCGGATGGCACTCGTAAAAAGGTTACAGGTTTACCTGGGGGGGGAGGGGCATTTTTCGTCCAAAACCTCCTGTTTTTGATAGGTCGTGACGCTCGCCTTCAAAAAACACTGTAAAAAACAGTACGGAAGACACCTGTTCGTGAACGCGCCCGTCCAAAATCGGCAAGCGAAAAGTGAAAAAAACCCGTGTTTTTCAACTTTTTGACCTCAATTTTTTGGTTTGCAACATCTTTTTTTGCGGTTCCGCAGGTGGCCGGGCCCGGAGGCGGATTTTTGAGTTTTTGGACCCGTTTTCGGACTGATTTTCGTCGTTTTGTGATAGCAGAAACACTGGTTTTTACAGTGTTTTTCTGTTTTCTGCATGCTTGACGGCTAGCTTCAAAACTTCCAAAAACCTCGTAAATTACGCTGTTTTATGTTACGGTGTGAATGAAAACATCGTAAATACCAGTGTTTTTTGACGTTGGTTAAAAAAACACTGTAAATTACAGTGTTTTTGGCCACCTGACCCTCGAAAACCATGGTATTTGCAGTGGTTTCTGCTTCTCACCGCGCAAAAACACTGTAAATAACAGCAATTTCGCCGTTTTTTCATGTTTTTCGTTATTTTTTGAACTGTGTTGGTCCGCTATACATGGCTATCAAATTCTTCGCGTTTTTTTTTCCGACAATCAGTACTTTCGGATGATTTTGGTCTCAATGGCCGACATCATTGGCAGTTACGAGCGGCTGCCCAACGATGCGGTGCGGGCGGTTGCCGTCGCGAAGCGACGTGAATATCTCAAGTGCTTCTCCAAAAGGAAGGACTATTTGCGAGCTGCCTCCACTGCTCATGTGCACGCGGGAAAGAACCTCCGCATGGAAGTGAGAATAGACAAGCAACCAAACGAAAGATGCGAAACTCTTCAAGTAAAGGCTTGCAAGTGAAGTGGTGACATGAACAGTTCTTTGTATAATGGTTTCAAGCTGACCATGCAGACTGAAGAATTCGCGCAAAGCTCAAAATACAACAAATGCTGGGAATATATAGTATTCAACTTTATCCAACCATATGTTGTATTTTGTGTTCCGAGTACGAAACGCTGGCCAGACCCCTTTGCATGTGAGAAAATGGACAACACTGACAACACACCTTGCTTGCGCTGGGACTCTCCAAGAGAAGTGCCAATACCTTTGTGCTTGGCTTTAGTTTTCCGCAACTTCGGAAAGAAAAAACATCAGCGCTGATTTTCAAGTCAAATAGTCAAAGGTTGAAGTGATGAGACCGATGAGACCGTAAAATATCGCTATTGGGTCAGTTCAAGTCCTGGGATGGCGACTGAAAATAGCCTCTGGACATAGGAAATGGCATTGACAAAGATGATTATCCGCCTGCGTCGTGGACTGGTGACGTCTGCTTTTGCCTCAAATACATCTGCTGCTGTCCAAACCTGCTCAGGGTCTGATGCACGGACCTTGTATATATCTCTTTCTCCTTCGCATGATTTCAATCTGTAGCTGGTATATTCACCACAGCTGTCGTTTCACGATGGGCTGTGGCAATCTGAAGGGCATGTCTTTGACAATGAACCCGCACAAGCCTACAATGATACTGGTAGACTGTCTGAAATCCTTCGGAACAGGCTCAAAATCATGACCTAGGTTCTTCTTCTGACTGCGCTGGTGGATGGTGGCACAAACAAGAGAGAAAATGCAAGTCAAATGAAGATTTGAAACCAGAAATGAAGTGTGCAATCACCATTCCTGATCCGAAACGGACCATGGATTTGCAGCTCTTGTGTGGCACTAGGGTGCAAGGATGTGCAAGGCACGCTAATGCAAAGAATGAATTATCAGCGAGGAGCATCTGAGCTCGAGCCCAGCTCTCAGCACTGAATTCTGGACGAAGGACGGCAACATGCGGCAATACAGCAACATGCAGCAACTTGCTAGTACAGTCACTAAGGATGGCCCGATGGTTTGACTTGCGGCAATGAGAATTGCATAGAATTGCCATCATGGCCATTCTTCATCCTGCCATCCAACCAGCCTGTGGCCAAAAGGTGTCCGTTAGAGCACTTTCCGGCAACTCGGCGCAGCGATAGCGTCTTTGTGCAATCCGCCGTCACCGTCTTTTTGGGGTGCCCACGGCATCCCCTTGTACATCTTCTACTTGCATGATGGGTTGTACTTACACATGTGTTTGACAAACTGTGGATATTATAGCATAACTGTAACATAACTTAACACATAAAAATTTGATAAACAGAATTCGATAGCATCAAATCAAATCAATTTCCAGAGTTTTCTCCACTCGTCTCCCAGCAGAGATTTTGTAACGTGTCCAGCAGTATCTCAGCGCTCGGACGGGCCTTTGGCTTGAGTCCTGTTTCGGAACAGGTGAAAGACATCTCAAGATCTGACTGTAGAAATCTGTAGAATTCCAGGATGGTTTGATTTGAAACTGAGAAGACAAAAACATACCAGTCACAACTTGAGTCATAACATATCGTGACCATGCATAACCTGTGCTATTTTGAACTCCTTTTGATGTATTGCCAAAGGATGCCAAAGGTACAGTTCCGGTCGCTTGTGCTCAAGCCAAGTGTCGGAGGCAAGCTGCTAGGAGAACACGAGCTCTGGGATCCGTTTTCTCAGGGATGATGGGTCCCCGCTTCTTCACCTAAGGTGCAGACATCTGCAGACTGCAACTGCTGCAACACACATGAAGTCACTAAGATTCATTAAGTACTAAGACGTCATGAGGCAGGATCACGAGAGCAACCAAAGCCATGAAGTATCTTTAAGACGTTGTGATGTCCAAAGAAGGCAACAGCAGCCACGTCTTACTCTACTACCATGACTCTTCCTAATCTTCATATCCATGGAATGCTGTCAGCGTGGTGTCAACATGTCCAGCAAAAACATCAAAGATTCGATTCGATCAAGTCACTACAAGCTCTGCAATGATGGCAGCAATGCTGCTGAGATTGGCAAAGGGCACAATTTGGCAGTACCTGTTAAGGACACCAGCGCAAATCAAAGCTTGTCAAGACGTGTTGATTAGTCTTGAGTCGTGTTGATCCTGTTGGTCTGCTCGAGAATGGTGCGTGACAAAACATCAAGGCGAGCTCTACACACTGTCCTCCATGCCCAGTCTGTTTGTTGCTCGTCACTATTTTAAGCCACGCTGCAGCTCCATTAGAACGCAGCCCATTTGCCAAATATCCACCTTTTCTGTGATCTTGGTCCTTGTTTTCCGGCTGATGCTCCACAAATGAGGGCATCCAGAAAGTGGTTCGCTGGAATCAGTTCAGTGATGTTTCCAAGAAGAAGCATCACCAGTGCATGATTGGCTTTCCTAAGCTTGCTCAACATCCAATGACCAAATCTTTCAAGTCGCGGCTTGTGCTCGTTTGCATCGAGTTGTTCAGGTGCCATGTAGCGAGGAGACCCTTGGAGGCCATACACCTCAGGGTGCTCCCTCGGAACAGTCGTCACTGCAAAGGCAGGGTGTGGTCAGCCATTTTCGCAGCCACGTGCGTCACAGCGCATGTTGAAAGCAACAGATGCTGTATTCAATTATTAAGTCACAAGTTGATTTAAGGATGATCAAGGTCTCTTTCCTCTGACTGACAACTCCGGGCAATCTCCTACCTCACATCGCATCCACTTCACTGATGTTTGAAAAGGCGATGCTGTCAAGCAGCTGTCATATGCGATCGATCCAAGGTGATGGTAAGACCAAAGTCGCAGATCTTACAATTCCTTGATCCATTCAGTTCGTTTTTGGTGGAATCCTCATCTTGTTTGGTCCAAACCCCAGCTTTTTGCTTGTTAAATCCCCACTTTGGCTGCCTGGTGAAATCCAATTTTTGGGGTTAAGCAGTCAGTTAAGCCCAATAGAACGGTCTGGACGCTTCCAGACCCTTTGTCTTTGCAAAGTCTGGAAAATGCATCGCAATGACGCAGCACAGCGGAGCTGGGTGCAGCTGGGGCTCAGGTCATCATCAAGAATGACGTTTGCAGTTTTTAGATCCCGATGCACCTAAGTTCGTCCAGACATTCTCACATAGGTCACTCCATCGAGCTGAAGTGACGGGGACTTTCTTGCATGCTTCTTGTCTGCGTGAGCAACTGGCTGAACCGACAGCAGTCGATCCTTGCATATCAGTTCACAGTATAGAACTACGTGAGAATCGTGAGACATGAGGGGGCAAAAATAAACTTGAGAAGTGCGAAAGCGGTTTGAGGTGAGCCGAACTGCCCCGAGACTTGACTGCAGTTGCGTTACCACGTTCTGGTCGTGGAGAAAGGAGAGGCCTTCTGCAATCTGTCTAGCCATCACTGATTTTCTGTCGAACCTCAGATGATCTCAAATGCTTTTGGGCCAAGAATTCCAACCACGATCCACTCGGCGGAATCCAACCCTTATTCTTGAGCCATGGAGCGAAAGAAACGTCTTCTTGGTGAAGAGAATATGCGACAAGGATCCGCCAGACATAAACTCCATGACAATGAGTACCTGTCAGGCTTGCAACTGCTGTTCTGGTAGAAATCCAATACCTGCAGATCATTATCAGGTCCATGTCGCAAGGCGGTGTTCCATCGGGATGCGGATCAAGAAAAATGGAGGCCCAAAGGACTTCATGAACTGCCCACACCCATCTGCGACCGCTCCTGTCCAGCATCACGGGCAAAGCCGACGAAAGATACCAAGCACGGATGGCGTAGCTTCTGAAGGTAGCTGATTTCTTCCTTAGATCTGCACGGAAAAGAACACTGGACGGCCCACTGGAGGACCCACCGGACGACCCACCGGACACCCTGGAGATATCTTGACATCACGCACTTTGACGTCATGCGCCCTGAGACCGCGACCCTGATCATCTTCACCTCCGGGTCCGAGTCGGGCCGGGGTCTTTAAAGGAGGCGGCACTTGGACACAGCGACTTTAAAACAGGAGCTACAGAGGCCCACATTGTGAGATGAGCCGACTTCAGTAGATTCAATTTCCCATCTCCACGTGGGAAGCACCTGTTCAATCATTTCTAAAATAAGGTTCCACAGTCCGGTTTCTCACCTCGCTGGGCTTGTTCACTTGGCAATACCTCACTGTGACTCAAAGCAAACAAGTCCGAAAGAGACTTTGAAAACAAGAAAAAAAAGTAAACCATAAACCCTTCCACAACAACGCATGTACCAAGGTGAAAATCTCTGCCGTAGGCACTAGACTTACCGCTGGAAAGATCCTTATTGATGCTGTGGAGCTTTTTGAGGTTTCCAGATGCTTCCAGTATCAGATGGTATAATAAGAGTTAAACAGTTAATAGAAGTTAATAGATGTGGATAGATGTTAATAGTAATAATTTTTATAATAGTAGGCACTTTGTCCGAAACACCATGCAACTTCCATGGTACCCATGTCATTTCTGGCAATTTGACCAGGACACTTGACAGCTACCGCCTGGCCACGGCAATGAGCTTTCCAAACAGCGCCAAAACTTCCAGCTCCCACCTGGCGCGTTGAAAACCTCCGCAGGGTTTCACCATGACCAAAATATAGACGGCGTTTGAACATGTTTGAACATTGGATACCCCAAAATCCCACAGTTATTGACATTGATGTACGAAATTGAAGTAACTATAACAGAAATTGCCATTTTGATCCATTTCGGAGTATTCCTCCCATCCTTCTTGAGTCGACTGGACACCAACTCCTCCACATCAGCCGCACACGAGCCGCGGCCTTCTTCTCCTTGTGAATCTCTTCCAACGGAATCTCAGGCTCATCACTCACCGCCTGGAGCACCTGACCACTGGCAGCTCCTTGGGATTTACAGAAAACATATTTGGGGGGGTTCCTATAGGGGTACCCCAAAGCATTCAAAATCTGATCATTTTTTTGTAGTATTGAAACCTGTGGTTTTGGGTACGCCCATTTTGGGAAACCCGATATTGCCTTCTTTTGAAGCACAAAACATGTGACAAAGCATCTCCCCAACAACCCAACAGCCCGTCGATCCTCTCGACTTCGGGCTGGCTTCTCCTAATCCAAACAGAGAATCCAAACAGACACCCCCGTGAAGGAACCGACAGATTCGCTTGACCATGGGTCTCTTTGACTGCTCCTTCTGCACGCTGTCCAATTTTTTCATCATCAGCCTCAAGACAGGTCAGCAGGCTGGCTGGGCTTGGATGTTTCTCTGATACGACTATGTAAAGCTGGATGCATTGCACAACTGCATTAAGAACTGCCGCCTCTTTGAAGTTAGAATGTCTTCCATGGCTCAATATTGAAGACTCATGTTGGATGTAGTGACAAGTTGTGAACACTGAGTCAGTATCTTTAACCATGAACAAATTGATACAACAGTACAGCATAGAATAGTACAGGACAAATTGAAAGAAATTGATTGAAACTGTGCATTCACGACAAGTCGCCACGCCAGGTTGCAAGGCTTCCTCTTTTGCTCATTCAACTTTGCTTCCTAGCACGACTGAACTCGTGCTTCTCTTCAGTGCCACAGTGCGAGTCGTGACTTGAATAAAAACACCAGCCCAATAGCTGCCTTTGGAAGCTTCACATTTTTCAGGAAGTGAAAGCATCTTTCTGTTCAAGTAACTACAGTAATCGGAAGGAAGGCTTTGTGCTCTGCTCCGCCAATATACGGAAGTTGGTGTGCAGCTAAGGCTCTCCAACTACTTGTCTTTGCGGCTTATCAGGAGTGGCTGGACATTCCTCGGGCTGCAGTGCCAAAACGGAAAGGCATTCCATTTTGCCTTCTACTTATGAAGCTCTCCACTAGGCCACAACCTTGTGTCGGCACCTGCCACTCTGAAATAAACAGAACAAAATGAGTTGCATCCCTCAGATGTTTGGGAAGCCTTCTCCAAGATCATGCCAATGCAGCAGTTTGAAAGCTATCGACTCCATTCTCCCAAGGTCCTCAACCATTTTCTTTTTCGGCTTTTCTGGAGTCACAGGGTCCTGAGGAAGCAGCTGATGTAGATTGTAAGTTGGACATTTTCTGGCCAATGCAACTGAACTGAAATATCCGCAGCAGTTTTCCATTTCTTCTAGGGCAGTTGAATCCTCATGGCATCCAAAGTATCCGAAGTTTGCCGTCACTTGCAGCATTGCGATCTTTTCTGGCATTGATGCAACTGAATGATGAGTCCACTAACACTAGTGATGAGCACCTGCTTAGGAGGCTTTGTCAATCGGAGTGTCTCACCAGCCTTTTATTCACATGCAGAGGTGAATGTCTTTGACCCGCCTCATTTCAGCACTTTCAATCTGATTGTGGCTTTGACAGAATCGTGTGCCTATCACAGGGACTTCTCATAGTTGAGAAGAGTTCAGGATGCTGTCTCGTCCTCTTCGGCATAGTGTCTCTCCTTGTGAGAAGCACACCAAATTTGAGTGCATCTTCACGAATCGTCACATCGAAATATCGAAGTTGCAGCTTGCTGATGTGGAGATCTTAAGCACTTCGAAACCATGTGCAGCTTGCAGACTACAACTGGAAACAGGAGGCCGTAAGCTCAGTCGCTGGGTGCAAATCTCATGACAGCAGCAAGATGCGCTCACCCTCGACGCGGTCGCTCAAGAGAACACGTTGCTCACCACACTTGGACTTTCGCTTGCTCTCTGTTAGGCGTTCATAAATGATTACATATTCCGGATATATCTGTGAGCGCTCAGTGACCACAAACTCACGGCGAAGCATACCCACGCCAGAGTGCCCGTCACCATAAGATCCAACAGTGCTGTCAAAGTCCTTATCAGGACCAACTCGAAGATGTGCATCAGCATCTGGCTTCTGCAATATTTGCACCGCACCAAGAGTGACTCTGCAAAGAAGCATTGCATAGTAGCCCTGGTAGTAGCCCTTCTTGTCATCGCTGCTTCGCTTGTCAGCCTCTGACGCATCTTCGTGTAAATAAGCACCTTCACCAAAGTCATATCCAAACATGTCACCGGACATTGTCACAGGAAAGCCATGGTGTGCGATGTACATGACATTCTGGGGTGAAGTGCCATAGAAGAGGTAAACTTCATTGAGTTCCTCCTTCAACCGTCGATGCTCTCGTTGCGGCAATGCTTCCACGGAGTGCACGTCGATTCGTTCCATCTGCCCCCGAGCTGCTACGGCGTTCTGGGCAGCACGATAGTCCGCCCACATCTCGGAGTCCTCCACACGGACCACCTTTAAACAGCGCAGAGCCACGGTCACGTCGATGTAAGGAGAGCGATGAGAACGGGATGTTCGTAGAGGATGTAGAGGGGATGGAGGTGACACAGGAGATGACTGGCGGAAAACCAGGTCCGAAAGCCAAGTCTTACTGAGCAAGTCATCCATCACTGCCTTCATCTGCTGGTCAGGATGTGTCTCGTGGAAAACGCTTGCCTGCTGCACAGCATGAAACCAGTAGGGGGGCAAGAAACCCACATCAAAGGTCCCTTCACCGCCCCAATATCGATTGGCTGGTGATTCACCTGCCCAATATCGATTGACTGGTGAAGGGCACATCCCAAAGTCAGCTCCTTGACGTTCATAGACCAACGCATATTCCGGGTAGATTTGACCGCCATCCAGCACCACAAATTCCCGGTGTAAAGTACCATGGGGTTCTGCCAGGATGGAATGACATCCATTCCGGGCAGCTTCTGCTGCTGAATCTTCTTTCCGGAACATCTTGGTGCAATACTGAGCACCCAAAATGACCCGACACAGAAGCATCGCATGACAACCTTTGTAAAGTCCCTCTCCTTCTCCCGCATATTTGTCTGCAACTGCGGGATCTTCGGAAAAGTAGCCGCCGATTCCAAACCTTTTTCCAGCACGGCTGGCATTCTTCACATGGAAACCACCCTCAACAATCTTTAATGCAGAATGTGGCTCAGTTCCATGGAAAAGGTAAGCTTCACAAATATCCTCATCCAAGGCATGAACAAAACCACCATACCAACCACCCCAGCTTTCAACACTCTCCAGGGCTTGATTTGTGGTTGGCCCACCATGTCCTTTGAAGGAGAGCTTTTGGCGTCCGATTTCTTGTGCCAGCGATTGATACTCACTCCAGAGACGTGAGTGTTCCACCCGCACTGCCCTGACCAGCTGAAAATGAATCTCCTCATTGGTGCTAGTTTCATTCAGAAACCGTTGCAGCACTTCCCGATTCTGCAGTGGCACCGGGTAGATGTCATCAAAGTAGTCAGGGCTGGATCTGTCGAGTGCACCGTTCAAGGACTTCCCCGCATTCTCCCAGTACTCAGGAATAGCATCATACTTCTTTACGGCCTTACAGCTGCAAAAACGGACAAGCTGGCGGAAGTAAAACCAATAGCGCCACAGGCACGCAGCTAAAGATGAGAGTGCCACAAGGCCAGTGACGAGCAAAAGCATCCGGTCATCGAGATACACCATCTTTGGAGCGACATGGAAGTGCTCATACTGATTCAGTGCTTAATGGTTTTTACAGGTATCACTACCATCCCCCAAGTTTTCAACTGATTTTGTGTGAATCTGAATTAGATGTTGGTTGCTATGTTTTGTAGCCTGGCAATAGAGGAGATAGTTTTAATGCGTCCACACTGGACAGGATATGATACTCCTGATAGTGCAGAAACTTGAAACTTCGAAGCAGCAGCAGTCATTGCCATTAAGTGGGACATGCAAATTTGGCGGAGATGTCTCAAGGCACGGTGTAAATAAATCCTATCTATTTCTCTGTGCCTAAGTCCCGAATGCTTCCATTGATGCTAAAGACTAACACTGCCATCATCCCTTCCAAGAGAGTCCTTGGCAGCCGCATTCAAGTTCTGCTTGTACTCCTGGTGTGTCAATTGAAGTACTCGAAAATCACATGCAACGAGACACAACGAGCAAATAACAGATAAAACGGCCCAATATCACTTTATTACCCCAAGCACACAGGAAATACTTGCTGATATCAACAGTCAAGAAAATCTGATGTACACTACACCTACTACTATGTACTCTACATATGTTGTACATACTGTATATTATATATGATATTTGAATATATAGTTGATTCAAAACCATATTCTTCAAACATACATCAAAATGTATCAGTTTGGGCATAAAACATCATAAATATCTACATGTCAACTGCAGCTCCTGCTGTTGTTCCAAGGCATGTAGCCGTTGCTGCAAACGCTGCCGTGCTTCTCGGGTTTCGGCCTCCAATCGCTTCAGCCGTTCCTCACGGTTGCCTCGGTCAAAAACACGGCCTGAAACGATGGACAGAAAAATTGACTAATGGAGATATATTACTAATATGCTATTAATAATGGAAAATGGAAGAAAATGGAATAAGATGAGGAAACCAAGGTGAATCTGTTCAGGATGTTCAGATAGTTTCAAATAGATGATTTGACAAATGTTCGACCATGACCATTTGCATCTGGAATCACGAGTTCGATTTACAAGGAAGAGTCGTGGTCGTGGTCCACCGGTGAGTCAGCACTCTCTGCCATCAAATCACGTTTCTCGCGTTCCAACTCCTCTGAACGTGCTTGGGGTGAGTTCATCCATCGTGGCGCTCCCTGCGAGGCAAACTTGGCACGTCTTTCTATATGACAAGGTTTTGAGATATCAATAAACAAGATGCAGCCCACGAACCCGAATGCAGTCACGTAGAACACTTTTGTGAAACAAATTATTTGAACAATCTTGTACATTTTTCCCCTGTTACCGTACCAGTGCACTGTAGACTGTGGAGTGCGGAAGGGTGTGGAGTGCGGAAGGGGCTGGAGTGCAAAGTGTGGAGTGTGGAGTGTAAAGTGTAGAGTGTGGAGTGTAAAGTGTAAACTGTGGAGTCTGAGTGTGGAGTGTGGAGTGTAGAGTGCGGAGTGCAAAATGTAGAGTGTAAAGTGCGGAGTGTAAAGTGTGGAGTGTAGAGTGAGGAGTGTAAAGTGTAGAGTGTGAAGTGCGGAGTGTGGAGTGTAAAGTATGGGGTGTGGAGTGTAAAGTGTGGAGTGTAAAGTATGGAGTGTGGAGTGTAAAGTGTGGAGTGTGGAGTGTAGAGTGCGGAGTGCAAAATGTAGAGTGTAAAGTGCGGAGTGTAAAGTGTGGAGTGTAGAGTGAGGAGTGTAAAGTGTAGAGTGTGAAGTGCGGAGTGTGGAGTGTAAAGTTTGGAGTGTAAAGTGTAAAGTGTAGAGTGCGGAGTGTGAAGTGTAGAGTTTGGAGTGTAAAGTGTGAAGTGTGAAGTGTAAAGTGCGGAGTGTGGACTGTAGAGTGTGGAGTGTACAGTGTGGAGTGTGAAGTGTAAAGTGTGGAGTGTAAAGTGTCAAGTGTAAAGTGTCAAGTGTATAGTGTAAAGTGTAAAGTGTGGAGTGTAGTGTGTGGAGTGTGTGGAGTGTGTGGAGTGTAGTGTGTGGAGTGTGTGGAGTGTGTGGAGTGTGTGGAGTGTGTGGAGTGTGTGGAGTGTGTGGAGTGTGTGGAGTGTGTGGAGTGTGTGGAGTGTGCGGAGTGTGCGGAGTGTGTGGGGTGTGTGGAGTGTGTGGAGCGTGTGAGTGTGTGGAGTGTGTGGAGTGTAGAGTTGCGCCTGCCACACAAAGCGACTTTCGACACTTTTGCAGACACGTGAGAATATCACCAAGTGCCATGCATGCCATGGACAACGACATGACAACCTGCTTGGAAACCTTCGAAAAGGAGCGGTTTTGCAGCTTCCCCCATAAACACGGCGATGCCACAAGAAAACCAGAGAATCGAGACTGGACATGTAGGAGCCTCAAAAAAAGCATGTCGTGCGAGACCTCCTCCAATTTTCATGCTTTGTAGCTTCAAAATCGACGTTTTCCTGCGAGTTTTCTCATGAACCTCAAAACTTGCTACCTCAAAATCGAAGTTTCGTGCGAGGCTTCCGTCAATTGTCAGCACATGTCACAAAATGCCATGCCTGCCACGGAATTTGCACGTTGTCACCACTTCACGCAGCCCTGACAATGCGATTCGCAAAAAACACGCAACGTCGAAAGTGCTGCCCCTGCCACGCGAAATGACGATGGAGGTCGCCAAAGTGCTGCGCCTGCCACGAAAACTGGAACTCATCTTCTGGAAATGTGGCAAAAGTATTGCGCCTGCCACACAAAACGACTTTCGACACGTGACTCAACACGTCTGAATGTCACGAAGTGCCACGCCTGCCACGCCTGCCACGCGAAACGAGGCTACGCGACCTGTGAAACCTCCAAAGTGACCACTGTTGCAAAACTCGCCATAGGCACGGCCATACGGGCCTCACATGGTCGCCCGCGGACGGTTGCGAACGGTTGCAAATGGTTGCGCAACGTCGAGCGAACACACCCTCAACCCCCAGACCCCCAGAGTGAAACGGGAACCCTTGCTGCGCATTCGGGAAAAAATGCCTGCGACAAACCCCTTCTCGTAGAATCATCAACCGGCTCAATGTATTAACTGATTAAAACACCTGAAAATATCATACCCTAATGAGATCTAATGAATGATATCATATGAGATCTAACGAGTGTTGACCTGTCTGATTCCGCGTGGGACATCGTCAACACATCAAAATACCATACCAGATTATGTATTCGTGATACATGATGATAGATAGTTGATGATATAGGTTTCGACATCGATCCCGTGGTTTTGTCGGCGCAAACCCCAGAACTACTTGCTTGGCTACTCACAGCTCTCCCACAAGGCCTGGGGACTCTGCTCACGAACGTTGCGATGTGGCAAACGTGGCGTCGATGATGCCTTGACCATAGCAACCTCCTCAGGGAGAATGGCAGGTTGGGCCATGCCATGATATGATATGCTCATTCCACAAATCAGGAAATGGAATCACTCATTGTTATGGCCGCTCCAAACGGGGCAACTACTGTAAGTGCAGTTTAGCATCCCTATGGCGCTGCATTGGACTGGGAGATGGTGTGTAAGCCTTCCTTCCAGGACTCTCCATCCCAAAGACATTGCGGGGAGACGAGGCCCGTTTCAACGGGGACTGATTTGCAGGGGGGCGTCCGGCCGCATTGGGGTTGGGCGGTCGACCTGTTGGCAGCCCAGGGCTGCGAGGGGTTGGCTGTGCCACCTGTGCCACCTGTGCTGCCTGTGCTACTTGGGGACGAGGGCTGCCAAGGCGTGGACTGCTGCCCCGCACCTGTCTGTAGCCAACCTGTGGGGTTCCATGTGGAGTGCCAACAGGAACAAACTGCAGAACACCTTGAGCCGGCGGCGCCGAAACAGCTCGCTGCAACACTCGTGGAGAGGAACCCTGTCTGATGACTCTGGGTGCAGCCACATGGGCCACGGCCACATGAGCCACGTCCTGTCCCAAAGGTGCATGGGGTTTGGGACTCATCTCAGCTTCAAATGCTCCAGTGCTTGCTGCCCTCGCCACAGCGATGCAAACATCTGCTTGTGCCTTGGCAACTAGTCTAGCACGCTGAGCCGTCTCAGCTGTCCATAGGACCCTGGGTGAGTTGCTTCGAGCTCGGACAGCTCTCGCAAGTGGCGGCCCTGGAGATTGAAGAACTGGGCTCGGGGGAGAGAAGATGATGCCCTGGGGCGCCCCCTGGGCTGCTCGCCGCACGTGCGCCGTGGTCATCACAAAGATGTTAGAAATAGCTGCGGCATGAACACAAGCGACATCATCGCAATGCCAATATTGAGGTGTCACTGGTTATCGCTGTTCCCAATTTAAATAATTAACATTAATTAACATTAATTAACTAATATATTTTAATATTAATTATATAACTAACTCCGTGCTGCACTGATCTGCATCTGCACCAAACACATTCCAGGTCAAGTTCCCAAGGCTTACCCGCCGCGTGGTGCAGCATTCTTCTGGATTTCTGCGGCAACGCGAGAAGCGTAGCCGCCACCCTGCACATTTTGGTCGCGAACATTTGGATGCCAAGGTGGCCAAGAGCTTGTGGAACTGTAAAACATGGCGCTGCCTCCGGTCGTAGCAGCAATCCCCAGCGAAAGCGCCTCGCATCGTCTACCGTGAACATCAACTGATGCAATAGCGCTGGGACTGAGTGGTATCTACCGTAAATCTAAACAAGACCTTTAGGATTTCAGTTGCAACTTACAGCCTTGCAGCTACAAGTAGACATGCGTTTGATTAGCTTTTGGGACGACTGCGAGCATTGGTAAGCACATCTTTTTCGCCAAGCCAGTTGCCCAGTGCCAGAAAAGGTGCACTTTCGCCTTTGGTAACACATCTCATGCGACCTTCTTGTTACACAGCCTGGCGACCGCCTTGAAACAAATCAGATGACACGTTTCTTCTTTCGTGCTTTGATTTTGCGGTCTCGCCACCTGGCCAACCAAAAGAGGGGAACTGGCGCGCTGTTGAGGGCTTTGGCAACCTTGCCATCAGAATCTACAAGACATGTCAGCTGCACCATCTCCAATGTTTTTTGAAAGGGCCGCAGTCAAACTTGCTGGCATTCTCTACCTCAGGTCTGATGTGTTTATGCTGAGAATGAGAAGTTACAAGTAAGGCATAACATAGCACCAACGCATATCATGCTCCAAATGTCTCAGTTCAATCCAGTCGGGGCCAGTCCTGTCGGATTGTCGTTGCAAAAACTAAGCACGACTCCTTTTTCAGGGCATTCCGTTGCTCCAGCCTTCGACGATACCTGACAACAGTATACAGGCCCAGGGTGCCGGGTTGGGCTGCTGTTGGTTGATGCTTTTGGTAATCCGGATCATTTACAATCAATCCCTGACCTGATTTTAGGCACTTATTATAGGCCACGTTTGACGCTTTCCACAGCTTTACACTTCCGAGCATCAGACCATGGCTGGTTGCACAGTAGAGGGTCCACCTCCACGGTGCCACCTGGCGACTGTGCAACGACGGACTGGCACTGCTACCACAAAAAGTTCATGGACCTTCCTCCACCAATTCCTCCGGCGCAGGAAGTATGAACTCACGACCTCCAAGGTCACACAAATCATCCGACTGGGCCTTTGATCACTGGTCCTTCTTGTGACAGAAACTACACAGAATCATGTCATGTGCTACAAGTACCTTGCAGCGGCATCACGGGCTCAAAAGGCTGCATGGGACGCGGCAGCTTCACACCCGGTGCCACCTGGCAGAGCTGAGGTCCTAAGCTGGGGTCCAAATGATCCCCAGAATAAGATAGAATAAGTTAGAATAATTAGCTTCTACCGAACTTCTACCAGTCTCCGCCTTTGCAGCAAGCGCCTCCTGCACAAGGCCTGGCACCCGGGCACTAAGCAAGACAACTGCGTCGCAACATATTTCCGTGCAAAAAAGGCCAGCGCTGGCTATCATGAAAAATGTGTATCTCTAATCTCTCCCCAAAAATGTCCCCACAAGTGAGTGCATTTGGACATCCTGCTGAGACAAAGGCACTTTGGCAACAGCATTGCAGCTTAAAAAGTTCCTTCAAATCTCATGCAATTTAGGCCCACAAATGAATACAAATGATACATCCAAGCCATGCTGGTCCTATGCAATCTATGCAGCTGTGCACCTGTCCAGCGTGCCGGCAAACGAGCACGTGCAATTCCTCAGGATCCCAACTCGTGCAGCAAGTGGGTCATGGCATGTCCTGGGGTGTCTAATGAGTCTAAAACACTCACGTTTTTGGGGGTTGACTACGTATGTTGACTTTAGACTTCTGCATGATTACAAAAGATAGAAAAAGAATCGAATCCGCTAAAACCCGTCCATCTGAATAAAATTCAAAGGAACAGGATCGCTGGCAGAGACTCTGTGATGAATCTTTCTGTGCATAGCAATGTTGGGCCCCTGGCCTCTAAGCAAATACATGAGAGCTCTTTGTCTTGTGGTTGCTGTGGTTCAATGTCACAGTGTCACGTGCAATGGTTGGGCTCTGTGGGGCTGGTCAAATTGTTGCTGGACTCGGTTTCTTTCTTTGAGATGTCATGAGATGAGCATGCTGAATCTTGCAGATTGGTCGGGTAGAGTACGCTAAACCCTACAAAGCTGCAGACATCACATCCATAAATAAAATCAAATAAATACATCTTGCATCTACGAGTCCCCCCCTGCTCCTGCCTTCTGCAAAAGCCATAAAAAAAATGATTCTGCAAAAGTTCAAGAAGAAGAGTGGGCGAATCATTTCAACTTCATGAGGCCTCAGGAGCCACACAGCCAGCATCGGCTCCTTGTCCTGTACTACGAAGGACTGCCCTGAAAGCCTCTTTAATCATCCCAGCTTCAGAGAAGAATGCTGCAAGGTCCTTGTCACTGCTGCATACCAGCTCCTGTGTGTCTGCAGTCCGTAGTAGAAGCATTTCCAGCGCACATATACACAAGCTAACGGGAATGAATGAAGCAATTCCGTCCTTAAACTCCAGCGTTTGAGGCAGCTTGGCTCGACGGACAGACTGTTCCTGGAAGGGCCATTCAAGACTCAAGACCATGCCCAGCGTCCATGACCCAATGTGCACGTGGTCTGCACACACAGTGAGAGATACATGACAACATCGCTTCTCGCTCGACAGGAGGCATGTCGCGCTGTTTCATCACACTTGCTTCGTGTATTTGGCTTCGTTTCCCATGCGTCCTCTGTCTCGTCATTCTGCGTCTCTTTGGGCTCCTTGGTCAGATCGACGGTGAACACAGCTCGAGACCTAAGTTGCAGGGTTGAACCTGGTCGGCCAGTCATTTTGCTCAGGTCCACAATGTGGATCAAGAGCTTGAATGGTCACCAGCTTAATATCGCTCGAATCCCACTCAGCTGGTTGATAGAAGTTGTGTAATGTGATGTATATGTCTTGCGATCGAATGCCGACCATCTACAATCTAAAGGGTGAGAATTTGTCACAGTCTTTACAGCTAATTTTGCCTCCAAGTTTCTATCTCCATATTTCTCATCACTCTCCATCTACCATTCTGTTTACTGGGAATTCAATATCTCTGAGTGGAAGGCCCTGTCTTATAAGTTTAGAAGTTCAGACTGCATAGACTGCTGATTACGCTCATTCCTTGCACGACTCTCCAGATTGCTTTAAATTTATGTGGAGGCCTTTTGGAGACGTGCCAATCGTTCAAGCATGTTAAAGATCCAGTGGCGAAGAAAGTACCATCATCATACCCATCGACATGATGATACAAAATGGTACACATGGTACCAAATGGTATCAAAATTATCGAACATATCCAAAAAATATACCAATATTTGCATCTCGCTCTGAGTCTATCTGGGTTTCCTCTCTCGCGGAACTTTAGCCGAGACATAAGGGCATCAACCTTGATGAGCAACAGAGCTGCGCAAATGTTGGAGGCACTGGGGATGAGAAGCATGTCCAGAGTGTCAGGTGTATTATGATGTATTAGTAGAAAACTGGTAAAATGATGAAAAATGGAGAATTGGCACAGAGTCATGAAGTTCTCCCAGAAGTTCTACCCCTGCATGTGGTGTACAGTAACAACGTCCAGCCTTGTTGGCCCCGTCTTCGCCACCTGGATTCATGCGGCGAAATTTGCCCGCCAACAGCCTCCAATCCGTTCCATTCACTGTCGAAAGACCAAGGTGCGAGCGTTGCGCTCTGGGATCCAGAGTCAACGTGGCTGAAAAAATGAAGGTTTGCAACCTGAGCAGGCAGATTTGCTGGCAGTCTCTGAGCATCTGACTTGGAAAATGTTCATCCTGACACAACGTTTGCTTTCTGCTCGATGATCAATGATCAAGTCTGCTCGAGTTTGTCAGCTTCTTGAACAAGGCTTCGTCACCTGTTTCCATTTTGATGGGCACTCAATCAAATCGGCTCAAGTCTTTCATAGTAACCTCTGCACATCGTCATCGCGTTTGCTAGTTGTCTGGAATCATCAGTGGCTGATCACAGTGAGTGTGTTATAAGTTACAAGTAATAACCCCAGTTGTAAATGAGATAAATAGTGTTAATCCACTTATAACTGGGGTTATAACCCCACTTACTAAGTGAGATGTGCCACCAAGTAGGCAGTGTCATAGTCTTTGCATGTCTTGCCAGGTAGCTGTTGAAGTCGCTCCACAGACTGGTACCTTGGGCAGAGAATTCTCCGAATTCTCCGAATTGATCCGGAAAGAAGTGGCTTTGGGCAATGCCGAGCCGCAGAAGTTCCAGGATTTTATCCAGCTCTTTGAAGTGTCCCGACTCGACGAGCCGGTCAGCCTCTCAGTACAGTCGGCAGCTCTGGATGCGACGTGTTGGCGACGTGTCCAGCCTCATCCAGCACCAGGTGTCTCACGTTCTTCAGTCCCTCCCTTAACCATTCGCACTTGTCTGCCTGGCGATGATGTGTGCGATTTGACAATGCCAAATTATATAAATTATGAAATAGAGGTTTCTTAAACTGGGGGTACCCCCAAATCATCCATTTAAGAGGATTTGCCATTATATGGCATCCATTTTGGGGTACCCGGTACCGATGGGTACCCCCCATTCATGGAAACCCCCAAATATTGATCCACATAATGGTCCCCCTCAATGATGACCACTACCGACTGATAGCATCTTGAGATGTTTACAGAATTCAACGCAATTCAACGCTACTTGCCTCTTCACCCATCCCAAGGAGAGCAAAGATCCGGCCAGGCGTGCCCACCTCATTTCAATACAGATCTGCTTTCACGGTGAAGATATTGCAAAAGCCTTGAAGCCAAACAAAACCACACAGTATGTTGTGATATTTCATAACCATTTCATAATCTACAACAAGAAATGATGATGAATTATCTTGATATAATTATTCTTCTATATATTTCTGTATAACAAACGTATGACAATACTCTGCGATCACGTATTATGATTTTGTCTAAATAGTGTCAATGCAAGAGGTGATCCTGTGTTGAGAATCCAACAACCACTGCAGGTTTTCTGCGCAAAAGCCGCCTTGGACTTGCTTTCAATTTATTAAGGTTGAGAAGTTGGAATAAACCGTACCCGCCATTCCCTCAGCTTGAGATGAAAACACATGGGCTGCTGCATTTTTTCGAGATTCATCTACACCATCATCATTGTCTGCAATGCGTAGCCCTAGTTCCACATCAGGCGCCTTTCCTGCTAAGACTTCCACTTTTGCTTCTGGGTGGAGATACCTCATGGTCCATGAACAAGTGTCGGGGCCAAAACTTAGGTAGTCTATGAAGATCACATTTGTTAAATTAATGATACCTGATGAATGCTTTCATCACTTCTCACAGTCTCCTGCCTCCAACCAAACACTCTGTGTGGAGGGGGCAGCTCTGGGCAACTGCGTTCAAGTGCGCCTGCACCTTGGATGCAGATTGTGCAATTTCCCTTCTCACTGTGGTTTTAAAGAACCCTCTGTGAGGCACAAAGACGTCGACTGCGGCACATGTTGTTGTGCAAAGAAGATCTCACGTCAACAAGTTTCTCGCGCAGAGAATTTGTTGGACCTTTTTGAAGCATTTCTAAGCTGTAAAAGAGAAGCAAAGCAGCAGTTGAGCAATCACTTTTGGCTCTGTGCAAGGTCCAAATGGGCACTGCCACTCAGGCGATTCTTCGTGCCATGATCCGGTCCTCCCGAGGTTTGCGATGTTGCAGGGCAGGGACTGTGAGATTGCTGATCATCCACGATTCATGACAATATTTAAGTGCGTGCTATAATTCAACTGGCACCTTTTCAAACAGCTCAGGTAGAAAGTTTGGGGCTCAAGATGTGAAAGCACAGATTTCTAGCCAGGCCGGAAAGTGTCGAAGGTGATCGGGCCAATGATTGCAATCTGTTTGGCCCCTTGGCTCCTCTTTACTTCGAACAGCGCTTTCGCTCTTGCCCTGAGCTGAGGGACCAGAACCCAGAGCCTATGCAGTGTCAAGATGTCCACAATGACAAGAAAACCGGTCCGACTCCTGACTCTGATAACTCTAACAATCCAAAAGCTGTGGGTTAGAGTCGGTTACGGGCTATCCTGGCTATCCTGGCTATCCTCAGTACGGAGGCAGGGCCTGCGCCACTGCCTCAATGGTCTTTGTATCCACTGCCTTCTCTCCCTTTTTAACCTTGGAATGGCAGAAAACATCAGAAAGTCAGATACTAAAAAGATATAAAGAGATACTATCTTCATCTCTCGCCAGTCATGACGCTGGTCAGCAAGTGCTCCATCAGTGGTTAGTTCAAGCGAAAGAAGTCAGATGATTCCCGCAGCATCAAACAGTGTAACACTGATCATAGTGATCATAACAATTCATATTCATACCAAGTCATTTGACCATCTTTTCAGTCAAGAACTCTGAGCACCAACTTAGGTTCAGGAAACTCATAAAAGTCAGCCAAGTGGGAAATGGCAAGACTTACAAGTAGGGTACAAGGCAGTCAAGGCAGTGACCCTGATTGCAACGCTGTTGTAGTAGCGAACTCCAGGGTCATGCTGGGCCTCAGGTGCATGACCTTCTTGTTCTTGCGCGAAAGGTCACCCAATTGTCACAGATTCCAATCTATGATGTAAGGTTGCGCTTAGAAAACGGATTACAGATATCATGCACAATACGTATGTTTACGTTATACAAATATGTCGGAAATATTTGTTTCATTGATTGATTTATGTATGTTTGTATGTACGACCGTATGTACTGTATGTATTGATTGATTGATTTTTTACATATATAATATACATATACAGGGTAATACGTTTAGTATGTGTCTGTATATATGTACATATCATATCATATCATATCATATCATATTACTCATATTACTATATTATATTATTTATATATATATATATATATCACATGTGACGATCGGATTACGACCGAACTTTCACCTGTTTCGTCACGTGCAGAACGAGCAGCACTTTGCTGAGGCCGCTGAGGCCACGGCATTGAAGGCATTGGAGATCTCATTCCGAATGTAGTCTCGACCCTGTCAGCTTCGCGCAGTCGCGGCGAATGCAGGGGGCAAAGATGGACCAAGATTTTTTCAGGATTTTTTCATGATTTTTTCATGAAATTCCATGGACTATCCTGACTACGCAGCTTAGTTCAAAATGAACTGTTCCAGAAAACCTGCAGTTGTTATCTTTTTTGGTGTTGGCTCCTGTGCCCTGGAGATGCAACGTCTAATATGCCAGGGTGGCCAGTTTCCTTTCGGCCTTCTCTTTCTTTTTGGCTGAGCCTAAGACTTCAACAAAGCTGCTGGAACACCATCCAAAGCATTGTTTCTGTCAAATACACTGAACTGTGCCAAGCTGAACCCCAACTCCGCATAAATTCTTGCGGTGTCTGGTCCCTGCTCAATTGACGGAAACGCACAAACTTCTTGACCGAAATGCTTCTGATTTATCCAATCAGGGACATCTGCAATCTCAAACTATCTGTCTGGAATGACTTGCTTCTGGAACTCAAAAGCTCCGAACTCTTGTTGCGCTTGCGTCCAGCTGCCTGCCAAAGATCGCACAGAGATTTTGCTCTGACCTTTTACCAAGTCAAAGCACAATGCACTTTTAGATGTCGTTCACACGACCTGACCTTTGGAATACCTTTGGGAGAAAAGGATGCCCAACCAAGAAAACATGAGACACCGCTTTGCCTCTCGAACACCTGCAATCATACTTTGCTACAACCAGTTCTCCAAATGTTTGCCCTTTTTGGGAATTCCACCGGTTCAACTAAAATGCCAACAGGCCTGGTCAGCAACGCGCTGAACTTCCAACAGCTCCATAATTCGTGCCTTCAACTGTTTTGAAGTCTTCACATCAACTCGCCACGCTATCTGACAGTAGAGCTTTTCCTAAAGCTTGCGATGACATGTGCGATGAAACCGTCAACTTGTCAACCAAATCAGCCCAAATCAACCAACATCAACCAACATCACCCAACATCACCCAACATCAACCAACATCAACCAACATCAACAAGCCTTGTCCGCTTTGCTTAGGTCGCTATTCGTGCCGTCGATGTCCACTGCTGATGCCTGCAATGCCAGGTAAGATGGAGCTGAGGTGCACTTAAAAATCATGTAAGTTCAGATTGCTCCTACTCTTGAGACACGTGCACAATTGTGCACATACACCTCTGGGTCAATGGACACGTGCTCGGCACACTCTGTCAACTGTTCATCTTTTGTGGTCCTGCCTGGCCTTTGCGTACTGAGCCTACTGCGCAGTCGGGGCAGGTTTTATTGCCTGACTTGCTTTTGCCGGCTCACTAAAGTCTTTGAATCACTGACAGAGACAAAATCTCACCAACTGTACAGCCAAAGGCAAAGCTTGAAACAGCTTTCCTGGATTTGGGGCGACTTCAGCATACGTCGCGGAACGCTCTCTCATGCATTCGAATTCACTATACTAGGATTTGGGAACGTTGCCACTCTCAGCGCAAGACCAATCTTACAAATTTCTTTTTGCCAAACAGGGTTGTCACTTTCGAGGGGCTCTCTCCTCCCCTTTCAATCCATGTCGTCCAAAATGGTGTGCGTAAGAGCTTCAAGAAAAGACGCTTAGCCAGGGCCATTTCGTTTTGCCGCGGCCAGAGCCATCCAGGTGGTCGAAGGATCTCAGTGGAGGATTCCACATCTCTCACAAGTCGATCGATCACTGTGTGGCAATCCTCCTGCAGCCTCTCTTTCTCTTCAGCTAAAAGGTTCACACGAAAGATGTGCCCACGCTCCGTGTCTGCAAAGGCATCCGCCAGCTTCAAATGCTTTGGCTCTGACTCCAAATGAGGGGGGAATAAGAAATCTCCCACACTTGATGTCCTTGGAAGTTCTCCTCGCTCCCAAGTCTGCCAAAAATTCCAGTACCACTTGCTATCTGGGAGTACTGTCACTCGAGTCTTCTTCACATCTGCTTCCATCGGAGGTTCTTTCAAACTGCTTCCAAGACTGTTGGTGAAGCCAGAGGCCCCATCTGCCCATTCACTTGGATTGGTATATTGCACATCCACTGTGCTACCATGTACATAGGTGATTACTGCGCTATATGATACCTCCCTCCGAAGGCCCAAGTGACATCCTTTGCTGAAGCTCAAGAACCTTCGGTCCTGGAGAAAGTGAGAGAGTCATGCCAAGAGCTTGTGAGTTTATTGGCTCACTAGAGATACTGCAACTGCACATACGGAAAATGCACGAAAATGCGTGTGTGTTTACAAGTCTGCTGGCCAAACAGTCCATACATTTCAAGCAGCATGTCTATGATTGTGTGTGTGTGCACTTGTCATACGTCTGCTTCCAGGTTCAGTCGTCTACTTTGACTTGAGCTCTCCTGACAAGAAGCTTGTTCCAGTCGAGCAATCTCCACATCTGGTGGTAAAGGTCCATCGGGCATCCCCCAACCGTCACAAAGGCAGGACTGCCAAATATAGTTGTCCCCCGCTCGCTCAACTCGGCAAAGGTCACCTCAGCCGGTGACATGGCCAGCAGGCTGCATGCAACATACGTCTTTTTTAAGAATATCATCTCTCGGTAAATCAGCGCTTACTGTAAATGCGTGATGTAAAAGTAAAACAGAAACCTAGTCGTCTGCAGGTTGTGCAATCTGCTCACCTGGCTTCAGTCTCCTTCTCGCCTCCTCCTGCACAAGTTCAGCACTGCTGAAGAGGGATCCCTCTCCTGGTAGTCCATCTGCAGAACGAAAGCTCCCAAAGATCTGTTCAAAGCCGGGGTTCTGAATGAGTTCCACATCAGAAGAAGGTTCAACGCGAGGAAGTTTTACATACGCCACTCTCTCATCCAAAGGATTTTTCTTCGGTTGGGAGAGATGGTTCACAGTAAACCTCGCTGGCACACGGGTCCGCAAGACCTCTCTGCTCTTAGGATCCTGTGCAAACATGACAATAGACCAAAGGGAGTCTGCTACAAAGCAGCGATAGACTTGAGCGTTCGCCTGGGTGTCAACTGTACTTTGCATTTCACTTGTGCGGATCAGCAGAAAACGACCGTCTCGGAGAAGCAATATGGCTTGGAGCTGCCTCCGCAAAAGTGCAACGGTGGAGGCAAGAACAAAACAATATCTCTGGAAATACATCAAAACATGTTGAAACATGTTAATGTAAAACCATTAAAACATCACGGAAATCCACCTATGCAAGACCACTTTGAGACGTCACTTTATCCAAGATCCAGCTCCTGGTCCAGAAGCTGTAATGGAACCACGCTGCGTTGAGTGCCATGATGGCCAGCACATCATCCGGAAGCTTTGGTGCTGACACATCTCCCGTATAGCCTGGCACTGCCTCGCAGTGATGCGAAACTTCGCCCGCTTCGGCGTCACTGGATTCCCGAGGCCAGCGGAAGAGCTCTTGATCCAAACATTCCCACCACAATGTGTCCTAGGTGTGTTGGAAAAAAGGCCGGATGGGTCTCCAATTATGACCATGTTAGTGACTGCTGGGAAAACATGGGAAAACGATTCTCGATTTGGGGTGCCCTGATGCTGATCGTGATTTCAGAAACGTTTCAAGCGCTTGCAATTGGATCACCAAAGGTGATCTTGATACACCGATCTAAAGGGTGTGTCAACTTATTGTTGATGCATGTTTGATGCATTTTTGCTGGTTAACTCATATTTTTGATGCATGTTTGATCATTTTTGTTGGTTAACTCATATTTTTGATGCATGTTTGATGCATGTTTGATGCATGTTTGCTGGTTAACTCATTTTTTTGATGCATATTTGATCATTGTTGTTGGTTAAGTCATATTTTTGATGCATTGTTGGTATTTTTTGTTGGTTAACTCATATTTTTGATGCATGTTTGATGCATTTTTGCTGGTTAACTTACATTTTTGATGCATGTTTGATCATTTTTGTTGGTTAACTCATATTTTTGATGCATTGTTGGTCATTTTTGTTGGTTAACTCATATGTTTGATGCATTTTTGATGCATTTTTTATAGAATTCAACAGAAATCAACAGATAACAAAACAAGACGCAGGACTTTAGACCGCCAAGCATCCATTGTAAATGCCTTGATCAAGCAGTGATAACTCGGAGCATCTGTATCCACGGGAAAGGGGTCGCTGCCTTGTGGGGGCTTTGCCAGGGTAGTATTTGGCTCGACATAGATCAGGTGCTGATCATACGAGACATATGCCACCTGCAAGCTAGCATTCCTCAAGCATTCATGCCAGTCAAGAATTAGCTGTCTGCACCCTTGCCGGTGGAGGTTAAGGATATTGATATCACCTGCACAAACCATGCGAAGTTGGTGCAGAAAGACTTTGGCATCCAGGCATTTTTGGGTCTCCAGCCAAACCTGACACACCTTCGCGCAACCAAAAGCCTCCCTCAAAGGGAGAAACTCCATGACAAGATCCAGCCATCTCGACATGGGCCCCAGAAAGGCTTTCTAGGTAGCGATGGTGCAAGGGGGTACAGTGCTCAAGTGGTAGCAAAAGCTGCTGGTGGGGAAGACATGGAAAGGCGCTGTTCCTAACATGTCGTCTGTTTTAAAAGTGTCTCAATTCTTGTTTTTTGGTCTGCTCACTGGAACGGTGGGAGGTGGCCGAACTACGGTCTGTCAGCAGAAATGGACAGGAGGCGCTGTGAGTGAACAGGGATGTTGACAGTAGTTAGTCAACATTAACCACAGTAGCGTCAAGTAAGTTGAACATGAATTGACCATAGAAATCCATAGAATATCAAAATAAATCTATGTAATACCGCAGATATCCATGGTCCATTGTCAAGTATTCTGCACTCGTCTCTGCACCTCGCGCTTTGGCTCAACTCCTGCTCGGATCTGCTCCCTGGGCAGGTGAAAGTGGCCTTTAAGATCTGCCGGCATGCTTAAGGCTTAGAATCTTAGAATGCTTAGATTCCAATATTGGATCAAATGTATTCAAATGTATGCATCAATTTCATCCGTTGTGTGGGATCTTCCAACCAAGATCATTCTGAAGGCTAAACAAGTTGGTTTGCTTTCCAGACTTTCAGAGATCAGAAGTTTGAAGAACAGAAGCCCCGCCTGAGCATTTCAAGCAGAGCATCATACTCAGGTTCTCTGTCCTCACCAGATGGCAAGTCCTGCTCAGATGCCAACATCCATCGGTTATGTCTGGAAAAACCAGGCGCCAGCTGCAGTTCATCCACGAGGGCACTCCCACCTCTTTGGTCTCAGAGGACACCTCCTGCCCCAGGTTCTGCTCCTGCAGATATGGAGCCGGCAGGAGCCAATTTCCAACCCAGCGGGAGGCTCAGTGGCCTTTCTAAGTGGACCCAAAGCCCCTCCGCCTCCTGTGCAGTTGATGTTGCAGCAGTGGTACTTCCAGGCTCTGGTGTGTCTGGCACCTGATCTCAGCAAATGAAGAACAGTTCCGTTCAAAATTCATTGTAGCCAGATGTAGCCAGAAATGTATCAGATACAAAGGTGATGCGTAGCAATGCATGCCATTTCTGGATACCCTGAGCCGTCTCCAACTGTGCACATCGGACGGATTCCAAAGTGCCTCCTCCACAGCTTCCGCTGGCGCTTCTCTTGGAACCTTTGCAATTGCCGGAGGCTGGTGGACCTTCCGTGGAAACTACTGGGCAAGGACAGGAATGAAAAGAATCAGGACCTGGTAAAGTTGACCAACTTCCAAGGGTTTAAACATGTTCGCTGCAACCCTGACGTTGTAAGTGTGGAGCAACGTCCGGGTTGGGGCGAACATGTTTCAACGGTTTCAACTTTCAACATGTTTCAACTGGGAGACACCGGGGACACGAAGAAAACTCACGGTTTTTGATGGGTTTTTGTTGGTTGAGCCTCGACCGCCTTCTCGGCCCTCCTTTGGCGACGACTTGGCCGCCTGCAGGTGTCCGGATCACCTTTATACTGGTTGATAGGGATTCCCATGGGATTCCCATGGGATTCCCATGGGATTCCCATGGGATTCCCATGGATGATGATACTCCCCATGGATAGCAAAAAGAAGTAAAAAGAAAAGTTTACCAACAGGGATTTAGCCACTGCGCAAAAATGTTAGCACGAAATGTGCGATGGTTTCAACCCCGGGAAACTTGCAAAGTTCAAGCACCTCCTCCGCGCACCCTTGTGCCCTCGAGCCTGAGTTTTCGGGTCTCCGAGACGCAACGTATTTCCGGGGTTTTCTGGGAAAACGAGGAAATGGAAGATGAAATTTGAATGAAATGGAAGTTGATTGAATGATCGTGAGAGCGTAAAAAACTCCGAGTGTTTACAATGGCAAATGCGGACAGTCATGACAAGGGACTGGAGGCGATTCCCCCATCTCTGTTTGCTGGGTTCGGTGGTGCTGCGCTTCCTGGAAAAGGCCAGAGCTACAAGCAGCTTCAAAACATGAAGGCTAATTTATAGTTGGGGCTCATATGCAAAAATAAACTTAGGCGCGCAATGAAGCCTCCGTCACAAGACTAAATTATGACATAATCCAAAACAGAAGGGAAAGTCTGAGTAGTTGAAACCTGTTGAAACCAAATAAACCACTTCTCATTTGCAGAGTCTCTTCAATGGCCAAAGCTGCTTGCACATTTGTGTCCTCGCTGCCCCGAGCAAAATATGGCTCTGAGTTGGCCCTTTCACATTCTGACCTCGATTCAAAACACTGAGCAATCAGAGCACTGAGGTTTGGCCTCCCACTTTGGGTTTGGCCATGCTCTGCAAATTTCAGGAACATGTCACAAGTTAACAACACGCACTGGGCGTCCATACTCAAATTCTGGCCCTGGCGAGCGATCTGTGTCTCTCTCGATTTACAATGATTTATAGTTTGAAATTCTCCGCTACGCACCGACAGCTCATGATATTTGCACATTGCATCCCTAAGTTGCCTCATTCTGTGCCTGTTAAACCGGCACTTGGGCACTATGCTATACTATGCTCATGAGATGCAAAGGTTGAGCAAACGATTCCAAAAGTGATCTGCTAAATCTGCTTGAATCAAATGCATCCTTCTGCTTCCCTGTGTGCATTGAGTTGCCGGTCTAAACATTTGTCGGCACCGTCGCACATCGAAATAATCCATGCTCAAGGCTGATCTTGCCAGCCTTCAAATGCAGCATCCCGCTTGGACGCCTTGTCACAAGGCCGGAGAGACAAGACACGTGTGGCGTTCCGTGGTCACCAACGAGCCACCAACGACAATTTCGTTTCAGTCAGGATCTGTTTTGATCAGCTCCGCCTCGAGGACCAGCAGCCTGACTTTGGGACGGGTTCGCTGTTCGATTTTTTTTCAAAAGGTGAGGTTTTCATGGCCGGCCTCGTGAGTTCCCGGGGAGCCAGGTCCAGAGCAGCAAAGGCCCAAGCCAACCGCGCCAAGTCCTGGATCACAGTTCAAACATGTTCAAACCAACTGAGGTCCCAAGAAGCTCAAACCTTGGAGGGCTTGGAAGGCAAGGGCTGGTAAGGTTGTAAATCGTGTAAGCCCATGCAAAGCCTGACATCTCTGCCGCCATAGAGTCTAAGTCCTCATCATCCAACTGGCTAATCTTCTCTGCCGCCTTGACAAGTGCAATTCATCGTGTGCGATCTCATGATTCAGGTGACTGGCTGTGAGCAGCTCCGCACACTTTTTACCTCTCAAAACGCGCATCGAAGAAACACAAAACACAAACTTTACAACACTGCGCATTGCAGCGCAATATCCCAGAATCTGCGAACGACCTTGCCACCACTTTAACGACTTTCCTTGAGTTTCGGCACTCCATCGTCCTCAACAGTCGTGAGAAGTGCTGCGACGGGAAATCCCTGGACCTGTTGGATCACCTTCCACCACGAGCCGTCGAGGTCACAAGCTGCAGCACATGGAGTGGAACCCTCCAGCACGATCAACAGAGGTCATGACAGCTTTGTTGGATGTTCTTCACTTGAATTTCACATATATAGGTCATGACACATCGAGCAAGCACTTGATGTCTTTGTCATCATCGGCAAAGCTGAGCAAAGATCCATCTGGCTTCACAAGCTGCAGCCTCTGGGGAGGCAGTTCCAGTCCTGAGCGCAGCACGGCCTTGCTACAAGATGCTACAAGCCCAGAGAGCGTGTTCCAGGTTGAAAGCACATCCAAGCACAATGGTAGCAAAGCATTTGGGGCTGACCCATTCCTACAATTATTCCATCTTCCCCCTTGAAACATCTTGGAACATTGCTGCTTTGACACTTGCCGAAAGCAAACGCCGCAAGAGTTGCAATGCCATTGGCTGCGATGGCTGCAGAGGCAGCCGTGCATTTTGAGCGCCTGAAGCGCTACAAGCGCTTAGAATTCCATCCTGCCGGATTGGGAAAGACCCAGGACGGCAAGGATCAGTAGAATTTGTGTAATGAACCTTCTGGATAGGTGTCAAAGTCTAAGGCCTTAGGACCTACTGTTGTTGGTAGGTGTCCAACTGTCAAGCCATCTTATAACATTTTTCAGGTCACCCAGGCTCTAGATGTGATGTGTCAGGCTCCAAGATTGAGGATAGTACAGTATCAGCAGTATCAGATTTCCAAGATTGCCAAGTTTTGTCAGTCCACACTCTCAAAACATTGCACAACCGTGTCAAGACCAAACGGTTTTGATGGTTGACAGGCATGTTAGCACTCTATCTGCCTATCTGTCTCTCTACCTACCTACCTGTCTGTCTGTCTGGCTACCTGTCTACCTGTCTATCTGTCTATCAGTCTTTCTGTCTAGCGGTCCGTCTGGCTACCTGTCTACCTGTCTATCTGTCTATCAGTCTTTCTGTCTAGCGGTCGGTCTGGCTACCTGTCTATCTGTCTATCAGTCTTTCTGTCTAGCGGTCCGTCTGGCTACCTGTCTATCTGTCTATCAATCGGTCTGGCTACCTGTCTACCTGTCTTTCTGTCTAGCGGTCGGTCTGGCTACCTGTCTACCTGTCTATCTGTCTATCAGTCTTTCTGTACAGCGGTCCGTCTGGCTACCTGTCTACCTGTCTATCTGTCTATCAGTCTTTCTGTCCAGCGGTCGGCTACCTGTCTACCTGTCTATCTGTCTATCAGTCTTCTAGCGGTCCGTCTGTGTCTACCTGTCTGTCTATCAGTCTACCGGTCTGTCTACCTATCTGTCTATCTGTCTAGTCTTTCTGTACCTGTCGGTCTATCTGTCCGGTCCGTCTACTATCTGTCTAGTCTTTCTGTCTATCTGTCTATCTGTCTGTCTACCTGTCTACCTGTCTATCTGTCTATCAGTCTTTCTGTCTAGCGGTCGGTCTGGCTACCTGTCTACCTGTCTATCTGTCTATCAGTCTTTCTGTCTAGCGGTCGGTCTGACTACCTGTCTACCTGTCTTTCTGTCTATCAGTCTTTCTGTCTAGCGGTCGGTCTGGCTACCTGTCTACCTGTCTATCTGTCTATCTGTCTATCTGTCTATCTGTCTATCTGTCTATCAGTCTTTCTGTCTAGCCTGTACTACCTCTGTCTATCGTCCTGTCTATCAGTCTTTCTGTCTAGCGGTCGGTCTGGCTACCTGTCTACCTGTCTTTCTGTCTATCAGTCTTTCTGTCTAGCGGTCGGTCTGGCTACCTGTCTACCTGTCTATCTGTCTATCTGTCTATCTGTCTATCTGTCTATCAGTCTTTCTGTCTAGCGGTCGGTCTGACTACCTGTCTACCTGTCTTTCTGTCTATCAGTCTTTCTGTCTAGCGGTCGGTCTGACTACCTGTCTACCTGTCTTTCTGTCTATCAGTCTTTCTGTCTAGCGGTCGGTCTGGCTACCTGTTTACCTGTCTTTCTGTCTATCAGTCTTTCTGTCTAGCGGTCGGTCTGTCTACCTGTCTACCTGTCTACCTGTCTATCTGTCTATCTATCTGTCTACCTGTCTATCTGTCTATCTATCTGTCTACCTGTCTATCTGTCTATCTATCTGTCTATCTGTCTATCTGTCTATCTGTGTACCTATCTATGTGATGATCCTTTCAATTCGTCCAGAATTCTCGATATTGAAATATGTGTGTCTTCTATACTTTAGCTCCGCCCAGGTCACCATGTCATCGATGGCTCCTCAGCAAGGAGGGTCATCACCACCATGGGCTGCGGATCTATGACGGGCACGCAATGCACCGTTGGATGCAAATCCGGTGGGGAGCATTGGCCACACTGCACAGGGAATGCAGAAACGGCAGAAACGAGATGTGCTCAACATATCTCGAGACCAAGCGAACTGCACACAGCCTGGCTAGTCTGACATATACAAATCTTAAGAAACAAAAAAGGCTTGACTTGTCTTTACCAGTACAGTGGAACTGCTTCAGGTAATCAATATCAAGAGAAAGAGCATCGTTAAGCCCGACCCTATTGTCACCGAAGAGCACAGGTAGGCCATCACTGCGCAGCAACCTGAAGAGCGAATGAAAAGAGCGTGAGCACAAAATGGATCAAAATGGAATAGAATAGTTGCAGTCTGCGATACAGACACCGCATCTCAAGATTCTCAAGTGTCAGTTGTGAGCACCAAATTACCAGAGCTGAGGAACAGGGTGTGAGCACCGCCAGCTGCCACACTCACATAACTTGTGCCTTTGGGCAATGGCGGGACGTCGCACCTTGCTTCAAAATGTCAAGCTTGCAGAGCTACTTTCAGCTGCGAAAACTTTCAATCTGGAGAACACGGCGCCATCCTACGTACTCTTGTTCGAAGATGCGTGTGGATGGATAGAGTCTGTGGGTCTTTCTATCCCATCTTGGATGGTTCATTTGGCTACACATGGAAGCAACCAAAGCAGGAAAGGATGTCACCCACATCATATGGTATATGTATGTATGATTATGTTATGTGTATATATAATATATATACACATAATTACATCTATGTTTCTATGTATGTTTCTGTGTGTCTGTACACAGAGAACTTTGGGACAAAGGCGCTGTCCACGGCCGTTGCCACCCACGGCCAGCGCTTCACCATCATCACAAAGCAGCACTGTGTGAGTCCAACCCGCGGCGCAAGCGACATACCGGCAACCCTGACAGTCCCCCACATCACAGGGACACCGGGGGTCATGACAATCATGACAGTCATGACTAGTGAATCTCCATGAGGGTGTGTCTGAAAATAGTGTACCCCTAAACCCAATGGTTTTGCTGATCATTATCCCTATTTTTTATGGCTATTTCATTGGGAATATACCCAACATTTTCAGACAAACCCATGAATCTCCTAGATATGTCGCGACTTCATGCGACTTCAGCTCCAGAAGCCTTGCTTGCCAGGCCTCTGGCAAGTCCGGAAGCTCGCACTGGCCAGCACCGTTGTGACCAAATGCCAGTGCTGCACCGTCTGAGCGAACTAGAACGCTGTGATTTCCACCTGCATTAAATCGGAACAGGGTTCATCTCCTGGGAAACAAACCTCACAATGAAAAATTAAGATTGCATGATTTTCCATGGCATAACTTTACTAGAGGGTTTACGGTGCTGTAAACATGTATATATACACTTCAATGCCTGGAGAATCGGCACTTCCAAAGCTGTCTCCTTCGGGGCATGCATCAAATTTAGGTTTCACTGTTGAGCCCCGCCTGCTGCAACGTCTACATAGCGCATTCCATCAGGAAGCTCAGGGACATCACATTCACCTGGTGAGTTTGATTCATGGCTACAGCAGCCTGTGGAGCATCCCAAAAATATTCCCCCTTGAACCACATTCTCGGGACCATCTCTTGTACAGGCTTGGACCATCTGCCTGCTTGTCCATGGCCCCAGCTAACAGCATGTCCATCTTCCCGCAGGAGCACTGCATGCGTGCGACTGGCCGATGCTGCCACATAACCTGTGGTCACAAAAATGACAGAAGGTGTTCGAATTACAGAAACCCGGAAACGATATCACCATCACCATCACCATCACCTCCTCTCCATATAGAAACGCATGACCTCTCACACACAAACATCTGAGCATCGTTTCCGGGCGACCCTGTCCAGGTGGAAGTGGAGGCACATTGCACTGCTTAGCAGCGTTGTCCCCAAAGGCGACCGCCTCTCCGTCGTCCCTGCAGTGAAAGTTTTCAACATGGAACACTTGAATCTCTTGAAGATTATCGTTCATTGATGTTCATTGATGTTCATTGATGTTCATTGATGTTCATTGATGTTCATTGATGTTCATTGATGTTCAGTGTTCCTTCACCTTCCAGATTCTATTTGTTGCTTGCTATGTTGCTGCAAGATTGGGCCCAGGCCTTATCAGGATCGAGAAGCCGAAGCCAGCTGCCACTTGAACATATCGCAAACCCTCAGGCAATTCGGGCACCTGCACAGGACTGAAATCAAGCCAAAGCATGACCAAGTGTCCCGGTCAAAGCTTGTGATGGACTGTCCTCCACACAGCTTCAACACAACTGATGGAAGGATGAATATGAAAATATGTTTGGATTTGGATCCCAGTTCCTGACTTGAATCGACCTTTGATGGGTGGGAACACCGATGCAAGAAAGTCTTGTTCAAAGTGGAGCTCAGTCGCTACATCCTGGCAACCGGTTCTTTGAGGGTGCGCCATCAAATCCAGCCTCGCACTGCCCTTCGCTGCAGCCACCAAAGGCCACCTGAGCCGAGGTGGGAGAAATGGCCACCAAAGGACAAAGGCATCATGATTTTACAGGGGGATTCTCTACCCTTCCCCCTTCCCCCTTCCCCTTCACTGCCCTTCAAAAAATCTGCTTGTCTGATGAGCGGTAGCCCCCCAAAATGGCCGCTGTTAAATAGGGAAAACATGGGAAAACGAGGTTGTGGTCATTCTAATCAGATTCTAATCCATGACTTTCAGGCCCTGATATCTTCCCCTCCGTCATTGCTTCCAGATTCACCAGATGCCAAAGGACTGCATGGCCGTCATCTCGCAGCAACAGTGTGTGGCTGATGCCCGCGGATGCACCGATGTAGCGCCTGGATCTTGGGAACGGGGCAGGCTACGGGAAAGAATTGGGCACATGCACGAATAGACTCAACAGACCCATAGAATTGACCATAATTGGTCATGTTGATATAGTTTAAAACCATCCACTTTGATCGTTTTGACCTATAGCCATAAAGTATCATAAAGTCCCAAGGTCCCAAAGCTTTGGCAACTCGCTTGCCCCACCTTGCAGGGACATCCTCGTATGCATCTGGGAGTTCCGGAATTTCCTAGGTCAGGTCCAGGATATCCTAGGAAGTTGTGACACATGTCATGAAGCAAAAGAACGCTCCACCGCTCCGCATTTCTCTCGGCTCGGTTCCTGATGCTCCAAGTCACACATTGACCCATGTCATTCTTTCCACAGGCCACAGCATCACCATCACTGCAGAGAAGCACTGTATGCTGGAGGCCGGTAGCCATGAGGCGACAGTCAGGAATGCAAACCCTGTAAGTTGATTTCATGCACATTATTCCTATGCGAACTGAAGTGTGAGGGCTCACCTATCTTGAAAGGAAAAATTGTTTGTAGGAAATTTATTTGTGAAGCAAAGTATGTTTCCGTGCAAGAAAGAGTTGTCAGAAGTCAAAGCCCCGTGACCCTGGACTATTTCATGACGTTTGATGGGGTTAATTACTATGAAAACCTGCCTGTCAGAAGTCAAAGTTGATGGCACAACCATGTGCGGCAATCTCATTATGATTATGAATGCAATATTCAGACCTGCGATCCAATGCTTGCTGCGATGCTTGCACATTTCATAGTCTGCACATTACATTAACTTTGAATTCCCAATTTGATGTTTTCTGCTCAAGTTTTCCACCAAAAATGTGGAAATGTCTGGCATTCAAACCCTTTGTCTAGCCGCCTCAGAGGCAATCCCCTGCATCAATCTTCCATGTCGCAGACCTATGGCGCAGCAACTCAATGGGGACGCATTTATTCAAACAGTGGTTGTTTGTTCGTGTCTTGGCCGTGCTACATCACGGTATACATATACGTATACACATGCATATCTATGTGCGTAATCCTAATCATCGCATTGGTTATACCTGTATATATATATATATAATCATTTTACAGTATGTATTTTTAAAAATTGTATTGCATTATATTGTGATACACAAAAATAAATCATATCGTGTGACATTTGTGTTATTTTTAATAGTGCAATTTTATTGCGCAGTGGTTTTAATGGCTTTATTTCATTGTCTGGTTTTATTTCTAAATTAATTTATCTGAATTCAAGTGTATTGTGATGTAATAAACTATATCACTATATGATCATGTGTCATATATACCGATACCAAATACCGTCATCTGTCGTCTATTATCTACCATATATATATATATATATTCACACTATGTGTCACGCATCATATGTTTATCTGTCATGTACCCTATTATGTGTATATGTCATGTATAAAAGCAATGATCATATTTTCATATAAACAAAAATAAAGTTATATAATCATAAAATCATCACATTAATATGTGTAGGCGTTTCTTAGCATCTTCGATTTGTTACTCTCTGAGCTACCAACGGAGTGTTGCAAAAGACCAAGCGACCTTGTCAAGGTGGAGTGCTATGTTATGCCCCGTGGATCGGAAATGGCACGAATGAAAGTGGCAATGGTCCACTGTACATAATGCTGTCTTCAAGTTGTCCACATTCTTGGCTACACAATGCTACATGCTGTCATGTACCCAGACCCAATTAAGACTCAAAACGGGAACCGCCCACACCCAGACAGAACTCCTAGGTGACCCGACCCCTGCGAGCTCTGACGCGGACAAACGGTCCAGCTGCGCCAGAATCTGCAGTGGGGTTCACTGTTTTGATACAGACTTGGGGGAACCTCTCGCTACAGAGTCAAGTGGCACACTGGTGTGCTTCTACCGCTTGGACGTTTCACTGCTTCCTGATGCTGGCCGCTGCTGCTGATGACGATGATGATGATCTAGGATTGTACTCTAGCTTAACTTGCGAGGCCTCGTGATTCCATAATGCAACATACCTATCATTCTTGCCGTGCGAGCTAAGCATGTGACCATGTGTCTATGGTTCCCCAAACAGTGTGTCCACACTGAGGGGTTCTCACGGTAGGAGTTAGAGGCCGGGGTTAGATCAGGGTACACTCTCTGGGGCGTGGCATTTTTGCTGTTATAGAAGGTCCTTCTTTGACAATCTTTTGAAATTCTCTGGTATGAGGTTCTGGTATGAGGTTCTGGTATGAGGTCCTTATGAGTAGGCATATAGCGTTGCTTCTTGTGCCAAAACAAGTTCCTGCTGCTGCAGATACGATAATGTCTAACCTGATATGTTACTGTTCCATAGCTACTGTTGCTTGTATCTGATACATTGACTTCCTACCCCCCACACTGTTTGGGGTCTCTTGCCGGTGTAATTTTGTTGGAATTCCTTCGGTACAAAGCCTCACCCATTCTCGTTGTCAAACAAAATGTCAAAGTTGTTCCTCTTCCCGAGCATCGCGCTATATCATCGCATATCTGAGCGCCGATCATCGCAAATCTATGTCCCCCAAATTGGCCTGTTGGCTTCCCGTCTGGCCTCGTATGCGATGGAAGTCATTGTCTTTTGCTGAGGGCTAGCCAGCCTCAGTTTAAGGGTCTTCGCTGCACCCAGAATTTCCGAACGGTGGTGCATCAAGCTTTGTTTCAACAGAGTTTGAAGGTGACTAGGGAAATGAGGACCTGCCATGGAATTGCTGGCAAACATGGTGCAACTTCTGGCTCAAGCTTCATCTGCCTTTCCAGCTTTGCTTCGTAGAATGCAACCAAAAAAATCCAAACGAAAGATATAAGATCTGAACCAGGGATAACCAGGGTTCTGCAAGAAGTCCCAGCATGTCTGGTGTCACGCATGAATTCCCCCACCAAGAAACGTTGCAAAGAACCAGGCGGCTTGGAGCAGGCCTGAACCAGTTGCAATTCCATATAAAACTCTTCAAAGATCTTCAAAGTATTCACTGAAGCTGCTGGCACTGCTGGCAGGGCCACTGCAGCTGCAGAAACGCGCCTCGTAGGGAAAACTGCTGAATGGACCAGTCCATTGCATCTGCAACTGCATCCAGCAAGGGCCTGTGCCTTGGACATCAAATTTTCACCCACGCTAGGAATGGTTCAACAATTGTTGAAGTTGAATTCCAACTTGTCGTGAAGAAAAGATGAACAAATTGCTTGCATATTCCCACCTCAAGCCAACAGCCACAAAGCCGAAGAGCAACTGCACAGGTCACGTGTTAGTGCAAACGTGCCCACGCTCTTTGCCGACGAACAAGCTGTCTATCACCAGAGATAGCACTGCAAAAGTGGCAAACTGACTACTTGATGACACTTGGGTTGTCAACTCGTCAACCAAAATTCAACAGCAAACCGTTGCATATTTTCGGCTGGCCTTAATCAAATCATTGGCTCGGAAGCGCCACTTGCGGCGCAGTGCTTCATCCGCCAGCGCCTCCAAAACCAAGCTGTTTGCAAATCCTTCAGAACAGCTTGACCGACTCCAGAGGCAACACAACTCCACCTCCATTGCAGGGATACTTCGTAAGCCCAAGGTACCTGGGAAACAGACATCCGTCAAGGCAGCTGTAGGAAAAAAGGGGGAAGCATGGCAAAACATCCAGGATCGTGATGCAATGCAACAAATGTCAGGAAACTTGCCGCAGTCTCCTTCCCACAAGAGCAAACCGATTTGGGACAAAAGATCCTTCAGCTCTTTCAGTCGTTCCAGGTAAGACACTTGGTCGCATCCTGGTCCGTTTCTCGCGTGGCAAGAAAGTGTTCGAAACTTGGAGGCGCTTCTTCATCGGCAATAGCTCTCTGGCATACGGCCAAGAGAGACATGAATGGAACATCAAATTTCAAACAAAATTGGCTTGTCCCTTTGGGTGGGTGGCAAAGTTATCAAATGTACCTGTATGGCCTGTATGGGGGATCTGGGAAAATCCAGCTTGCGACATTTGACCCAGCATTTCGTCGGCCATCGTCGGCCATCGTCGGCCATCGTCTGCCATCATCCAGCATCATTTCACATCATCTGGCTTTTGTTCATATCATTTCCAGTGTCATTAAGTATCATCTCCAGATTCATTGTCTTAACATTCAAGAACGAACTGTATCATAAAACATCATCCAGCATCATCCAACACCATTTCACATCATTTAACATCATTTCACATCCAGCACCGCGCTGCGTCTACTTGCCCAGGACGACGCTCACTAACAGCACCGTGGACAAAACACCGGCCAAGATGAAACTAACGGCCTGGCGTTGGGGAACTGGGGATCAAAAAGTTGATGTTGAACACCTCGAAAAGTATCCAGAAGTGCTGTTTTGCATTGTTTTACGATGTCTTAGCTCACCAATTAGGTGATGTTTAAAGTACCAAAGGTTAACCTTGAAAAGGTGACAGATGGTGAAAGTATAGGGATGCCAATAGCAGTGGAGAGATGCCGGGAGTAACAAAATTGTCTCGTAACCCGAGGAGTCGGAGGCCTGAACAAGGCCTCGATCCGTCATGGGCTGCACTGCTTTAGCCTCCAGCCAGGGCCAAGAAGGGCGCGACACTCTCTCTCTCAAGAGCCACAACCTCTTTGGGGTGAGAAGAAACAAAGAAAATACTAACTTTCTGTTAGCATTGTCTTACGAATTATGACACGGTGATGCTCTTTTGCCTTGCGGGCTGGGCCTTGCTGACATCCAGCGAGCGGCGGAGAAACTTGAAGATGGGCACAGTGACCATCATCCTCATCACAAGTCCAGTCCTTCAAACTAAAACCGAAGATAAACATAGATGAACCAGTTAAATCATGTTAAATCGTTAGTCCTCCAAACAGTCCTCCTAACAGAATCAAAGAGAGGTCAATTCAAGGATCGTTGCCGCGTTGCAAGGATAACTCAGCACTGGGTCACCCCCACAAGGCGGCCACTCCTACAAGGCTGCCATTCACCCTCGAGGCCTCCCAGCACCGATAACATTCGCTTCCAGCTGTGGCATAGCTCCAATTTGCAGAAGGCCTTGTCACCCAAATGGAGTAGGAAGATGCTCAAAGACCTGCAGTTGGTTTCAGATATTGTCAGATATGCAAATCCATGCAAATCCAGCAGTTCAGTTGTGGCAACGGCTGCATCATCACTTTGTTGTTGGGAGTTTCTGGTTGCTTTTGCTGTGCCCTATAAATTGAACCCGTAAACCCCAAATGCAGCTGATGAAACTGCAACAAGTCATGTCAAAAACACATGTGTGGAAAGTATACAGTAATCAGTAATCAGTAATCAATTTGATCATTCGGACATGTTTGGACCAGCGCTGCAAGCATGACGGGAAAAAAAGGCCGGCTACAGTACGGTCCCCCCCAGCACGCCACTCCCTTAAGGAGTCCGGAAGACAAATGAAAATAAACCACCACCACGAAAGGGCGAACACCGCCACCGAATTGGGAGATATATAAATGAAAAGAAGTTTGAGAAACACACAAAAATAAAAAACACCACCGCCAACAAAGGACGGCATCTTCTCAGAACCTGGGAGGCACATGAAATCTTGGAACCACATGAAAAAATTGAAAAATCATGAAATATACCACCGCTGCCAGCAAACAGCAAACCCCACCACCGTGAGAAACAAGTGCAAGGCACTACCACCGAGACCGAAACCGGGAGGCAATTGATTGGGATTGAAGCGACTTAGGGAGATCGGTGGAGACACTAATGCCAAGGCAAATCCTCCTCAAAACAACCGGAACGCAAGCCCAGAGACACGCTCCTTAGTCCTTAGTCCCAAGGATGTGTCCTTTTTCAAAGGAAGAACCCTGAAGAACCCCAAGAGAAAATCCTTTGAAGAAATGACGATGACTGAGAAATGTATCCCAAAACATCCCAAAACCAACATTTGAAACTGGGAGACAGACACCAATGCTCAAACGCTCACACCACCTTTGGGCATCAGACGACAAAATGACAGCTGAGCGAAGCCACCTCAAGAGCGTTCGCCTTGGCCGGGACTGCAACATCTACAACTAGAACCCGTAGAACCCGACGATCCACAGCTACAAATTTGTTTGTCAAACTGGGTGTTCAGTTTTTAGTAGTGATTGACAGACAAATCAGCTGTTATTTGTGGCTTTTCTATGCTTTTCTGAGACCCTGCTTTGGCCAAGACAGAGGTTCCAACTCAATGGACAACGGCACTTTGGGGTCTAGCACCTTTGATTCCTCCTGCAAGCTCGAGAATGACATATTTAACTTCTGTAAGTTGTGCAATAACGTCAATAAAGCAGTGATTTCCAAACATTCCCCAGACTTAAATTTGAAGACCCGAACTGTGTAATCCGAAGATATCCAAAGTGGCGGTTTACACCGTCTTGTACTGATGCACCCTGGTACCACGAAGATGGCCAGCTTTCAGCTTCCTTGGCATTGACCTCCTTCCAGTCCCGCATCAGCTGGGACACATCTTCCAAGCAGCCTGGCCCAAAAGATCCCTGTCTCAGAGCTGTAGCATCCCAAAAGGCTCACGAATCGACAGAATCGAACGACATTTTGCAACTTATTGCAACTTGTCACTCAGGTTTTTGTTCCAAATTCCATCTCTTCCTGGCAATAGCAAGGCAATTGTACACCAGCTGAGCAGGATTCTGATGCTGGATTGTTTACATCTTTGCAGGCTGTATTGTAGACTTCGCTGCAACTCTGTGGCTATAGCGGCCATACCCTCCTTTCTGACAACAATTGCATACAATTGGGATACTTTCAAAGACTTTCCTGTGTGATATTAAGCATAGCATGCGGCATTCACATCGCAACATTGAGATGACAGCTGTGCCTATAGATGACATAATCGAATCAATCGTGCCAAACTGCCTGCCAGCAAGTGCAGAAACCAGGAACCCCCTGCAGCTTATCGAAAGGGTTTCTCGTTGGGTCGAAGTTCTTTCAAGCGGTGGCTTTTCATGGCCTTGACACTAACGATCCGAAAGATCAGCTTGAGCTTCCGAAGTAGAAAACGAGTTCTTCAAACTTGATCTGGTTGCGTGCCGTTCGCAAACCATCTGAGCAAGCTCGTCTCGGAACGCAATGGATCATATTTCGTATCAACAGGTCCCTGTGTGCCATCACCCACTCAGCCCTGCACCAGCAAAGTTTTCAGACAGCAATGGATTTTTGAGCCACAGCATTGCTGCGTGCTGGAGCACTGTGTATTATATGAACGTGGAAAGACCAACAGTAGCTGCACCCTAGTAGTGGCTTCCACAACACGAAACCCAACTGACTCACTGCCACTGCGCTCCTAGCAGTCATGGCATCTGTTTGAGGATTTCGATATTGATATGTTTGTGGAGTGACATGAATCCAAAAGTTCTACAAATTTCGGGCCCGACGAATCTGTCATATCTCAATGGTCCATATGCGCTGCGCACCGAAAGCCCAAGAGAGTAGAGCAAGTTCAGGACAACCCAGCGAGGGTATGGCCCGTGTCACCTCCTGCAGGAAAGACGCACAAGTGCTCTACTCTCTCTCCCTCATCAATTTGGGGCGGGTGGATGCACATACCTTTATATGGCAGTGTGTCAAAACCTTGTACCCCTGGTGAACATCAAAATAGCTGGTAAATGGATGTTCATCCCCCTAAAAATTGTATTAATAGGTATTGATCCATACCCATATAAATGTGGTGAGAAAAGGGCGGGAACACATAACAACCCCTGATGAGGACAATTCATCACAGCGATTAGACAAGATTCAGCCATGAGATCCCTCTGATCAATCAGCGTAATTTAGGTGACGCCTGCTGCTGCATCTGCAGATTTTCAACACTGTGTGTGTGGGTCAAAGTGAAACTAACAAGGATTAACAGGCTAAACAGGGTATGTTGGAACACCCCCAGATTTTCCATCTCTTCATACTGCTTGCATTCAAGATGTTCATCAGCTTACCATGGTGCCGATTCCCTGCACTACGTGATCCTTACCGGTAGCCTCCGTCAGTCCTCTGTCAGAGCTGCTGTTGCAAGATCGTCCCGCACACCCAGGACGGCCAGAGCGCTCAAGGCCGCAACTAGGTCTTCAGGTGTTAGCTCTTTGGCCTAGACCACCAGCAACGCAAGCGACATGTGGGACATGTGTGGGACATGTGTGGGACATGTGAGTCGCCTGATGCTGGAAAATAAAGCAAAACCTTAAAGGTCGAGGATGCCAAAAGACGCAACATCTAGAGCATGCCATCATGTCCAAGATTATTTCCCAAACTATCCGGTAGTAGGTTCTTTGCCTTGTCAGCAAGCCTGTCCAGGCATGCAACCAACACCTGATGCGGCTGGTGAGAAGGGTGAAGAGCTGAAGCAAATGCTCAATCACATCGAAGTGAGCGGGGTCAAGCAAGGTAGTAGAAACTCTGGCAAGCTGCGCATAAGGCCTCCTCGTCTTCAGCAGCCTCATCAGGAAGGTCATCCACCTGCCAACTGCATAAATTGCATCTACTATCATCTACTCAACGGCAGAATGGCCCGCCCCTGTCCAGTCTTTGCGGCCCCTTTTCTATCATGGCTTCACCCGTTGGTCTCAAACGGAGTCCGCAGTCTTCCCTTGCCGTACAGCCTCTGCCACCTTCGGGCACCACTTTGGACCAAAAATGGAAAGGAGTTGAAAATGCAAAACGTCAACGGCCAAGCGGCCACTGTTGATAAACTGTGATAAACCTTGATAAAGTGATATAAAACTTATATAAAAGTGAACCTTCAGGGTCTGCCTTCAAGTTGTCAACTCCAACCTTGGACAGAGCCGTGTTGTCCGCATAGCGCTTGTAGGTGCCACACAGGGCTTCAGGTTCGGCCAAGGTGGCCTTCACTGCATCAACAGCCATGACCACCTCCAGCCATTTCGTTAGCTTGGGACGAGTGGCCAGATCAATGGCATAGTCTGGACCTGCAGAAGACACCATTCCTGGATTTCTTTGCTGTGAAACTTGCATACTGCAAAACTGGATTGAAATACTTCATGAAAACATATGAAAACATATGAAAACTGCTTTTCGTAAATCAGTCCAAAAATATTTGCATGAGACTCCGGGACCAGAAGCATATCTCAGCTCCTTTCAACTTTCTATTCCTTTCGAGGTTTGTATCATCAGACTGTCTTGAATTCGCAGCAATGCATTTCCAGCCTCTGAAGCGCTCCAAAATCTTGCAGTGCAAAATGCGGTAAGCCCATGGGATGAAAGCAATGTCTGCCGCAGTCAGTTGCTTTCCCAAGATGTAAGGTCCTTGAATCCAGGCCTCGGACACAACTTGACGTTGTGGCTACGAAGGCTACGAAGGAAAAAGGGGTGGATGGCAGTCCCCGCCTCCAATTCGTCGATGTTGACGTTCAGCGTCTCCACGGCAGCCTTGCGGTCTTCCGTGGACGTCCGCACCAGCACCTGGTAGAAAGGTGAGCACAAGTTCCTGGGGCGAAGACAGCGCTGAAGGACTTGAAAAGATCAAGGTCAACATCCACTACAACATATATATATATTATATATATATTATTTATATATATATATTATTATTTATATATATATATATTATATGTTATATGTTATATGTTATATATTATATATTATATATTATATATTATATATTATATATTATATATTTTATATTTTATATTTTATATATATACGTGGAATATCTGAGAAAAAACACCAAGATTGTTAATAAGATCTTTCCTTGGGTTAACATCTCTTAACTTTGTTTCATTTGTCTCCAAGGATCTTGTTGATCCAATCAACCTTCAGCCGCAAGGCCGCTCTCTCCGCTGGAGAGCCAGGCATCAAGCTGCTATTCCCACCGCCTCGCGCTGCCAATTCATCGATGTACTCCACACAGACCGCGCTTTCATAGACTGGGGGCATCCCATCTTCACAGAGGGTCGGCACCAACCCTTTGGGATTCCTGCCAAAGCTCAAGCAAGAACTTCTTGTGTGGGATCCAGCATCCCATTCTTGTCTACCCGAAAAAATTGAAAGAAAAGAGAAAAGTTGCCATCTCAACATCAAATCGAAGGTCAACTCCAGTAATCTGGGATGCTTCTTGTAACCTTTGAAGTCTTGCCCCGGAGCATCAGGAAGCAGCCCTTCCACTTTGCTGTACTTCAGGCCATGATGCTCCAGTGCAATCCAGGCCCGCTGAGCATAAGGGCAAAACCAGGCAGAGAAAAACTCAAGGCCCGTCTCTGCTGCTCTCTTCGTCATGGCACAAGCCCGGTAGTCCACAGAAAATGGGGCTGAACAATGGCTGAACCATGAAACTTGCATTGGCCGCTGACCTTCTCTTAGAAAACCCCAAGACTGAAAGGATTTCAGAAAGTAACCTAGCATGGATGCGTGCGTGTTGCTCAGGAGAAACAGGAAATTGACTTTTTTGTCTCTCGAGCCAACATGGTCTCCAAAACAAGAGAGCAAGGCTCCTTCCTTCCACTGATCAGCCTTTCCGTCGTAGATCCTTTTGAGGTGAGGGGTGATGAACATACCAAAGCATCAGATGTGAGGTTTCGAAATCCACCAGTTTGTTGGTAGATTTGGTAAGTCCTAAGGTCTTGCCCAGGTACTGTACCTGGGAAGTTGCTAAATTCTGGAATTGCTGTGTGGTAAAAACCTGGGTAAATCCCATTAAATCCCACTAATTCCTCCTGTTGCAACGCAAATCCTTACTAAATAGCCTCACACATCTGGGATTTAATGGGATTTAATGGGATTTAATGGGATTTAACGGGATTTAACGGGATTTAATGGGATTTCATGGGATTTCATGGGATGTACTCCTAAGCCAAACACGGACGAATCTGGCCTCTGCTTGTCGCAGCAATGCCTTCAGGGCTCGTCCCGAGGCCGGGCGGTCGGGACGCGTCAGCGACGAAAGTTGCTCCAGGTTGAAGCTGCTGTGCCTGCGATGCGCTGCAAACATACCAGGCCTGTGGATGATATGCTTGTGGATATGATTCATGACCATTATATGGTTAATGAATGTTAATGAACTAATGGTTATTGTATGGTTATATATATTGTTGGATGGTTACCCTCTGGTTATGTCAAAATAGCTATTGAAAATGGCCATTTATAGTTGATTTTCCCATGAAAAATTGTGATTTTCCATAGCTATGTTAAATTACCAGAGGGTACCTGAGGAAAATTGCTGCCTGAGAATCTCAGATTGAGCAGAACCAACCAGGGACCAAGGGACCAGACGTCACATAGTGGCACGGCCGGGCGCAATACAACACAGCACAGCATCGTACAGTGCAAGATGAGAATAGAATTTGAATACATGTGATGTCAATTTATGAGATGTTGATCAGTAGAATATATAATTACTTGCTATGTGATGTGGAGGTCTGGCCCTACACGGCCTGCAGATGGCCTCGCCAAGCACCACACCCAAAGCATCCAGGGCATCTGAGGAAGGCGCAGCAGCCAGAGACCTCAGGACGACACACATCATTACTTCAGATCTGGTGTGTCTTGTGGGTATGGTTCAAAAGTGGGCTACCAAAGGGCCTACCAAATTGGTACGGTAACCGTAGTGTTTTGCATTGAACCCAATCAAGTCAGAGTTTTTGATCCCCGTGTCTTGCCAGGCAGCTGCGCAGCCTCCACCAGCTCTGTTGGAGACAATGTGGATGCCATAAGGAAAACATATGGTACCACCACCGTCAGGAATTCGCTGCCGCTCAGCACTTCAAGGCCTGAGACAAGGGGCAGCATTCCCACCTGATCGGCTGTGTTTTTTTTCAAGAAACTGGTTGATGGACATTGACGCGTGCCAGGCGTACGGTGTACGTGGCCCAGTAGTGATTGGAAGTGGTACATCCTCTTAAGAATTCAAAGTCCGTATCTTTCAGTTTTCATCACTTCACTGCTGCGGCACAGCATCATGTTGGCAACGGTATCTGCAGACAATGGGGTGGTATAAATATGTACAAATCTTCTTTCTTTGCCTCTGTTTATTCTAGCAGGCAATCTTGCGAATATCTAAATCTGTGTACTTCTGTCTGACTGCAATAGCAAGTTACAACTGGTGTGGAGCGGACCTCACATCTGACACATCCAAATCTGTAAGGATCTGGTGGATACTTCGCATTTCTGCATCTCCATGTGCCAAGTGGCAACGCAGCAGTTGTTTATGTGAAAGTCGCACGTCCGGATTCCGAAGTTGCCTTGCCAGGCGATGCATCGCCTGCTCCTGGTGCCGTGGAACACTTTCAAAACATTGAGGCCTAAAAGTTTGAATATAGGGTAGATTCGGGTAGATAAACATTTTGTTTTTTTACTATAGACCGACATATAGTGTATATATATATTGTACATGAGTACGTATGAATATACGTATGTGTATATATATATATAACTATATATTTTGATTATGGTTTGGTTTGGTGCATCTAGTGCTGGTGTTCCCTTCAGGGCGAGTATGCTAATCCCAAAAGCAAGAACCATCAAGACAGTGGGCTGTAGCTACCCAAAACCGCCATCCAGCGTGGCTTAGAGCGTTTTGCACGCGGCTCCAGATTCTCACGACTATCAGCATGTCGTTCTCGAAGCAATTGGGAAATTGACGTCAAGGAGAGGTCAATAAAGCGATCCGAGGCTTCAAACGTCCTGCAGTGCAGCAGAGACGAACAGTCTGTGGCATGAAACAGCATGAAATAAAGCTTCACTCAAAGGGACTGAGGAGACCGTAAGAATATACACTATGTATAATGTATGTATATATATATATAAGTTATATTATGTATAATGTATATATAAGTACAATATATATATATATATAATAGAAGTTCCGAGCCCTGGCAGAGTATCATGACAAGCATTCTGGATTTTCTTCGAAGGCTGGCTCCTGCCAGGAGGCTCAGGAGCAGCGCGCTCCTCGTACCTGTCGGAGTGCCAACGATCAAGGTCACCTCGACCTGCAGACAAGTGCGAGCAAAGCTCTGATTGGGGAATGTATATCTTATACGTCTTATACTATGTGTGTTTGTATATGTGATACATCATCATATCTATATATGATCGTGTCTTCATGTTGGAATACTTTGATCTCACTTGAAAAACGGCCAGGACTTCAAAAGGAGCGCGTAGTCCGGCAAATTGAAACAAATGGAGATGCGTGCACGCCTCTCCAGTCTGTCCACTCAGACGTATATCCCTGTTCACCCTGATTTTCTCGCCAATCTGTGGAGTTCTCCCAGGTTCTGCCTGCAGCACTTGTGTTGAAAGCTGCACAGCCACACGCGTTCTGACCATCGTTTGTTTTGATCTACCCACTCCCGTCCTTCGGTCCACTACTCATTACAGACCTCTATGAGAACCCGCCTGGGTCTTCGTGCCAGGAACTCCAACTCCAAGTCCAGTCCTTAGGACTTCAGATTGCCAGACTCTGCCAAGCTGTTCGTGGTTCAGACGATGACGATGATCCAATTGCAGATGTGAACATAACCAGAAGAGTCTGAATTCTGCCAGGACACAGGCCAGTCCCTGTCAAAATGCAAAGGTGTTGACGCGACTTGAACCAACTTTTGGCTGCTCAATGGCCAACGAAGCCACTCATTTGTCCCACTGGCCTGGATGCACTCCAGGTATCCCACCAGCCTTGACGAGTCGACTAAGTTTCAAGATCTTCAAGTGACTCAAGGTGCAGTTCGTAGAGGCTGGTAAGTGGTCAGTGTCCAAGACAATGCTCATGTCGCTCATGTCTCAAAAAATGCTCATGTCGTCTCATGGCATGATCAAAATGTTCAAAATCTTCAAACCAAGGTGACCAAGCCAGCCACCTGTCACAGAATCTTCATAGTCATGTGCTTCTCTTCCTTGCTGCTCAGGCCTGTCAGGTACAAACCCTCTGAACATGGAAAACAATAGAGCGAGATTAGAAGCAAGCGTGCAAAGTCCAAAGTCCAACGCCATAATGCAGTACCGCAACAAGCTGCTTGTGATAAGCAAACGATTTGCACAATCAGGTGTGGCAACATAGAAAAAGTGGAACAGGTTTTATATATATAATATATTTTATATATAATATTATATATATATATATTCGAAACTTCAATTTGGAACTTGAGTCAAGCCAATGGCCAATGAGTCTCAGGGCGAAGCAACTACCGCACCTGCCCCGGCCCGTAGATGAAGCGCTGGGAGCGCTGGGCACTTCTATGAACTTCCTGACCATCTCGTGGGACGTATCAAGGTCGGAGTGCAACAAATTGAAGGACTGGGAAGTTCCTGGGAAGTTCCTGGGAAGTTCCTGGACTTGCTTAGATTGAATATGATTGAATAATGTTTAGTACAAAAATGTCAAAGTCGAACAAGTCTCCAGGATCATCAGTGACTACTTCCGCAATCCATCCACCAATTTCTCATACTGCAACTGTTACTGCCTCTTTGGAGCCCCCTCTCCTTGCAGCAGCAAGTGCAGCCCCCGTCCAAACTCGACGACGCGCTTCAGGCCTGCAGCTGGACCGGGGATGACCAGGACATGCCAAGCATCTGCTTGGAAGTGCACGTCCAGTGATAAGTGGATATGCAACCATAGTTATAGGGGGTGTATCATGTTATATCCCCACTAATAGACTAATGGGGGTAGCCCAACTGCGAGATTATCGGTTGCCGAGAACTGGCAGCCAGCGTCCTGCTCTCTGAAGCTGCCCGCACAGTTGATGACCATCCTTGTGCCTAGCTTCGAAGGATCAAAGGTACACATGGGTCGTGCATGGCTTTGCTTTAGGACATGAAGTCAATGAAGTCCAGACATCCGACTTGACCAAGCCAGACCAACATGCTGCAACAACTTCTGGAAACGGATTTGCAGCCAGACCATCGCCCTTGTTGAATGACTAATCTCGGCCCTGCCTTCCATTCCTCACTTGGACTCCAGTGCTCCATGGCTGAGAGTCATGACTGGACCCCAAGCATCCAGGTCCAAGCCCAGTTGTGTGCGTGAAGCATGGCCTTTGGCCAACAAATCTCAAGCTCTTCCTTTAAGGAACAACTGGAATTGGAGATTCACATACTTTTGCCAATTCAGCCCTATGGCCATTTACTGAGTCTTCAACACGGTGACTGTGTTCTATTTGAACTGGTGCATCAAGTAATCAATATCTGTTTGTGATTTGTTCCAGCTGAATCCTAATCTATTGTTGCTACGCTGCACCAGCTTAAGCCTGGAGCAAATTGTCTGCACTTTTTTCAGCAAAGGTCTACTGTTGGGGATGGACGGATAGACCATCAAATGCCCCTGGGCTTGGCACCTGCACTGCTAGTTCTCGCGTTGGAAGTAGAACCAAGGCTGGCAGCATTTCAGTTTCAGGAAATGCCTAAAATGCCTAACAGGCTGTGACTCGGACCGACCTGATCTACCTGGACCTACCATAAATTTGCCATTTGCCTCGTAGCCTTACGGTCAAAAGAAATGTTTCGCCTCACCCAAGTTCAACGTCAAACGTCCAGCCCTGCCTCGAGGACCATGCTCACACAAGGCGGCCGCAGAGTCATTTGACCTCGCAAGGTGGAAATATTCACGGGACACCACCTTTGTACCAAACATCGCCGGACAATGTCGTTGCTTATGTTTTTTCTAAATGACTCGTATTTGTATGTATTTATGATGGCTCAGTGTGTGCTGCACCCTGTTTTTTATGGTTTTGTCATGACGATAACATGGTTCCTACATGTTGGGATCAATTAAGTTGTTGGCATCGCGTCTGCAGGCAAAGAACCTTGGCCAACTTACTTTCAAAGTTTGATAGAATTGAGGATTTCGATCCTGTGATGGTCCGCTTTTTGAAGCTAGGATTCATACTGAGGCTGTGGTGAAGGATCGGTAAGCCAAATGCCAGTGTCTTGCCACTCCTGTGCAAAACCATGAACAAAACAAAACAAAGGTGTCTGTACTCAAATCTGCAATTCCTGCTCTCACTTTCGGATGTTTCTTCTGCTTGAGCTCATTGTATTCTTCGTTGCTGTGTGGGCTATGTGTTTGTCGGCTCAAACATCAAGCCCCATTTCGCTCCCTGTTTCAGCAGCACCAATTACGTCTTTGCGTTGACGCAGCGCTGGCAGGAGGCAACGGGCCTGCAGGAAGATTGGAGGGTTAGGTTGGAAGTGGTCAATGGGGCTCAAGATCTCAGAAAATGCACGTATTATTATTGCATCCATTTTGAGCGAGACGAGACTGTACAGTACTTGATATTCTGATCACTACCACTAGCTTCCCACCCCCTTTTCATGCATCAATATTCCCTGATGCCTAGAAGAACTTGTTAGTGGTTTCAACAAATTGCAAAAACGAACATCTGCAATGTTGGCTCCGGATTAATAAGGCTCCAGGCTGTTTCATTGGAGGAATCCCATTTTAGAATTTTAGTGATAGATTGCCCCTGCCATTAACGGCTAGTGTGTCAACCGGTGCTTGCTCCGACACGGTTCAAGTCAGGTCATGAATATAAAATGATATTATATATATATATGTGTGTGTGTTATGTACATGTATATATAAGTATATATATATATTAATATATATATGAGTATTATATGTATGTGTATATATATATTATACGTATATTATATATAATGTATGTTATTGTGTTTATATATATATTATAACTCATATATATATATATATTATTATATTACATTATATTATATTGTATCATATTATGTTATATTGTATTCTATTGTATTCTAGTATATGCTATTGTATTATGCTATACCATACTATATTATATTATATTATATTATATTATATAAATGGACTGGGCTTTGCATCGTCTCCTGATGAAGTTGGAATTCGCAATTTACCCAGGCAGAACGGCATTGATTTTTCTGCGAGGCTAATCTGGGCAAATCCATCGCCAGACTAAAACTGGTCCAGCTGAGGCTTTGCTAAATGACATCCGTTTAACCTTCGGCAAACGGACCTTTGGCAAACGGAGGTTAAAAGTCTGGCCGGGGGTTGCAAACAGAGCTCAGAGCCAGAGAAATGGGTGTGCCAAGTTGGGCACCACGACATTGAGCAAGTTAGTCTCCTTGGTCAGCCAAATGCTGTGACATGGTGTTTGAAGCATTCAGTCCTGAAGCACAACCTATTTAATCCTATTTATACCTATTTGTTCTTTTGGATAGATGCGCCAAAGTCGTCGTGTGTTTCAAAATTGGATCTGTCATCTATCTGGACAGCTCTCATCTCAATGAGCAGTGGGCTGCAGCTCGCAGAGTCATCCTCCTGAGGGAAAGATTGCATCAACTGTGGTCGCTGCAGATTCGATCACAAGTTCTTCCCTTGGTGCAGAAGAGGTGCGCACCCTTCGAGCAGCCTAGGTCAGAGGATGAGATACAGTTACTGCTCAGTTGGTTCGCCAATGATCTGAATCAAATCGCTGAAAAATACTTCCTGGATCCCAAGACTGGAAATGGATTGGGTTGGGAAGGCTGATCACAATGTGTCGAATATGTCTAATATGTCGAGGTGCGTGTCATGTAGCATTTGATTGAGACGATTTTGCATCTGAAGCCGTCTCGAAATGAGCTGGTTGGATGCACGGCTTCTGCCCAACTCACCTTAGATGTTGCAAGATTCAGTTGGTGGTTTCAACCGGTCCTTTTGGAGTTTTTGCTAAGTTGGGTTGTTTAGATTTGGTCCAAAAAAATGCCACGCCAAAATGGGATTCATCAGGAATAATCAATGGCGCCAAGATTTTGCCTGGGCTGTAATTTTTACCCTCTGGTAATTTAACATAGCTATTGAAAATGGCCATTTATAGTGGAATTTCCCATTAATAATGGTGATTTTCCATAGTTATGTTAGTTTACCAGAGGGTAAAGTGCTGCTGGAGAGCTCTCAAGTCGAGCAATGGTGACTTCTCTTTGGACCTGGCGGAACCATGGAAGGAAGCGATGGAACCGATGGAACCCACCAGATCTCTGTGGGATCTCCCTGTCTGGGCCATAAAAAAGCCTCGTTTGTTCGAGGTTCCAACCAAGAAATGTGTTTGTCACTTGTCGAAAGATTGAGTACCTCCAAATTTGATTGTTTAACATTGTTGATCAGGTTTATCATCATCTTCTCCCTGATTGCTGGACAAACCCAGTAGAAGCAGCTTTGAAATGCTGCAGCATTCAGCGCCCGGCGAGCTCGTTGTGCAGAAACTCCAGCTCTGTCATGTCTTGGGCCATGTCAATACCAAGGGTCATCGGACCAGGTTCCTGTGACAGATGCGCACTGCAAAGCAAAGACACGGCAAGTAAAACCGGCATCCCAAATTGTCGTGGTCTCACATGCAAAAAATAAAATCATAGATTATCAGTGGCAGTACAAAGATGTACTATGGTTCCTATGGCAAGTCAACAAGACTGCACAGTTGTTGTGATACGAATGGTACAACCGTACAACCCGCTTCCATGTCCCGCCGTGACACATCTTGCCTGCAGACTCACTGGATGCCCTTGCAGCTGATGCATGTCCACGAGCTTCTTAGCCATGAGAATCTCCAAGAAACAAATTGGTAGACAAATGTAGAGAACTTGTCCACTGTAGCTGGAAGATCCAATACAGAACACAGGCATCGATGTTACTCTTGTGTGGAGAGATCCATCCCTACCAACCTGACATAGGGGTCAAAGGATCACTTAGGACGACTTTTTCACTCACTTAGGACGACATTTTGAGATGAGGACTTCAACCTTCAGGGTTAACTCCATTGGATACAGACCTTTAGGGTTATTTTTTTAAGGGGGGACAGGGGACCAGGGACGGGGGACAGTGGGAACAAGTAGAGGTAAGAGACACGACATCGAACACATTGGACCCCATTGGATACAGACCTTTAGGGTTACTTTTTTTTGGGGGGAAGAGGGGACCGGGGACAGGGGACCAGGGACGGGGGACAATGGGAACAAGTAGAGGTAAGAGACACGACATCGAACACATTGGACTCCATTGGATACAGACCTTTAGGGTTATTTTTTTAAGGGGGGACAGGGGACCAGGGACGGGGGACAGTGGGAACAAGTAGAGGTAAGAGACACGACATCGAACACATTGGACCCCATTGGATACAGACCTTTAGGGTTACTTTTTTTGGGGGGGAAGAGGGGACCGGGGACAGGGGACCAGGGACGGGGGACAATGGGAACAAGTAGAGGTAAGAGACACGACATCGAACACATTGGACTCCATTGGATACAGACCTTTAGGGTTATTTTTTTAAGGGGGGACAGGGGACCAGGGACGGGGGACAGTGGGAACAAGTAGAGGTAAGAGACACGACGTCGAACACATTGGACTCCATGGGACACAGACCTTTAGGGTTAATTTTTTGGGGGGGGGACAGACTGGGGACCGGGAAAAGGATACAACATTTTATGATCCTCTCCTGTCAACACTCTGGGGCCAGGGGGGCCTAGACTTAGATGCATTGGAGAAAGAATAAACAGGACCTTTGCCAATAAACTTCGAGACGAACCTCGGATAAGCCTGCCTGCGCAGGGATTACCAAAAGATGTTACCACACACACACACACACATGCACGGTGCAGCAGCAACCTGATGATAATCTCTAATACACATGTACAAGCCTCTTGAAATCATGTTCAAATACATCGATATATCTTTTTATTGAGACTGTAGCCATATATCACCGACGTAGTCCTAAGCGAGTAAAAGCGTAGGCCTAAGCGAGGCACTGACCGACATACGTATCTGGATGTCCACATACATACATAGTTGCAGAGCTGCCCAGCTACATCCAACGAACAAAGTATGAATAACATGTCTAATGTGGTTAAAACAATAATAAACCATCTCCCAAATCACCATAAATAGGTGGTATAGACTTTAAACAATTCCCAAATGGGTGGTTTATTATTGTTTTAACCACATTGTAGAATTACAGTGATTGACAATTTGCATACTGATAACTTGGTGCATGTGTAAATGACCTGATACCTGAGCTACTCATATTTGCAGCCTCCAATGGCATGATGATCCTAAAACGAGTTCTGCAGAAATTGTGACCTGTGGTGCCGGCACCTAAACCGACTCTATCTTTGGGATGGAACCTGATAGAGCTAATGCTCAGGTATTGAAGCTCAGGTATCACTCAGGAATCTGGGTCAAATGGAAACTCAACACACCTTGCAGCATGAGGTGCTGATTCTGCCACCGCAGCGCGCAACTCTGCCTTGACAGCCCGAGCCTGGAGACAGGTTTTCACGATGCAAGTGCCAGGTATGACGGGTATTGAACAAGAGACAAGTGCGATCACAGTCCCGGTTCAACACTTCCGTGGCCCAATCCAGGCACAGCATTTCGGCATTTCGCAACTGCATTGCGGCCTCCATTTCATTCTTCTCGGCTTCGAGTACCGTCGTCCTGGGCCAGAATGCGTCAGGTTCAATTTGCTCGGGGGCTAAGGAACCACACATTTGCCACAAGACTTGCTGCACAAGGGACTTTGCCCCCATAACATCCATGGAAAGGTCTTCCTTAGCGAGGAACTTCGGCAACTTCACAGCATGTAGTAGTGACTCTTTGAGTAATCTGCGGTCAGCTGGCCATGGTTTGTTCCTGAAGATTGAGCGTTTGGTCGTCTCCAAGGTATTGGCTTGAAGCAGACTTTCTTGCAATCAAGATGCCGTGCTTTGACGGTGCATGTCTTCTTGCTCTGAAAAGTCCTCAGTGGTCAGCTGTCAGCAAAACACTTCTGTCCAACAAACCAGGAAGATGTCATAACTGTCATAAGACGCCTACAATTCAGTTGGGAAGCTTACTGTACCTCTTCAAATGGATGGAACATTCTCTGGTAGCAATTGTCAGGTACACCACCCCTACGTGGGCACTTCCCAAGCCACTAGATCCTGGTTGCTCACCTGTGGCACTTCACCTTTCATGCATTTTCGTGCAACTTTGCAGGATCTTTCTCGGGTCTGAAAAGCTCAGGCCCATGGGTCTTCTATTCTTTTCTTGTGCAGGCTGTACTTTGCCCTGGCAATGAATTATCCTCCACTTCCTTTGATGGACGATTGCGCCATCGGTAATGTCCCGTGCCATGTTTGAATATTGTGCTAAAACATCGCTCTTTCCACCGTTAATCTGGTGCTCTTTCCACGGCCTTCCCTGAGTGTCCCATGGTCTATTCAGTCTATTCTATAAATAATTGTACCCTTGCTCTGTCCCTGATCTTCTCATGAAATTTCCTCTGGTCCCGCCAAATTCCCGAAGCACAAAGCCCGTTTTGTACAGAGTGATAGTATCAATGAGAACACCCTAAGGTTTCTAAAGGTCCCTTGCAAAAGGTCTCACGACATCAGTGGTTTTGCTCCTTAGTCTTCCTTTGGTGTACCTCTTGTTTTGCGGTGTTCCACATCCATGGTGCAGCATATATAGTGTAAATATGTGTAAATAGATGTGACACTTGAGTTCAGCATGGCCCAAGGAAATAGGTCTTCAAATTTCAAAGTCGAGTTTGGAGATGAACAAGTTAAACAGGTTAAAGAAGTCGAACAGATTGAACAAGAACATCGAGAATCGAAAGTCATCAAAATACTTTACTATCTGTTTAGTTTGAGAAAAAACTTGCTTGTGGAATGGTGCAGGCCCGAAATTGTTGCGAGGAAGACATTTTATCCGAAGTCTGCTATAATATTGGACTGTCAGCCATGTGGAAACTTTTGCCCACCGCTTCCTTTGTTCCAGCCAAAACCTGTCACTCTAACTATCACATGGAGCTCCACCACTCTCCACCTCAATACATTGTCAATGTGCCAATGTCCTGTCAAGAGGCACTTGTTGCCTCCTTCATCTTCAGAACTTCCTGAATCTTGCTCTTCAAAAAGTCCTCTTGCGTCGCGCGGACCCAACAGCTATCAATCGATTCGCAGAAAATGTGTCCTGTTTCTGAGTTCTGTGTCACTGTCTGCTGTGATTATGTGCCATGTTACTGTGTCAAAGGCTCCTTGAGAGTACTTCAAGCTGGCCCGTTATTGCTGGTGGACATCTTGGAAAGCACCAAGTTTGGAAATGGACACCAAACATTGTACACGGCCGAATCCATCACGTGGGCACATCTCCCATATCTACCAGCCTTCGCAAACGGCTTTGCAATGAAATCAGTGCTGCCATTCTCCTTGCTCCTCACAACTCCATAGCAAGTGTCAGAGGTAGAAAGGAAAGAGAAGAAACGTTCAAATACTGCTCAGCCTGACAGCCGCAAGCTTTGTAGTATTTGCGGAGAGCATCATTATCGGCAGGGCCTGAAGCAAAGCTCCGATGGACAGCTAAAGAAAACTGGAGGACGTGTCGACTGAAATGACCTCGCTGCCTGGCTTTCTCCGCTCTCCGATTTTCATGAGAAGGATTCCAAAATTGGTGGAGTCCGTAGCTCGTGTAAGTCCGCATAACTGCCGTATAACCATTCATAACATTCATAACCATCAACCACGTTCATTGCGCAAATGCAAGCTTTCCATGTCTTTGCGCAAATGCAAGCTTTCCATGTCTTTTCGTGCTTCATTCTTCCTCCCCCCAACTTGCTACCAGGCGGCTGTATGAGATTCCTCATAGTGCTGTCGAATCTTCTTACAAACATCATAGCCTGGTCAACGCGGCAAGCCCACTAGTTGGCGATTTATGACTAAGGCTGGGCAGGAAACCGAACATACCAGGACAATCCCATGCTCAGAGCCATGCTTCTTTGACCACAGAAAACTATGGAAGCAGCCATGCTTCAATGGCTTCTAGCCCAACTGTTCCAACTGACGCAAGCTCTGAAAGCGCAGTCACGCACTCAGCCTGTCATTCCAGGCATTTGGATATCAAGCAGAATAACATCCGGCAGCAGCCCACCATTTGCACGGTTCTTTTCCAACCTCACCGCCAGAGTTATATGAGAGCTGCATGACACACTGTTCAGGTCTGAGGCATTGACCAGTCTAGTCCACTTGGTCCATCCATGCAACACCTCGCACAATTTGTTGCTTCGCTGGATTAGCCATGAGATTTGCTCGCTCAATTCGATCGTTGTGAGGTGCTCTTTTTGGACTCTAATAGTTTGAACATGATTCGTTTGTAAAGCCATGCTCGGTCTGTCATTTTGGATGGAAAATCACTGGATTCAGCTGAGAGCATCTTAAGGGCACGACACTAATTCATATTCTGCTGCCAGCACAGATTTGATGATCTCCTCAAATGCGAAACTGAAACCACGCAGTACAAAATCTGCTGCAACGTTCTGCTGTCATTGCATTTTTGAGAGGCCGTTCTGCAGCCAACGAGCTAAACGCCCCACTTCCTGAGTATACAGTATACATAACTCTAGACAAGCTGTGACAAGCATCTTGGTTGACTTCGCAGTCATCCACAGACAAGATCAGTGGCCTGTCAAATGATTTAAGCCAGGGTCGCATTTCACTGACATGATGACAGGATTGCAAGCACAGACCGTCAGTGGTGGGCACGCGCTTCGCATCAGTGTCGTTCTTGACAACGCTTTGAATGTTTTGGTATTGACCATTCTATGCTGCATAACGCAAGACCAAAATTCAAACGTCCATTGACTGGACGATTCTGTTGCAAGACATGCTTTGCATTTGACCTTAGACTTGGTGTTCGGCCCAGTGAGTGAGTACAAACTTGCAGAATACATGGTACACATTGACTCTGTCTATCTATACAGTACATACGTACAGATTTGGGTCCAGATCTGCATGTAGATCTAGATATGGGTATACATGCAGATCAAATATAGGTAGATCACAGGCGAGTCCATACATACATGGACAGACAGACAGAGACAGACAGAGACAGACAGAGACAAACAGAGACAGACAGAGACAGACAGAGACAGACAGAGAGTCTGAGAGAGAGAGAGAGCGCGCATTAAATGTGCTGCGCGGCAATTCTTTGGAATTCACAGAATAGTAATTATTCTGATTCAGATTCATTTCATCATATTTCAAAATCCGAGCAATCATCATTAATCATCATTAATCTCTCCAATTCTCAAGTTCCGAGCCTCTTTCGCTTCACTGCTCGCAGTGTCGCAGGTTTCGAACTGCGCCTCTTCGGAACTGTGGGAACCGGCTCGACATCCTCACCTTCGATGCACACAATGCACACTCTCACGGAAGCTCAGGAAGCTCAAGATATGCTGAATTCAATACATCTTCAATACATGTTCAATACATGTTCAATACATCTTCAGCTATGCAGTGAGATTGATTCTAGCCGCCAAGCTGAATTGCCCTAGCTGTTTTCCACATTGGTAAGCTTCTCACAAAACTCATCGTTGATGCAGGCGAAAGAGATGATGAAGCTGGAGCCTTTCCCAAGCTCAGACCTTGGGGCTACAAAGTACGAGTATCATGTTAAAGAGCCAGCTTCGCCAAACACACCTGAACTAAACCTGCATGCAGACCCCCAAAACCGCTTCCCAAAAACCTCAAATACTTTTGTATGCAGTTCATGCCTTGACATGCATATCGTTCATTCGTGCAAAATTCAGCAACTTACGATGTGTATTCTATGCCTATATATCCTACATAATGATTCCCAATGTATGTGATTTGCTGCAAAGTCTGGACTCAACCATGATCCTGCTCCAGCTTTCAATGGAGACGCCAATGGTGGGACCATATTCAAATCAGATGATGTATGGTGGGACCATGTATTCACCAGGGGCCGCTAAATTCCCTGCACCCTGCACCCTGCGATAGTTGGGCTTCCCAACTCTAGACGGATGGAAGCATTATGCATCTGCACAATCTCCAAGACCACAGCAAGACCCAAGCCCAGGCCCTCAGTAGCGCAGACCACTGCTGTTTAGATTCAGAGAAGTACAATACAAGTTGTCGACTCAACTCACATCACGCCGCTAAAGGCACATCTTGTGTGGCAGGCGCTGTGAAAAGCACTAGGCACATCACGCCGCTGAAGTCACATCATGGGCAGTGTTTTTTGCAATGATTCATTGCGGGCGCCAATGATTTCCGCAAATCGTCAAAAGTAGCTGGAATGAAGAAACATTGCGCTCGTGCAGTCAAAATGCGCTTCTTCCATTGAAATCACCAGCAAAAATCAACAAAACATTGCGTGCGCGGAGTAATAAAGCAATGATCTTGGTTGCCGCAGCATCAAGATTAGCCATAGCAGCAGAAAAAGCAGCAGCAGCAGAAAAAGCAGCAGCAACCATACAACTAGGTCAAGCATGGAAAAAAAAGCGAGCTGGCGCGCTAGTAAAATGGCAATAATGTATGACTTAGTACAAATATCAAATCACAAGATCTGAGTTTGTAACTGTGTTTTGTATGGCGCCAATCGACTTAAGTCCAGACCCTAGTAGCTCAGATTAGCTCAGCTTTTTTTGACGGTTAATTTAATTCTGATTAATTTATTAGTTATGTTTACTCGTTTTCTACCAAATGAGAATCAGAGCCATGCTGTCAGTCGCCTGAAAATTTCTGGAGTCGCCGCTGCTGCTGTGCTCCTGAATCCGAATGGCTACATTGAAATCACATTGAAAGCATTGAATAAGTGAGGCTAAGGTAATGAAATGTAATGAAATGTAATGAAATGTAATGAAATGTAATGAAATGTAATGAAATGCAATGAAATGTAATGAAATGTAATGAAATGTAATGAATCTACTATGCAGGTCGTTGAAGTTCGAATGCAAATGTAGATGGAACACCTGGGGGCAATATTATCATTGCACATACATGTTTTTCGGCACGACTTTTTCAAGAAGCATTTGTGGTGCCTTGATACAAACAGTACACGATTGGCATTTCTGGAGCACCAAGGATTGCCAAGGATTCCAAAAAAACTCAGCGTTCTGTCTACTGATTCTACTGATTCTACTGATTTCCTGCTCAAAGGGCTTGAAGATACGTTTTTGCGCTTCCGGAGAGATGCCACAACCTGACTGCACCGGTGAGGCTGATTTGGTCTAGACATGGAGATGGAGAAAACACAAAGTACACAAAGTACAATAGGGGATGCGTCCGACCCCAAAAAATCCTGAAGGACCACGGAAACGCGCGCCTGTGTCAACGACGGAAACCTCCAAGATGGACTGCTCCTTGATGTGCTTTGCACACACAAATACCTTCAGTTTCAAGCATTAAATGGCAAAAACATCATGATCACTTGCTACAACAAACTTCGGAAATGGTTGGAGTAACTTGATAGCTGGTGCAAACCATCATTGACTTCATTGGAAAGTAAAATTGAATGACCCAGCACATGAAGAATTCAAGGCCCGGGTACGAACCTGAACAGAAGAGCCTGCCACAATCCAGTCGTGGCCAGGGACTACAGACCAGCAGGGGGAAAGGAGAGCCGCTCTACACAACTACACTACTATAGCCACCTGAAGGCAGTGTGCTCATATGCGGAAGACATCCATTCCAGCAACAAAAAGACAGCTCGAAGATCATCAGAAAGCACAAGAGTTTTGTCCTGTTCCCCCTTGCATTCATCTTGGTGCGGACCCAGCCTGATAGGTCGGTTTCACCATGCTCCACCAAATGTTTCACCAAATTTGCCAAGTGGCAGAGCCGCTAACGGTGAATTTGCAAGCGTTGGTGAGAAGATTGTAAATCATCTGGGTGCATTTGTAGGGATTACCCTTCCTCAGCAAGTCTGAGCTGTCCAAGATGTCCGAGTCCACTTTTGGAAGCTCACATTGCCAGAGTCTGTGGAGTTTTTCAAATACAGTTTCTGTATGTGTGTACACTCCAACTGGTTCTGCCAAGAGTCACTAGTGGCACCTTGCCGATGTCCCTTGTGCAGTTCTTCAACTCAACACCTCGCCAGGGAAGCTATCAAGGACTCCTCTAAACCTATTTTTTGACAGGCTCTGCACTTCGATGAATTCATTGCTTCAGTGCGAAACAAACAACAGGAAAATCCAAGGGCTTCACAATGCCCAGGATGGACATAGGCTGGTGGATATCCCTTTGTGGAACCACAAGGATATTTACGCATCAAATGAGACCCTGGAAGCCTGCTTTGATCAAAGGCTTGCCTGCCTGGCATAAGAATCACAAAATGGGACTGCAGGTAACTGCAGGGTGACCCTTCATACGGAAACACAAACGACCGGATCGAAGCTGCGCCAAATCAAAGAAACTGACTCTTTGAGGCCTACAGCCACTACGGCACTCCGAACTTTCAGTTCTTGTGAATCATTTCAGAGTTCATGTCTGCTTTGACGCCCTTGGCATCCCTTGGCCTTATCCACGGCCATTCGACTCATGACAACCGCCTCTTCGGTGATAGCAACAAAATTCACCTGCATCGAAGCCAACAGAGGCTACCATCTGCGAGTTCACCAGTTCAACACCAGTTCTTTCGAATTTTCGAAACGTCTTCAGGTTGCAATTTACAGAGAATTTCTCGCAGTTTCAGATCAAAGTGCATGCAACATACAGGCCGTAGTATGAGAATAGTATCTTTAGTTTTAGCGATGTTTGTTTGTGAAACAATGTTTTGCAGTCGAATCTTCGTTCTCCTGATGTTCCAGCCTTTTGCTCAGCATAGGCTTTGCTCCCTGCGTTCTTTTTGCGCTGTTCCGACTCGGAGAGATCCATGACATTTGTCACAAGGTCCTAGCCGCCAGAGCTTCGAGAGCGTCAGGGACCCACTGAATTTAGGGAACATCAATGGATGAACATCAGTCGTTTAACATGAATGGATGTCAATGGATGTCAATGGGAACATCCCTTTTATCAATGGATTGGTTTAAGGGAAAATCTTAACCGGAAACCCATGGGTTTTTACCATCAAATTGATCGGGTTTTCCGGTTAAAATTTTCCCATCATCAATGGGAATGGATGTCAATGATCCCCGCTCCAGGAGTCGGGCAGCACAGCTCTTCACCATCCCAAGCCTGCCATGGGAATCCCGCAGAGCCAGTTTGGGCAAATGATGAAGCCGTAATGTAACCATTAAATACCATTACAATATATATATATAATATACTGTAAGCATCTGTAACCCATATATATATACATATAATTATATAAATATATATAAACCTCGGGAATCCTGGGGTACCTATATAATTTTGAGAGATTTGCGTGAAGTTAAATCGCCACCCAAGCTGTCAGAGCGAAAACACGCTCTTCGCTTCTCGCCCACAAAAGGATGTCAGTCTCTAAAGAATCTAAAGCCATTGGAAGCCACACGATACCACAAATGTTGGCCATCTCTCTTTCTCCAGCTGTTGGGTAAATTGGACCCGTGGATCCCTTTGCTGCACAATGTGGTGTGCGCACTCCATGGTGAAACTAGCTCCCCACGAATTCAACAGATTTCTATCATTCTATGTAGGAAGGAGCTACATGCACTAGAACAGGACTTTAACCACTGAGACTGGAAGTTTCTCTGTATTCAGTCCCTCATGAAACCAGCCTCATGCTGACAACCACAAGTACATACTGTAAGCATCAGTAAGTCGATTCGAAATGACCTACTGTTCTTCTCTGCCCAACTGCTTTGGCGGAATCCGAGTCACAAATAAATATCTACGAGTAAGAAGGTGTTGCAGCGTTTCAGATGGTAAAAACCTATGGAGTACATAGGCACACAAACAGAAAACAAAGTTGAAGGCTTGCCAAAGCATGGCAAATACTGGTTTAGTCTCGCACACTGCGTCAAAGATGAGGTTCATGGAGGTTCTATCACTATCAAACTCAGGGACTGTACTGGTCAGGCTTCCTGCATCCATCTCGGTTCGCAACCATTGCACTGCAACCCTCATTCTCTTTGCTGTCAAGCCACTGTCTCTTCATTCCATCATTGGTCACCAAGTCCATCATGCTTGCAGCCAGGCCAATCATTCCATGCAGAGGGCTTCGAATCTCGTGAGAGACAACCTGGGCACTTTTTCAACACGAGCTGCATCACAACCAAAAAAGGTGCGATGTACAAAGCACAACGTCACTGAAGCCAGTTGCCATCCTAGTGACTGCCATGAGTCTGTTTTTCTTCTCCTAGCAAAATGCCACACTGAAATGCAGGGCTAGGCATGCGAGCGTGCCAGTCCCGAGACTCCAAAGAAAACAAGTCACATGTGTTGTCTTGATTTATACTCGTTCCACAGCAGACAAACCGCGGCAACCGGAGCTCCTCAACGCTTTTCAATTCACAGAGCTCAGACAGGTCTTGGCCTATGGCAACTAGTGCCTTTACTCCCTCCTCGAGCAGGGATGGGGCCAATCAGTTTTTTCAGTCTACGACTTGGCTTCGTGCTTTCAGAAACATAATCGTGAATCAATCTTGTGTCAAGATGTACTCCAAAACATGGATACAGAGAAAAATAGTTTGCTTCATGTATTTGGATGTCAACACGCACACAAATCAAATCACAAACAAAAAGTGGGTTCAATGAGGGCTTGAGCTTGGCAAGTTGGAAGAGATCCTGAGAAAAATTTGGAAAGGACGAGCAGATCTCCTGATACGTGTCCACCATCACAAGATTGACCAACAAATAGCACTCATCTTCCCCTGCAACAAGAGTTGTCTGCCAATCGCAGAGCCAGGGCGGAGTCAACTTGTACTAACACAAAACCTGACTTCACTTGTCATTTGGCTACCAAGTTGTGGATTGATGATTGATGGACCCACAAAAATGAGGGGGGTGACATTTGACATGCAACCATCCCATTTGGCAGGGCTTCCTAATTTGGAGCCAGACCGGTATAGAATGTCAAGCACTTGCTGCGAAGGTGCGGTAGGGAGACTTGCAGGTGAGCTCCAGCAATCCCGAACCAGCACTGCAAGGCCGAGGCTAGGAGCAAAAAGTATGAAACAAAAAAAAAGAGTATGATCAGAATGATCAGACTAGAAATGGCAGATGAACTTCTGCAGCCCTCTCTTCATCATGGAAAATCGAACTTGCAGTAGACTAGCAAAACGCGTGTATTGCCCGCACATCAGACCGTTGTGTCATCAGGTGTTTGCACCTTTGGGGCCCGCCTTTTGTCTTTCTCACAGAGCTCTTGCACCGATTGGTCAAAGAGATCTTTTTTGTCCTTCCTGATCATATCCGTCAATTTGTGGCCTGGAGCAGTGTAGCTTTGTGGAAGTACAGTGTCTTCACATATTTCACATCTGTCAAATTGGGTGTAACACTTGGCAGCAAAGGCTTGGCACAGCTGCGCCAATCAATCTATAGTAGTTACACGGTGTTACACGCGCTACAAGGAAGAATAAACCTAGCAAGATGCTTCAAGTGTCGTTTGTCCCTTTCAGCATATTCATACTCGGAAGACTCACGACCTCAAACAGACCTCTGCTGAGCTTCTAACCAACCAAGGACTTGTCATCAGTTGAGTTGAAAAGCTCCTTGCCAACTGGAGCACTTGTTGAGGCTTCTGAGGACAAACTATCTCAGCACAAACTTTGCAGCATGATTTTGAAAGCACGGAAGTACCCGATGCAACATGTGATCGGCTGCAGGGTAAAACATCAACAGTTGTAAAGCACCATGGGTTGACAAACTCCGATATCCTTTTCTAAAAACACACTGAAGCCCGCAAGAAAGTGGCGTTGACACGCTGTATGGATTCTTTCATAGAACTACTTAGTCCATCGTAGTACCACTATGTACTACTTCACTTACCCCAGTTCTGACTGCAAGCAAGGCTCAGATGCTGCTTCATTCAGTCCTAAGTTTCAAGTCACAGAATGCTGAGAAATGGTAATGCCCTCTTTCTTGTGAGAAGATCTGTGTTGTTGCGCACAAGTCACGCAGAATGGTGCCATCTTGAAGGAACGTCACCACAGGCACATGGGCAAGCTTGATAATAGTGTCAAAATCCTGCAGTCAGATTTCAGTCTGCAAGCGAATGGAGACTCTTTTCACCCTGCGAACGAAATGCTTAGCTAGTTTCTCAGCCACTCAACTTACAGTCTTCACCCATGGATGATTTCACATCGTTTCTGCGCAACTCTTGAAGAGTGTGGACCGCGCTGAAATTTTACTTGTCAAAGAGAGGGTGCGAAACTGACGTTTTTCTCTCACACAAGAATCTTGCAAGTAGCAAGTCCCTTGGGTACCTAAGCTCAATGCATTCGCTGTTAGTTTTGTATCAACAGTGCTCAAGGAACGGCCTTTGCCACCGAAGGTGGAAGAACTGATGTCCATCTCGAAAAGGCCCATGTGCCTTGATGTGCCTTGATGTGCCTTGAGCCTATGGAGGTTTGTGTGGACTACATAGTGCCACTTAAGCCTGTATACAATGGGTGGAGCTGGCGATGGGATGGTGACCTGGCTGTCGCAGCCATCATGATGGTGGTGCTTGGGCCCTGCGTGTCAACCTTGTCCTCTGCCTCCTTCTTGATACTGGCATTTTCACGGGGCGCGAAATTAGTTTGGCAATTTGTTTGGGCATTTTTTCCCCAAACGGCGTGCCCACAGTCAAGGGTTCTTACGGTAAGAATAAAGGCCGGTGCTTGATCAGGGTGCCCACTCTGGGCCCGAGCCTTTTCCCTGTAAATTTCCCTGTAAATTGGCTCTTGTGAAATGTTGACTTGCATTTCGGCTGCACAGGCTCGCGCAAAGTGTATGTCTATGTGTCTGCGTTCTGGGCTCAATCTGGGCCGCGGCATTTTTCCTGTAAATTTCCGTATAAAGTGGCTCTTGTGAAATGTTGAGGTGCATGTCGACTGCGCAGGCTCGCACAAAGTGTGCGCCTAGGTTCTGGGCCGCGGCATTTTCCTGTAAATTTCAAAAATTACCATATAAAGTGGCTCTTGTGAAATGCTGACTTGCATTTCGACTGCGCAGGCTCGCACAAAGTGTGTGTCTGCGTTCTGGGCTCAATCTGGACCGCGGCATTTTTCCTGTAAATTTCCATATAAAGTGGCTCTTGTGAAATGTTGACTTGCATTTCGACTGCGCAGGCTTGCACAAAGTGTGCGCCTAGTTTCTGGGCTCGGGCACTTTTCCTGTCAGTTTCCGTACAAAATGGCTCTTGCGAAATGTTGACTTGCATTTCGACCGCGCAGGCTCGCACAAAACACGCAGCGCGGTCTTGGGATCGGTCCCCCTCCTCCACATCAGCATCGTCAGTATCATCATCGTCCTCCTCCTCAACATCATCATTCTCAACATCCTCCTCTTCCTTCCCCTTGACATCATCACCCTGCACCTCATCACTCCCAACATCATCATCCTCAACATCATCATCTTCCTCCTCCTCCTCCTCAACATCATAATTCTCAGCATGATCGTCTTCCTCCCCTTGACATCATGATCCTCAACAGCATCATCTTCCTCCTCCTCAGCATCATCATTCTCAACGTCATCATCTTCCTCCCCTTCACTTCCTCCTCCCCTTCACATCATCATCCTCAACATCATCATCTTCCTCCTCCTCAACATCACCAATCTCAACATCATCATCTTCCTCCTCCTCAACATCATCTTTCTCAACATCATCATCTTCCTCCTTCTCAACATCATCATCATCCACCTAATCATCCTCAAATTCGTCTTCGGCATTATCATCCTGATCCCCAATCCTCCTCAACATCATCATCCTCCACATCATCATCCACTCCACCTCATCTTCCGCAACATCCTCCTCCTCCACCTCCTCTTCTGCAACATTTTCATCCTCAACATCATCCTCCGCAACATTTTCTTCATCATCATCATCCCCATCATCATCCACATTATCATACATTATCCTCCCGCTCCCCCACACTCTTTGGACCTCTTGCCGGATAATTTTGTTCCGGGTTGGCTTCCTGGCTTTTTCATTGCTTTCCAGCGGTTTTCATCAATTTTCCATTGTTTTCGCTGGTTTTCCAACGTTTTTCCTCCATGTTCCATGGTTTTCAATGATTTTCTAGCGCTTTCCATCAGTTTTTCGAGTGTCCTTCTTGATTTGTCTCGTCTTTGCATTGATTTCTCTATACTTGTTGTTGCTTTTCTAGCGTTGTTCATCGATTTTTCTATTTTTCTAGCGTTGTTTCTTCGTTGTTTTGCACGATTTTGGACTTGGTGTTGCTGTTGCTTGTGATCTTGTTCTTGTTCTTGTTCTTGTTGTACTTGCACCCCGGCGTTGTTTTTCTCGATTGTTTGCATCGATGTTGTTTTGCACGATTTTGGAGCAACAGCTCAATTGTTTGCATCGATTTTTGATATTGTCTTGCACGAGTTTCGAATTGGTGTTGCTGTTGTTTATGATTGTTGTGCTGGAGTTTTGAAAGTGTTATTTGTTGTTGTTGACTTTCCAGTGAAGGGGAGGGCCGGATAAAAACAAAAAAAAGCGGGTGGGGGGCACGGGGGGAGGGCGCAGCGCCTCCCCCCGCAAGGCGTTCCATTAAACTTGCTCCCAGGACTCCCAGGTGTTGTTTTTCTCGATTGTTTGGATCGATTTTGATGGTGTTATTTGTTACTGTTGTGGTTGTGGTTGTGGTTGTCGTTTTTGGCCTCAGCTCTTCTCATCTCGTCCCATCTCTTCTCACATGTCATCTAAGTAAGTTCTTCTCAACTGTTTTCATCTCATCCGAGCACTGATCAACCTTTCTCATCTCCACGAAGTTCGTCTCAACTCATCTTAGCGTTTCTCTTTAGGATGTCATTTAGGATTCATTTAGGGCTTCTTTTGGGTTTCATTTGGGGTTTCCTCTGGGCTTCATTTAGGGTTTCATTTACGGTTTCTTTAGGGTTTAAGGGTTCATTTAAGGGTTTCTTCAGGGTGTCATTTAATGTTTCTTTAGGGTTTCATTTAGGATCTCTTTGCGGTTTCATTTCGGGTTTCATTTGGGTTTCATTTAAGGTTTCTTTAGTGTTTCATGTAGGGGTTCATTTAAGGTCTCTGTAGGGTTTCTTCAGGGTGTCATTTAAGGTTTCTTTAGGGTTTCATTTATGGTTTCTTTACGGTTTCATTTATGGTTTCTTTACGGTTTCATTTAGGGTTTCTTTAGGGCCTCGTTTTTGGCTTCTTTAGGATGTCATTTAGGGTTTCTTTTAGGGTTTCTTGAGCGTTTCATTTAGGGTTTCTTTAGGGTGTCGTTTCTAGCTTCTTTAGGATGTCATGTGGGGCTTCTTTAGGATGTCATTTAAGGTTTCATTTAGGGTTTCTTCAGGGTTTCATTTAGAGTTTCTTTAGGGTGTGGTTTTTGGCTTCTTTAGGGTTTCTTGAGAGTTTCATTGAGGGTTTCTTCATGGTTTCATTTAGGGCTTCTTCATGGTTTCATTCCCCAAAAAGCGTTTCCACACTGAGGGGTTCTTACGGTAGTAGTAAAGGCCGGTGCTTGATCAGGGTGCTCACTCTGGGCCCGAGCCTTTTCCCCGTAAATTTCCCTGTAAATTGGCTCTTGTGAAATGTTGATTTGCATTTCGACTGCGCAGGCTCGCACAAAACACGCAGCGCGGTCTTGGGATGGGTCCTCCATCCTCCGCATCAGCATCCTCAGTATCATCCTCTCCTCCTCCTCAACATCATCATTCTCCACATCATCATTCTCCACATCATCCTCTTCCTCCCCCTTGACATCATCATCCTGCACCTCATCATCCCCAACATCATCATCCTCAACACCATCATCTTCCTCCTCCTCAACATCATCATTCTCAGCATGATCATCTTCCTCCTCATCATCATCCTCAACATCATCACCCTACACCTCATCATCCTCAACGTCATCATCTTCCTCCTCCTCAGCACCATCATTCTTAACATCATCATCTTCGTCCCCCTTGACATCATCATTCTCAACATCATCATCCTCCACCTCCTCTTCCGGCAACATTATCATCCTCATCATCCTCAACATCCTCATCATCATTAATCATCCTCACCTCATCATCGTCATCATCCTCCACCTCATCTTCCGCAACATCATCCTCGCAACATCATCCCCCTCCACCTCATCTTCCACAACATGATCATCCTCAACATCATCGTCCTCAACATGTTCATTGTCATCCTCATCCTCATCATCATCATCATCGTCGTCGTCGTCGTCGTCGTCGTCGTTGTCGTCGTCGTCGATGTCGTCGTCATCACCATCATCATCCACATTATCATACATTATCCTCCCACTCCCCCACACTGTTTGGGGTCTCTTGCCGGGATATTTTAGGGTTTCATTTAGGTTTCTTTAGGGTTTCAGTTAGGGTTTCATGTAGGGTTCGAAACGAAGTGGCGCCCAAGCAAAATCATATTGTTACACCCCCTTTTTCCCCCTCTATAGAGCACGCCCTTATCCCACCTTTTAGGTGTGCATCTAACCGGAAGCCCAGAAAATTTAACCGAAACCCCTTTTTTCCTAAGCGAAACCCCATTTTATCTAACGAGATGGCCTTACATCTAACGCGTTTTGGCCTTCATCTAACCGAATGCCTATTTTTCACGCTTAGATGAGAGCTTCATCTAACACGCACCGGCTCTATCTAACCGACCCCGCAGCTTAGATGGAATTTATTGCCTAACAGGTTAGGTGTGCCAGGGCCCCTGTCTAAGAAGAGCCACACCCTCATCTAAGAATGCGTTCTGAACTTATCCCATCGCACATGCAACTCAATGCGGTACTTCATTGGGACCATCCAAAGCACGATGCTAAGTACAGTGACAATGTCTTGCAAATACTTGCCCTTGCTCATGACATGTTTGTGCAACCATCACAAGGGGGCCCAAGCATGATGTCATCAAGCTATCAGTTTGGTGGCATGTGAACACCGCGGGCAAACTTTATGGCTTGCAACCCTTTTGGATTGAGTTCACTGCTGTGCTTGCATGGGGGGCCTGAATTTCTGATCCTTTTTGATGATCGGCTGAAAAGGTTTCTGATCATCAATACATTGCAATGACAAAATCCTTGCGCTCCACCGTACAAACAAATACAGGCAAAGTTTTGAACTAAGCAAGCAATGGGCTTATGAGGAGTGTTTCCTACGGCTGTTGATGATGATTGCCGCTTGCCAAAGCAACACAATTACCATACTAGCGCAAGTACCAGACATAAGTCCTGCACCTACTTTCCGCAAGGCAGCGCAACAAGCAAACCAAGAAGCGAAGCAAAGCTAACAAACACATGTTTCTTTCACAAGGGACAGCACAAGTGCAGCTCTGGTTTGTCAGCTGCTGCCCAAGCCCCAAAGGATTTTAGGGTTCAAGCCTTAGTTTTAAAGGTTGGGGCAAGGATTTTGGAATCAAGAATCTAGGGTTAAAGGTTTACTTTTCAAGATTAAGGTTAAAGGATTTCGGGTTCAAGGGTGGTAGGGTTAAGGATTTCGGCCTAAAGGATTTTAGGGTTCAAGGATTTAGGGTTTTATAAAGGATTTAAAATTAGGGTTAATTTTTTTTAGGGTTAAAGAATGGTTGGTTTTCTTAGCCACGTAACTATTCCAGGATCTTTTAGCCACGTATTTTTTTATTAACAACGGAAAAAAAAACTTAGCTGCGTAAGAGTGTTACCCACGTACTGTCACGTAATGGATGTATTTAAGAAATCAATGTTTTGTCTATTGTTTGTAGTGTTTGCAAAAAATTACCTTTTATATAGTTTTCCCAGTTTTTGTGTTCTACCCTTTATATATGTGTTCCCCTTTTTTTTCCTAGTATTTGTTTTCTACCCTACCCATTATATGTGTTTTTTTTCTAGTGTTTGTTTTCTACCCTTTATATATGTTTTACCTTTTTTCTGGTGTTTGTTTTCTACCATTTCTATATATATATATGTTTTCTAGTGTTTCTTTTCTACCCTTCATATATTTTGTTTTTTTAAGTGTTTGTTTTCTACCCTTTATATATGTTCTTTATATATGTTGTTCCTGGTTTCTTTTCTAGTGCTTGTTTTCTACCCTTGATATATTTTTATTTTTTTTGTCCAATTCCTAGTGTTTGTTTTCTATCCTTTATATATGTTTTCCCTTTTTCTATTTTTTTCTTAGTTTTTGCTTTCTACCCTTTATATATGTTTTCCCTTTTTTTCCTGTATTGTTTTCTGCCCTTTATATATTCTTCCCTTTTTTTTCAAGTGTTTGTTTTCTACCCTTCATATTTTTTTTCTAGTGTTTATTTTCTACCCTTATATATTTTTACCTTTTCTTCTAGTGTTTGTTTTCTGCCCTTTCTACATACTTTTTTGTTTCTAGTGTTTGTTTTCTACCCTTTATGTATGTTGTTCCTGTTTTTTCCAGTGCTTGTTTTCTACCCTGTATATATATTTTTGGGGGGGTCCAATTCCTAGTGTTTGTTTTCTATCCTTTACATATGTTTTTCCTCTTTCTCTTTTTTCCTAGTGTTTGTTTTCTACCGATTACATGTTTTTCCATTTATATGGTGATTTCTCGGTATAATTTGATGATTTCTTGGTACAAATTGATGCTTTCTCGGTACACTTTGAAATTTTCCCACTACAATTGTTATGGTTTCTCTGTAAAAACATGATGATTTCTCGGTACAATTTGATGATTTCTCGGTACAATATGATGATTTCTCGGTACGGTTTGATGATTTCTCAGTACAATTTGTTGATTAATCTTGGTACGGTTTGATGATTTCTTGGTACGGTTTGATGATTTCTCGGTACGGTTTGCTGATTTCTCGGTACGGTTTGATGATTTCGCGGTACAATTTGATGATTTCTGGGTTCAATTTGATGATTTCTTGGTAGAATTTGATGATTTGTCGGTACAATTTGATGATTTCTCGGTACAATTTGATGATTTCTCGGTACGGTTTCATGATTTCTCGGTACAATTTGATGATTTCTCGGTACGGTTTGATGATTTCTTGGTAGAATTTGATGATTTGTCGGTACAATTTGATGATTTCTCGGTACAATTTGATGATTTCTCGGTACGGTTTCATGATTTCTCGGTACAATTTGATGATTTCTCGGTACGGTTTGATGATTTCTTGGTAGAATTTGATGATTTGTCGGTACAATTTGATGATTTCTCGGTACAATTTGATGATTTCTCGGTACGGTTTCATGATTTCTCGGTACAATTTGATGATTTCTCGGTACGGTTTGATGATTTCTCGGTTTTGATGAATTTGATGATTTCAACAATTTGATGATTTCTCGGTATTTCTCGGTTTGACGATTTCTCGGTACAATTTGATGATTTCTCGGTACAATATGATGATTTCTCGGTACGGTTCGATGACCTCTCGGTACGGTTTGATTATTTCTATAACACTGTGATGATTTCTCGGTACGGTTTGATGATTTCTCGGTACGGTTTGATGATTCCTCGGTACAGTTGGATGATTTCTCGGTACAATTTATCATCAAACCGTACCGAGAAATCATCAAATTGTACCGACAAATCATCAAATTGTACCGAGAAATCATCATATTTTACCGAGAAATCATCAAATTGTACCGCGAAATCATCAAACCGTACCGAGAAATCATCAAATTGTACCGAGAAATAATCAAACCGTACCGAGAAGTCATCGAACCGTACCGAGAAATCATCATATTGTACCGAGAAATCAGCAAACCGTACCGAGAAATCATCAAACCGTACCGAGAAATCATCAAACCGTACCAAGATTAATCAACAAATTGTACTGAGAAATCATCAAACCGTACCGAGAAATCATCATGTTTTTACAGAGAAACCATAACAATTGTACTGAGAAAATTTCAAACTGTACCGAGAAAGCATCAGAGTTACCGAGAGATCATTAAATTGTTTCATGGTACGGGCAATGAAATCATCAAATGGTTCCGAGAAATCAAAGCCCTTGCAATTATTTCGGTACATCTTACAAATTGTTTTTTTTCTTGCTTGACAAACAATACTGAATTATAACAAGAGAAGTTCTGTTTTCAAGGAATATGTAAAATCGATTTTCAAGGCTAAGATGTTGATTGTTCGTGGCTAAACCTATTTATGTGGCTAAAAAAACACTTTTCAGGGCTAAAGATTTTACCGTTCGGGGCTAAAAATCGGTCCCGTTAAAGAATTAGTCTTAAAGATTTTTCAGGATTAAATGATCTAAGGTTTTCTGTAACTACAACATTTTTTGAACCTGTTATGTTACGACCCTAAAACCTTGGGCTCCAACATCCTTCGGCCCTAAGAGTCTTTAGCGCAATTTTTGGGGGTTTGAAGCACCAAGGCCTGATAAGACGGGAACGCATGGCGCTTTTATGGCATGGCTATCTGATGGCTAATCAATTTGGGGCGGGGGAAAAAATTACCTGATTTGCAAGTTGCAATATTTTGATGGTTATAAGGTATCGTGGCGGAATAACATACTTCAAGCTTCAGGATTTATAGGGTTCAATGTTGGAATTTGGTGCGGCCAGCGCAACACCTCATATAATGAATAGACTTCGTGTCGCCCAAGTGCCATAACGCCTTAATTTTTGTCTTTGGGGTTTCTTTAGGGTGTCATTTAGGGTTTCTTTAGGGTTTCGCTTGGGCTTTCTTTAGGGTTACAGTTTTGGTTTCTTTGGGATGCCATTTAGGGTTCATTTAGGGATTCATTTAGGGGGTCTTTAGGGTTTCACTTAGGGTTTCTTTAGGGTTGCATTTAGGGCTTATTAGGGTGACATTGTTGGTTTCTTTAGGATGCCATTTAGGGTTCATTCAGGGTTTCGTTTCATTTAGGGTTTCTTTAGGGTGTCGTTTTTGGCTTCTTTAGGATGTCACTTAGGGTTTCTTTAGGATCTCATTTAGGGTTCATTTAGGGTTTCTTTGGGGTTTCATTTAGGGCTTCTTTAGGGTGTCGTTTTTGGCTTCTTTAGGATGTCGCTTAGGGTTTCTTTAGGGTTTCATTTAGGGTAATTTAGGGTTTCATCTAGGGTTTCTTTAGGGTTTCACTTAGAGGTTCTTCAGGGTGTCACACAAATCAACTCACGTAGATATAGTTGGAGACCAGATTTCAACAAGTGTCCTGAAATACGTTTTTCAGACATGAAAAAAAGAGCTAGTTAGGACACTTGATGTTGAAAAAGGTTGCAATTTCTCTCACACAGGCATGCATATAAACTCAAAGGTAAACTTCTGACTGCCATGCAACCATTGTGAAACACAATTCAAGCAAATATAGTTGGAGACCACAGTTCAACAAGTGTCTTGAAATACGGTCTTAAGAACTTTAGGAACAAAAAGTAGTTAGGACACTTGTTGAAAACAGGTCTCAATTCCTCTCACAACAGGCATACAAGCTCGTATTACGTCTGTAGTTTCTGTGCAGTTTACATGTAATTCATATGCAGTGTATTATTTGAAATTATGAAATGTTATATGCAAACTAAAATACTACACATAGAAGTGCGGCCAAAAGCCAAAAGCCAAAAGCCAAATGCCAAAAGCCAAGTGGGCATGCAAATGGGAGATTTTAGCTCCAAAATGCAGCAAATAGCACGCAAATCAGAGATTAAGGCTCCAAAATGCAGCAAATAGTAAGGGAAGCTGCCCCAGACTGAAAAACAAAAAAAACTACGTAAATATTTATATATATAATATATATATATATACAAATACCCTCCATAGAAAAATGCAGCCAGAAGCCACAAGCCACAAGCCAGCAGCCGAAGGAACCAGAAGCCAGAAGCCAAAAGCCAGCCAAAAGCCAGAAGCCAAAAGCCAGCCAAAAAAACAAAAAATAATACCCATCCTTTTTCAAGTGGGGCCAGGGCCCCTTGATTATTGTTTGCTGCTGGTGGCTTATGTTTTTTTTCTCTCGTTTCTGTTTAAATCTTCGCGGAATCACGTCACAATCGGTTTACCCTCGTTTACGCTCGCATCTTCGAGATTCTTCGAGCCTTCTTGTAGGCCACTGCCTCCGCATACCATCGGTGGATCTGCTCAGCATCTTCGCAAGACCGAATCATGGCAAGCAGAGCACCTTGAAGCACCTCAGTTGACTCAAGCAAAAGCTGAGCCTTTTAAGGCACATCCAAATGCCCAAAAAGTTTTTGGTGCCTTCATACCCAGAAGAATTCTCAAAGCCACTGTATTCAGAATAGCAAGGACTGGAAAAGCCGAGGTATCTACATCTTTCGGCATCTTTCTACACTTTTCCACACTTTCCAAGGTATGCAAGACTGGTATGACTCCGCTGAGGCACCTTCACAGTGGAGTCACAGTAGGCATACACAATCTGCTCCATAGAAAGTTCAATGATACCAAAGCGGCCAAACATAAAAAGTGCCGCGTAGAAGATGAACGTCACGATCCTTGGCTGCGGCCAAGCCCAGAGAATTGAACCAACCCCGTTGAGTGGCAGGTATCCAGTATGCACATTGCTACTTTCAAACAGAGTTAATAGTACCTACTGGAAAGTCTCAATTGCATCAATGTTGAAGCTTTATGGCGTTAAGATGTTCACGTTGTTCACGTGATACTCCCCGCAAAGCTGCTTCCAAACTTACATGCAGCTGTGTCCGGTGTGTCCTAAACACATGGCTTGGGATGCCTTGTGATGCCAAGGCGTGAGCCAAGATGCTGATAGATCAACATTGCACACTTCAGTTTGTACAAGTTGACGCCTTGGCACTGCCTCAGTGGAGCTTTTGCTCAGGCTTCAGGGTCACATCGTCATTTGTGATCTGCTGAAGCTGAGCTGAATTAAGCTTAATTAAAGAATATTAAGAGTCAAAGCACAGACACAGCTGGACCTGATCTGCCAATGGAAGAAAAAGTCCCACTGCGCTAACGAACATGCACGGCCACCTGTGCCAAACTGCTTCAAAGTTGGGCCCAGAACATTGCAAACGTATTCTAGAACAAATCTCATCAAAACCAAACTCAACAAGTTTGCCGTGCAGTGCATTCGGAGTCCCTTGATGTCCCTTGGACTTTCCAGAGTTCTTCCGATGAATTGCTGAATGAACTGCAGTAAATGGTTTTGCGCCTGAGTCCAGGGACAGTGGTCACCTCCATTAGCCAAGCCAGCCACACCGACCAGAATGTCACGATCAAGGATGGCAGGGTTCTCATCATCCTGTCATTTCACCGGGTGACACGATTGATCCGAAGCTATGACTCCGCAACACAAGTAGAACTCATGGTCTAAATCGTCTAAATTGGCTAGTGAAGAGCAGAGCTACAAGACTACAAGATGAAGACAAATGAAGATGGCTTCGGCAAGGCCCGGTGCCCGGAACATGGCAATTTTCGATGCTTGGTCTCCTCAACTTAGGTGCATCCAGGTGGCGTTATCCGGAGACCATACTCTGCCAGGAAAGCCCGGTTACTTATCAAGATCAGCAGTGGAACTGCGACCGCCCACCTGCAATTGCTGCAACATCAGTTATACAGTAGTTATACATCATATATCATCATATCACCTCGTTGCATGTCCTTGCAATCCTTTCAACTCGTGCTGTTTTCATGAGCAGATGTATAAGTCGTTCTTTGATGAATTTAGGTATAAGAATCATAATGTGTTTGTATGTGCGACAGCATTGGTCGGTTTCAGCAGTAGCCTTCATGCTCAAATTGACCAACGGAAACAGGCATCACTGCAGCTAGGAGACTGTGCAAAGCGCACAAAGAAGACTGGTCGTTCACCACCTACTGCCCAAATATCAACGTGAACTGGACCTTCAAATTGCCAAATTGTGATCCTTGGCTCCGGCAGCTCTGGCAGATCTCTATGAAATGTGTTGCCTTGAGTCTCAAGACCAAGCACAAGTCCTCTGACCAACAGACCCAAATTCTAGTGTTAGTTTATCTCATACATTCCATGTACAATATCTTGTTGCTTCTTGAAAACGACTATATATACAATTAGAATCAGCCACGTCTCCCTGTCACAAATTTGATGACATACTCAAGCAAGGTGAGAAAAGAGTCCATCAGTCCTGAGAGACTCATCGTCTCCTACCCAAACCGCTTAGAGTGCTCTTCATATCTTTGATGTGAACTAATCTGTTGACAGTCTGAAGTGATCCTCCTGTGTGCCAAGTCTTTCCTGCTGTCTTTTCTTGAAAAACTTCTGAACCGCTTTCATTGTTCCAACACGCAAACCTTGACATGCAGTAATATTGTGCACAGGTGCTATGACCCCTCAAGGTCTTTTTGAGCTCTGCCTGTCCAGATTGAGCAAACATCAGACCTGACTCAGCATGGAAAGAGTCTATCTGCTCGCTGTGATTTCAATGCTATCTGCTCTTGCTAAGTCTGCAACCTGTCCATAAAAATCCCAGCTCCAGTACAAACGCCGAGAAAATCAGCAAGATGGCCTCATGTTGGAAAGCCAAACATGGCACTGATCCCAAAAACACGGACCTAGATACTATCTAAATACCTTATCAGCATGTGCATCCCAATTACAATCGGTGCCTGAAAAGTGCTAATAACATCCAACAAACAAATTAAAGCCCAGATATACATATATATATATATACATAGACATGTGTGGCCTGGGCATTTGCAATATATTTCGTACATATGCACATATGTACATATGTATAAATGTATCTATAATATTATATAGATATATACAGGTAATTGACATTTGTATGGTATATATATATATTCATATATGTATACACATACATTTTTATGTTTATGTGTATGCATATATTCTTTTATGTCAGACCAGTGTCAGATCATTCGAGTGTCCCTGCGCCATGAGAGCAGCTAGTAGCAGGCGTTTTAGGGAAGAATCCGTACCCTCCAACGGTCATCAAACATGGCTGGGGAATTTCCTAAAAATAGGCATACTAATTTTACTAATGGGAAAATCATCTTTAATGCGAAAATAGTATAAAATAATCATGATTGCTATCAGTAGCTCTGACATAGGATCTGCGGGCAATGGATCCAGGGGTTCAGCCCCCTACTTTCAAGGCGGCCTAATCCAAAAAGTTGAATTCTGTAGCACTTGTGCTTGCGCGTCATTCATTTCGCTGCACAAAGTTGAAAGACATAATGTATAATTACGGCTATCTACATTCTCTTCAATGCTCCTTTATATAAACGTCCTTCTAAACTGCACATGGCCAGTGCTACAGTCAAAGCTCGCACTGGTGGCTCAGCTTGTGCGATGGTATATATTGAGGAAAAACAAACACAAATTACCTCGAGCAAAAGAAGAAAAGCTTTGAGCATGGAAGAAATGCAGCCCTCCACCTCAAATACGGGTCAGAGTGAAACTAAGCGAAGGGTCCCGATGTCCTACATCGAATGCGTAATACTGTAGACGGGAGGCAACTTAAGCTTGGATCAAAATCATATGACATATATCCACTACTACACTGTGCAAGTTCAATTTTAAGTACTCTAGCACACGGTAACTTTTTTGAGCTTTGCTGTCAAGCGGCAGATCCTGCATGATAGCCTATATTCGTCAGGTCACTACTCCATCTTGGAGCAACCCCTGCAAAGAAGGTTCATATCTCCTCTGTGCTCATATAGTGCGACAGCCTTGACCAAGATCTACAAATCGGTGCTGCCACAACGGGCCTCCAACATAGTACGCGAATAAATAGAAGAGAACAGAAACTGCGCTCCAGAGGTAGCAAAGAACCTCAGCGTTTTACGCCCATCCTCAAATCGTAGCAACAGCCTTTGGAGGACAGAACCTATCGAGGTGCAACCAAGAGCAAAAACTACCCTTAACTTTCAAGACCCTTGGATGCCTATGGCGACATGAAACCAAATTCGATAGCCAAACCAGCTGACCCGACCGGTACATTTTCCAAGCCAACAGCCATTCTGAGTGTGGAAGTAGAATTTCTCTGTGTACCATCTGACGAGATGTCAAGAATGTGTGTGTGTGTGATGTGTTTTTTGTGTTTTTTTTCTTCTTGCCTTCTTGTGCTGCCATGTTCGGTCTCTGTTTCTTCTTATACAGGTGCAAAAAAGCGGGATGTTTTCGTTCCACCTACTACAAGAAAACGGCCTGCAGAGAGCCTAGTGCCTGCCTCCCGAGAACATCTTCACAAGGGGTCATAGCTGGCGGTCATAACTCTTATCATTTCACATATTTTGTCGTTGTATGTCTGCATGTCTGTCTGTCTGCCTGTCTGTCTGCCTGTCTGTCTGTCTGTCCGTCTTTATGTATGTATGCATGCATGTATGTAAGTATATGATACATACATATGCCATATGCACATATTTTTTTTAATATTTATATCTTCGCCGACCCCGGCCGACCGCAAAGGGGAGCGCGTCAGGGGAGAGAGGCAGTTAACGACGACGACGACGACAACGACGACAACAACAACAACAACAGCAACAACAACAACAACAACAAGAACGAGAACGAGAACAAGAACAAGAATAGTAGAAAGAGAGATCCAGAAGGGACGTTAGGCCTCGGTACAAATCATTATTGGAAGCGGGATCCGTCCTTCAGTGGCATGGTGTTTCGGTGCGGCGAGGGGTGCGTTTTGGAGGCCTGCACCCTGCCCTGAGTAATTTAGCGGTATTAGACACAGTTCAGGAACAAGGCCGGCAGGCAAATCAGCCAGCAGGATCAGCAAGCGAGGCCAGCAAACAAGAGCAGCAGCAAGCAAGACCAGCATGTTCTCTTTTACGGGGTTCAGAAGTTACGTTAGGGAGTTTTTTGGCGCAATTTTGGAGCTTCTCAGTCCCTCACTGCCATGGGGATTTGCCGCTAGGAGCGGCTCAATTTTTGGGAGCTCTAGCGGCTCTAGCGGTATTAGACACAGTGCAAGAACAAGGCAAATCAGCCAGCAGGATAAGCAAGCGAGGCCAGCAAACAACAGCAGCAAGCAAGACCAGCGCATGTTCATTTTTTACGGGTTTCAGAGGTTTGAAGTTATGTTAGGAAGTTTTTCGGTGCAATTTTGTAGCTTCTCCGTCCCTCACTGCCATGGGGATTTGCCGCTAGGAGCGGTTCGATTTTTGGGAGCTCTAGCGGTATTAGAGACAGTGCAAGAACAAGGCCGCATGTTCTTTTTTACGGGTTTCGGAAATTATGTTAAGGAGATTTTTGGCGCAATTTGGGAGCTTCTCCGTCCCTCACTGCCATGGGGATTTGCAGCTGGGACGGGTTCGGTTTTCTGAGCTGTAGCGGTATTAGACACAGTGCACCAACAAGGCCAACGTTCGGCAATGAACAAAAAACAAAACAACACCAATCGCATGTTGCAAGAAGTACCAGGCCTGCTGCACAATTCTCCTTGCCGCCTTATCGTTTGAACCTTCCCATACCTGGAGCCTAACACAATGGGTGGGACGAGCTTCGTTCCTCTGGGGTCGGCAGGGGGCGGTAGCCGCTAGCCGCTAGCCCCTTAATCCGGCGAGTAGGTGCGTAGCTACTTGCTAGCTTTAGCTACCGGAGGCGCGCCTCTGCCGCCGACCCCCCCGAAATCCTTCACTCTGGTGGTGTTTTCACGTTTTTTGGGGTCCCGCGCGGGGGAAAAAAAAACGATGAAATTACCATATGCTTTTTGGACGTCCATTTTGGGCACTTTTTGGCGGATGTTTGCTGTTTTTTTGTGCTACAACTACAACAACAACAACAACTACTACAACAACAACAACAAGAAGAAGAAAAAGAAGAAGAAGAAGAAGACAAAAAGATGTGTTACAAGCTGCGGTATGAAAAGAACATCATACTGTGCTCTGTACCTGCGCGCACGCGCCAAGCACATGAACAACACCAACGTTCACACTACTATGCATAACCCTTATTGCATCGCCGGTGCGCGAAGCTCTACAAAATATGTATATATATATGTGTGTGTGTGTGTACATGTTTGTGCGTGTATATATATATATATGTGTGTTGTACATATATATATATACTTATTTATTCATTTATTTATTTATTTATTTTGTTTGTTTTTTATTTATTCATTTATATATTTATTTATTGATTGATTGATTTATTGAATTTATTGATTCATTATTAGTATTATCGTATATGTTTGTTATCATTGTTACGATTACTATGATTATTGTTAAGGTTAATATTATCATTATTGTTATTAATTGTTACTATTATTTTGTCATTCTAGAACTCCTGTCCAACCGTCTTGCTCTTCAATGCTCTGAGCAGCAGCCGTGAAGGGATGCACCTCCGGAGCCATTGCTACGGCAGTTGGAGCCAGCATCGAAGAAACGAAGGAATGATGGTGACTCCCAGAGAAGAAACTGACTGATCTATTCCACTTACAGTATTGTCCATGTCCGCATGAAGATTCATCATTTTCATATTCTATTGGCATGACTATATTTTCGCACTCCTCAAAAATGTCTACGGGTGAACAGAGGAGAAAGGTACAACACTGTGAAGACAGAGCCCAAGACAATTGCTGGTTGCACTCCTCTTTTTGGTAGCAATATTACTCCGACCGATCTTCGCGCCGCTCGGACTTTTCAAGAAAAGACTCAACCAATCTGCACCCGCCTTTGGCGGTCTGCACTTATTTTCTAAGCGCTTCAATAGGAGTTAGAAGTGCTCTCATCACGTGATTGCAACCTTGCAGCCAAGAATTTGGAGTTAGAGAGACGAAAGAGTTGGAAAATCGCGCTAGCCCGTTCAATATTCAAATTCCTGAAGTTGAAAACTCTTGCCATAGAGAACTCGATTTACCAACTCCTTCCCAGCCCAGTCTCGCATGGAAAGGCCTCTGGAGCTGGAAAGGATTGGCTCTGTAACAAGAGCCTCTTCGCCACCTGCCTACAGGACTGGTGCGCAAATTTCGTGACACTCCAGATGGAAGGCTGACCTACCAGCTGACGAGAACTGACTTGAATATCAGATTCTAGCAAGAACGCAAGCGAAGAGGCTGCTAACCTGCGTAGTTATGCGGCAAGTTATGCGACTCATGTTGCTGAATCTCTATTGACACAGTTTGCTCAAACGGCGGCATTCTCGGGAGCAGCACATGCTGCGTAGCTTCCACCGTTCCAACTCTGGTTGCAAATCCTTAGAGAATCAATTAAGGAACCAATCAAGGCTCAAGGCAATCGACTCGTCTCATGTCGTGCATGTGGGAAAACAAACAGCAGCTTAAGGCCAGATCAGGCCACATTCTCTCCTGCTACATGCGAAGCGCAAAGGAGCACTTGCTGACAAGGGGCGCCGCGCTGATTAGGACCAGATCTTTCCTGTTCAGGCCCAGAACGTCAGAATCAGAGCTGGATGCTTGGAAAAGTATGATGAACACGGCAGACACTTCTGCTATCCTTCTGGCAATCACGTAGTTGCCCGATTTGTGAAGCCTGCTCTGATACCCGCATCCTTAGGCATGACAGGGACGGTTCTTGAATAGTGTTTAGGTCGAAATGCTGCCAATCTTGAACCTGGTATATTGATAGCATGGAGACTCTGCTATATATATATATGTGGCAGGGACCTTTTGGTATAATGCGACCGTCCTCCTTTCTGATCTTATCCAGTGGTTGTAACTCTTTTCCTTCCTCTTCCTTTTCTTTCCTTACTTGTTCATCTATGCTTTCCCAGTGCTTTCTTCACCCTCATTACAATTGTTATCTCTGGGTGCTTTTGGGACCCAAGATTCTCCTTGCCTCCCATGTGTTCCAATTTGTGTCCTTATTCAGCCAATTTTTTCTCCCTTTTCTTACTCCATTATTTTACTTTCCTACTCATTCTACTCTCTCCGTTGCTGTTTCTGTCTAGGCTTTAGAACCTTCAAGTGCTTTGGGGCCATAAACATTATCGAGTCCATCATCCGGGTCACCAGCATTTTGGGACGGAGAGGATAGTTTTTCTCCTCTTTCCTTTCTTTCCTTACTTGTTCCTCTAGTTTTTCCCAATGCTTTCTTCGCTTCTCTCCTCATTAATTACTGTTGTCCTCTCTGGGTGCTTTTGGACCCTCGACTCCTGATTCTTCTCGTCTCCCATTTGTGTCCGTGTTTGTTCCCCTTGTTCTCTCCAAGTTGTATCCTTCATTTCCTTCCCATTGCCATTCTTCTACCAGGCTGCTTTGGGAAGAATGGATTTCCTGGTCTTTGTTTCTCCCTACTTGCCTTCCTTTGTGGAAGTCTGCGTGATTTGGGACGAAACCATACGAAACCCATTATCCGTTACTCCGTTACATTCCCTTACCCTGGGTCCCTACCATATGTTACCCTACTTGCCTTTCTACTAGTCCCCAACTTGTCTCCTTATCATCTCTCCACTACCGTGCTTCTTTCCAGGTCTCCAGCATTTGGACGGAGAAGAGAGCTTTTATCCTCTTTCCTTTCTTTCATTACTTGTTGCTCTAGTCTTTCCCACTGCCTTCTTCACTTCTCTCCTCACTACCGTTGTTCTCTTTAGGTGCTTTTGGGACCCAAGATTCTCCTTGTCTCCCACGTGTGTCTAGGCTTTAGGACCTCTAGGTGCTTTGGGGCAATAAACATTCCCGAGTCCTTCATTTGTGTTGCAGTCCTCCTCTCTCCATTCCTTTTGTCCATCCCTGTTACTGTTCTTCTTCCTGGATGCTTCTGGGCACAGGATACTCTTCGTCTCTTCGTCTCCCATTTGTTTCCGTGTTCGTTCCCCTTGTTGTCTCAAACTTGTTTCTGTACTTCTCTATCTATTGCTATTCTTTTCTCTGGGTACGTTTGGGACGCAAAGTTCTCCTTGTTTTCCACCTGTTTCCGTGCTTGTCTCCCGTGTTGGCTCCTACTCCCTGCCTGAGTTCTGTTTCTCTGGGTGCTTGATGGCAGCGGATTCTTCTTGTCTGTCATTTGTTTCCATGCTTAGCTGCTTGTCTCCTTGTTTGTTCTACTACTCCCCCCCCCGCGCTCAGTGTTCTTTGTTTTGGTTGCTTTGGGGACAGGACTCTCCTTGTGTCCCATCTGTTTCTGCGCCCGTCTCTCTGCTTGTTCTCAACTTGTTTTGACACTTCTTTCTTCGTTGCTGTTGTTCTCTCTGGGTGCTTCCGGCGCACAGGATGCTCATCGGATGCTCCTTGTCCATTGTCTGTTTCCGTACTTGTCGTCCTTGTTGTCTCCATTTCGTGCCCTTCTTTCTTTCTTTCTTTCTTTCCTTCCTTCCTTCCTTCCTTTCTTTCTTTCTTTCTTTCTTTCTTTTTTTCTTTCTCTCTCTCTCTCTCTCTCTCTTGCTCTTCTTCTTTCTAGGTGCTTGTTGGGACCCCTGATTCTTCTCGTCTGCCATCTGTTTCCGTACGTGTCTTCCTTGTTCTCTCCAAGTCGTATACTTGTCTCCCTTGTTCTCTCCAAGTCGTATACTTGTCTCCCTTGTTCTCTCCAAGTTGTATCCTTAGTTCCCTCCCCATTGCTATTCTTCTCTCAGGCTGCTTTGGGAAGAATGTTTCTCCCTACTTGTCTTCCTTCGTATAAGTCTCCTTGCTTGTCTCTCAATTGCTGTGCTTGTCTCTGTGTGCTTTGGGACGAAACCTATTATCCGTTACATTCCCTTACTGTACCCTCGGTTACTACCACATGTTACCCTACTTGCCTTCCTACTTGTTTCCAACTTATCTCCTTATCATCTCTCCACTACCGTGCTTCTTTCCGGGTCTGCAGCATGTGGCACGGAGAGCAAGGTTTCTTTCCTCTTCCCTTTCTTTCCTTACTTGTTCATCTATTCTTTCTCAGTGCTTTCTTCACCCTCATTACAGTTGTTATCTCTGGGTGCTTTTGGGACCCAAGATTCTCCTTGCCTCCCATGTGTTCCAATTTGTGTCCTTATTCAGCCAATTTTTTCTCCCTTTTCTTACTCCATTTTACTTTCCTACTCATTCTACTCTCTCTGTTGCTGTTTCTGTCTAGGCTTTAGAACCTTCAGGTGCTTTGGGGCCATAAACATTACCGAGTCCATCATTTATGTCCCTTCCGTCACCTTGTTGCAGTGCTCCTCTTTCCATTCCTTGTTGTCCCTCCCTGTTACTGTTATTCTTCCTGGGTGCTTCTGGGCACAGGATACTCTTCGTGGTGCTCGATGGCAAAGGATTCTTCTTGCCTCCCATTTGTTTCCATACTTGTCTCCTTGTCTGTTCCCAACTTGTTTCTTTATTTTTCTATCTCCATTGCGATTCTTCTCTCCGGGTGCTTTTGGTCAAAGGAATCTCCTCGTCTCCCGTTCCTCTCTCTCCATTGCTCAGTGTTCTTCGTTCTGGTGGCTTTGGGGACAGGACTCAAGTCTCATCTGTTTTCGTATTCGTCTCTCTACTTCACTCTCACATGTGGCTGTTCTCTCTGGGTGCTTCCGGGGGACAATATGCTCCTTGTCCTCTGTCTGTCTCCGTGCTTATCCCCCTTGTTCTCTCCAACTCGTGCCCTTACTTCTCTCTTTCTCTCTCTCTCTCTCTCTCTCGCTGTTCTTCTCTCTAGGTGCTTATTTGGACACATGATTCTCTTCGTCTCCCATCTGTTTGCGTACTTGTCTCCCTTGTTCTCTCCAAGTTGTATCCTTAATTGCCTCCCCCTTGCTATTCTTCTCATTTCTTCTCTTAGGCTGCTTTCTGTACTTGTCTCTTAATTGCTGTGCTTGTCTCTGCGTGCTTTGGGACGAAACCTATTATCCGTTACATTCCCTTACCCTCGGTCACTACCACATGTTACCCTACTTGACTTCCTACTTGTCCCCAACTTGTCTCCTTATCATCTCTCCACTACCGTGCTTCTTTCCGGGTCACCAGCATTTTGGGACGGAGAGGATAGTTTTTCTCCTCTTTCCTTTCTTTCCTTACTTGTTCCTCTAGTTTTTCCCAATGCTTTCTTCGCTTCTCTCCTCATTAATTACTGTTGTTCTCTCTGGGTGCTTTTGGACCCTGGACTCCGTGTTTGTTCCCCTTGTTCTCTCCAAGTTGTATCCTTCATTCCCTTCCCATTGCCATTCTTCTACCAGGCTGCTTTGGGAAGAATGGATTTCCTGGTCTTTGTTTCTCCCTACTTGCCTTCCTTTGTGGAAGTCTGCGTGATTTGGGACGAAACCATACGAAACCCATTATCCGTTACTCCGTTACATTCCCTTACCCTGGGTCCCTACCATATGTTACCCTACTTGCCTTTCTACTAGTCCCCAACTTGTCTCCTTATCATCTCTCCACTACCGTGCTTCTTTCCAGGTCTCCAGCATTTGGGACGGAGAAGAGAGCTTTTATCCTCTTTCCTTTCTTTCATTACTTGTTGCTCTAGTCTTTCCCACTGCCTTCTTCACTTCTCTCCTCACTACCGTTGTTCTCTTTAGGTGCTTTTGGGACCCAAGATTCTCCTTGTCTCCCACGTGTGTCTAGGCTTTAGGACCTCTAGGTGCTTTGGGGCAATAAACATTCCCGAGTCCTTCATTTGTGTTGCAGTCCTCCTCTCTCCATTCCTTTTGTCCATCCCTGTTACTGTTCTTCTTCCTGGATGCTTCTGGGCACAGGATACTCTTCGTCTCTTCGTCTCCCATTTGTTTCCGTGTTCGTTCCCCTTGTTGTCTCAAACTTGTTTCTGTACTTCTCTATCTATTGATATTCTTTTCTCTGGGTACGTTTGGGACGCAAAGTTCTCCTTGTTTTCCACCTGTTTCCGTGCTTGTCTCCCTTGTTGATCCATTGCTCAGTGTTCTTTGTTTTGGTTGCTTTGGGGAAAGGACTCTCCTTGTGTCCCATCTGTTTCTGCGCCCGTCTCTCTGCTTGTTCTCAACTTGTTTTGACACTTCTTTCTTCGTTGCTGTTGTTCTCTCTGGGTGCTTCCGGCGCACAGGATGCTCATCGGATGCTCCTTGTCCATTGTCTGTTTCCGTACTTGTCGTCCTTGTTGTCTCCATTTCGTGCCCTTCTTTCTTTCTTTCTTTCTTTCTTTCCTTTCCTTCCTTTCTTTCTTTCTTTCTTTCTTTCTTTTTTTCTTTCTCTCTCTCTCTCTCTCTCTCTCTCTTGCTCTTCTTCTTTCTAGGTGCTTGTTGGGACCCCTGATTCTTCTCGTCTGCCATCTGTTTCCGTACGTGTCCTCCTTGTTCTCTCCAAGTTGTATACTTGTCTCCCTTGTTCTCTCCAAGTTGTATCCTTCATTCGCTCCCCATTGCTATTCTTCTCTCAGGCTGCTTTGGGCAGAATGCTTCTCCCTACTTGTCTTCCTTCGTATAAGTCTCCTTGCTTGTCTCTGTGTGCTTTGGGACGAAACCTATTATCCGTTACATTCCCTTACCCTCTCTCTACTACATGTTTCCCTCCAAGCGGTCTCCTTATCCTCTCTCCACTACCGTGCTTCTTTCTAGGTCTCCAGCATTTTGGGACGGAGAAGAGAGCTTTTCTCCTCTTCCCTTTCTTTCATTACTTGTTCCTCTTGTCTTTCCCAGTGCCTTTTTCCCTTCTCTCCTCATTACTGTTGTTCTTTTTGGGTGCTTTTGAGACACAGGACTTTCATTGTCTGCAGTTTGTTTCCTTATTTTGCTACATAGTTTAATATTGGTGGCTTTTTTGGGTGGATATATAGTTTAGTATTGATGATTTTTGGGGTCAACAAAGTATATAATAAGATTCTCAGAAAGGGAACCACACACACATGGTTTAGCATGTTTTTTAAAACATAGTTTAGTATGCTTTGAATACATCTTTTAGTCTTGACATTTTTTGCATTTATAGATTACTATTGGGAGCTCAGCTTCTCGTTTTGGAGTATGCATTTTTTGCTTTAATTTGTTGAATTTTTGAAGTCAAAAAAAAAAATGAAATTCCCAGAAAGAGAGCCAGACTTAGTTTAGCAGTAGTTTGTTTAAAATGAATACATAGTTTAGTATTGTTTAAATGCATGGTTACATAGTTTAGTATTGAGTTGTTTTTTGCATATATAGATTACTATTGGGAGCTAAGCTTCTCACTTTTGGGGTATTCATTTTTTTTCATTTTTTTGATTTTTTTGAATTTGAAAAGATGAAGACATGGAATTAAAAAAAATATTATAGAAACTAAGGAAAAAAGAAATATATATTTAAGAATTGATGGTGTTATGACACAATATTAATAATGTAAGGATCAGAAAAATAACATAAAAGATAAAAAGTGAAAAAATATGGATTAAAAAGAAACGCCTATGAAAAAAAAATGAATTCAGAAAATTCAAAAAAACAATAACAAAATGAAATTCCCAGAAAGAGAGCCAGACTTAGTTTAGCAGTAGTTTTTTTTCAAATACACAGTTTAGTATTCGGATTTTTTTTTGAATACATAGTTTAGTATTGAGTTTTTTCCATATACTGTATAGATTACTATTGGGAGCCCAGCTTCTCACTTTTGGGGTATTCATGTTTTCACTTTTTTATAATTTTTGAATTCAGAAAATTCAAAAAAATCAAACACATATGCATTCACATTTTTTTGATTTTTTTGAATTTCGAAAAAACAAACAAAATATTCAAAAAAATTAGCCAAAAACGAAAATATTTTGAATATTGTGTTCTTTTTTGAATTTCAAAAAAATCAAAATATTCAAAATATTCAAAATATAATGAACTTCTCCCAAAAGTCTCGCTGAACCTCTTTTTTGGTGATTTCATTATTTTTTGAATATTTTGAATATTTTGAATTTTTTGAATTTCAAAAATTTCAAAATATTCAAAAAAATTAGCCAATACAAAAATATTTTGAATATTTTGAATTTTTTGAATTTCAAAAAAATCAAAATATTCAAAAAAATTAGCCAATACAAAAATATTTTGAATATTTTGAATTTTTTGAATTTCAAAATATTCCAAATATTCAAAAAAATTAGCCAATACAAAAATGTTTTGAATATTTTGATTTTTTTGAATTTCAAAATATTCAAAATATTCAAAAAAAATAGCCAATACAAAAATATTTTGAATATTTTGAATTTTTTGAATTTCAAAATATTCAAAATATTCAAAATATTCAAAATATTCAAAATATAATGAACTTTTCCCAAAAGTCTCTCTGAACCTCTTTTTTGGTGATTTCATTATTTTTTAAATATTTTGAATATTTTGAATATTTTGATTCAAAAATCAAAATATTCAAAAATTTGGCCAATACAATATTTTGTGAATTTTTTTTAATATTCAAAATATTGAAAAAAATTAGCCAATATAAAAATATTTTGAATATTTTGAATTTTTTGAATTTCAAAAATTTCAAAATATTCAAAAAAATTAGCCAATACAAAAAATATTTTGAATATTTTGAATTTTTTGAATTTCAAAATATTCAAAATATTCAAAATATTCAAAATATAATGAACTTCTCCCAAAAGTCTCTCTGAACCTCTTTTTTGGTGATTTCATTATTTTTAAAATATTTTGAATATTTTGAATATTTTGATTTTTTTGAATTTCAAAAAATTCAAAATATTCAAAAAATTTAGCCAATACAAAAATATTTTGAATATTTTGAATTTTTTTAATTTCACAATATTCAAAATATTCAAAAAATTTAACCAGTACAAAAATATTTTGAATATTTTGAATTTTTTGAATTTCAAAATATTCAAAATAATCAAAAAAATTTAGCCATACAAAAATATTTGAATATTTTGAACTTTTGAATTTCAAAATATTCAAAAATATTCAAAAATTTTAGCCATACAAAATATTTTGAATATTTTGAATTTTTTGAATTTCAAATATTCAAAAAATTTAGCCAATACAAAAATATTTTGATATTTTGAATTTTTTGAATTCAAAATATTCAAAATATTCACAATATAATAAACTTCTCCAAAGTCTCCTGACGAACCTCTTTTTTGGTGATTTCATTATTTTTTGAATATTTTGAATTATTTTGAATTTTTCATGTAGACTTTCAAAAAATTCAAATATTCAAAAAATTTAGCCACTACAAAAATAGTTTTTGATATTTTGAATGTTTTGATTTCAAATTTCAAAAAATTTAGGCCAATACAAAATATTTTGAATTTTTTTGAAGAAATTCACAATATTCAAATATTCAAAAACTTAGCCAATCCAACAAAAATATTTTGAATTTTTGGAATTTTGTGAATTTCAAAATATTCAAAATATTCAACAAATTTAGCCAATACAAAAATATTTTGAATATTTTGAATTTTTTGAATTTCAAAATATTCAAAATATTCAAAAAATTTAGCCAATACAAAAATATTTTGAATATTTTGAATTTTTTGACTTTCAAAATATTCAAAATATTTAGCCAATACAAAAATATTTTGCAAATATTTTGAATTTTTTTGGAATTTCAAATATTCAAAAAATTTAGCCAATACAAAAATATTTTGTCTTTTGAATTTTTTGAATTTCAAAATATATTCAAAATATTCACAATATTCAAAATATAATGAACTTCTCCCAAAAGCCCTTCTCTGAAACCTCTTTCTGTGATTTCATTATTTTTTTAAAAATATTTTGAATATTTTGAATATTTTGAATTTTTTGAATTTCAAAACATTCAAAATATTCAAAAAAATTAGCCAATACAAAAATATTTTGAATATTTTGAATTTTTTGAATTTCAAAAAATATTCAAAAAATTTAGCCAATACAAAAATATTTTGAATATTTTGAATTTTTTGAATTTCAAAATATTCAAAATATTCAAAAAAATTAGCCAATACAAAAATATTTTGAATATTTTGATTTTTTTGAATTTCAAAATATTCAAAATATTCAAAATATAATGAACTTCTCCCAAGAGTCTCTCTGAACCTCTTTTTTGGTGATTTCATTATTTTTTAAATATTTTGAATATTTTGAATTTTTTGAATTTCAAAATATTCAAAATATTCAAAAAATTTAGCCAATACAAAAATATTTTGAATATTTTGAATTTTTTGAATTTCAAAAAATTCAAAATATTCAAAAAATTTAGCCAATACAAAAATATTTTAAATATTTTGAATTTTTTGAATTTCAAAAATTTCAAAATATTCAAAAAATTTAGCCAATACAAAAATATTTTGAATTTTTTGAATTTCAAAATATTCAAAATATTCAAAATATTCAAAATATAATGAACTTCTCCCAAAAGTCTCTCTGAACCTCTTTTTGGCGTCTGGGAGATTGCTTTCAATTTGAAATGGAATCAAATAGTCAACGGTCAAATAGTACATGAAGGTCCATCGTACATATATATATATATAGTTGAACCTTTTTTGCAGCGTAGACTTCGTACCAAGAGTCTCTAAGAAACGAATCTTCTGCCTTTGCACCTCCTGCATGACCTGAGAGCAGTTCAAACTCCAGACATCCTCACCGTCAGAGCCACAACAAATCTGCAGCCACTGAACCTGTTATCACCTTCAATCTGTACAAATGCTGTAGGAATGTGCTTCGAATTTCTCCACAAGCAAAATCGCTGCCAATCTCCCTATCTGTGGTTTCAAGTGCCAAGATGCATTGACTTCATCCATACCCAGCTGGAAGGCCACCTATGCTGGGACAATCATGGGCAAACAAATCCGCCGACCCCTGCCGACGGCACGGGCGAGCACGTCAGAGAAGCAATTACTAGCAGCAAGTGTCGCTAGGCAGAGGCAGCTGCAGGCCGAAGGCCTGGTTCATGCCTCCGTAAAATGGTGCTACAATTTGGAGCTAGTTTCTTATCGGTTCAGAAAGCAACGTTAGGCAGAGGCAGCCGCAGGCCGAAAGCCTGGTTGGTGCCTCAGTAAAATGGTGTTTCGGTCTGGCGAAGGCAACATTTTGGAGGCTTGAAGGCTACAATTAGGAGTTAGTTTCTTGTCGGTTTAGAAAGCAAGGTTAGGCACAGGCAGCTGTGTCCTTTAGTAGCATGGTTTGGCGAAGGTAATGTTTCGGAGGCTTGAAGGCTGCAAGTTTTCAGAAAGCAACGTTAGGCAGAGGTAGCCGCAGGCCGAAGGCCTGGTCCGTCCTTAAGTAACATTGTGCTTCGGTGTGGCGAAGGCAACGTTTTGGAGGCTTGAAGGCTACAATTTGGAGCTAATTTCTGACCGGTTCAGAAAGTAACGTTAGGCCGAAGGCCTGGTTCCTCCCTCAGTAAAATGATGTTTCGTGTAGACAAGGCAACGCTTTGGAGACTTGAAGGTTACAATTTGGAGCTAATTTCTTATCGGTTGAGAAAGCAAACGTTAGGCAGAGGCAGCCGCAGGCCGAAGCCCTTGTTCGTGCCTCAGTAAAATGGTTTTTCGGTGTGAGGAAGGCAACGTTTTGGAGGCTTGAAGGCTGCAATTTGGAGCTTTCTTGTTGGTTCAGAAAGCAACTTTACGCAGAGACAGCCGCAGGCCGAAGGCCTGGTCCATCCTTCAGTACCATGGTGCTTCGGTGTGGTAATTGCAACGTTTTGGAAGCTTGGCTAGTTCCTTGTCGGTTCAGACAACAACGTTTGGCAGATGCAGCCGCAGGCCGGCTTTGGTGCAGCCAGGTTAAGTTCAACAGGGTTCCGGAGCTTTGTTGCAGCCAGGTTAAGTTCAATAGGGTTCCGGAGAATGTCTGGGAGGCTTTGGTGCAGAGCCAGGTCAGGTTCAATAGCGTTCCGGAGAAGGTTCCGGAAAAGGTGGGAGGCTTTGATGCAGAGCCAGGTTATGTTCAACAGGGTTCCGGATAAGGCTCCGGAGAAAGTTCCGGAGAAGGTTCCGGGAGGCTTTGGTGCAGACCGGGTCAGGTTCAACAGTGTTCCGGAGAAGGTTCCGGAGAAGGTCTGGGAGGCTTTGGTGCAGAGCCAGTTCAGGTTCAACAGGATTAGCGGCCATTTATCTCACGGAAACCCAGCTGAGGTGTTTCCAGCGCTTAGCTTTGCAAAACGTTGCGGCTGTTGGGGGTACCACCGAACCTTATTTTCGATCTTGTGGATCAAGACGAGACAACATGGTCCAACATAAGCCCAAAAAGCCCGGACGCTGGCCCAACATAGCCCCCAAACGGGACAACATGGCCCGCAAGCTGGGCCCACATAGCCCCAAGATGGGCCAACATAGCCCCTAGATGGGCCAACATAGCTCGAAGACGGGCCACCATAGCCCCTAAGATGGCCCCAAGAGGGGGCCAACATAGCTCGAAGACGGGCCAACCTAGCCCCTAAGATGGCCCCAAGCTACTCCGAGGGGCCAACATAGCCGCAAGCTGGGCCAACCTCGCCCCAAGATGCGCCTACTACAGACCTTGCGGATGGGCCACCACCACCACCACCACCGCTGCCGCCACCACCACAACAACAACAATAATAACCGCCGACCCTACAAACACCCCGCAATTTACGGTGTTTTTTGGCTTTCGCGGAAGCTGGCCCAACATAGCCCCCACATGGCCCAACATGGGCCGCAAGCTGCGCCCACATAGCCGCAAGATGAGCCACATAGCCCCAAGATGGGCCAACATAGCTCGAAGACGGGCCAACAATGGCCCCCAAGCTGGTCCAAGAGGGGCCAACATAGCCGCAAGCTGGGTCTATTTATGATCCATTTACCCTCAAGTGGGGCCCCTGGCCGGCTGTCGGGGCGTTAGCCCTTAAATATCATGACAAGACGACAAGACTGTTCATCATGCTGTTCGTAATGTTAGAGTCATGCTGGTATTCCTGGAGCTGGCCAAGTCGGTTCACAAAAAGCAGATCAGATTTTGACCAGTTGGCTTATCTCCACTGTGCGGGACGTGTTTCAAATGATCTATACAGTCTCGAGGCTGGAATGTCAAAGCATCTTCCAGGCAATTTTCAATTGAGTTCACTGACAAAGCTAATCCAAGGCTGCGGCTGTGGGTTGAACCCCATCACCAAAGCCAATCTCTACAGCGTCTCTACAGCTTAGCAGCTACAGAACTGATCTGATCTTTGACCTGCTTTTCTGAGACCCACAGGCCGTGAAAGCCCATTGGAATCCGGGCTGGCAAATCAATCACACAAATGGCCTCCAAATTCTCGCTGTTCAGAACCAGAAAGGAACTTGGGGCTTTGCCATCTGGATCTACCACGAAAGTGATCAGGTACCCTTGATCTTCGGCGCTTCCCTTGGAAACGAAGCATGCCTCTCCAGAAGTAAGCTTCTTACCATCACTCCTGCAGGCATAGCTCTGAGGTTCTGAAGTCGACAGGTCCGACAGGTCGAACTTGAAGATTCGATGAAACATGGGTTCACCTTCATGGTTTCCAACTGCCCATGTGAATCGAGTTTTGCGTCCAACTAGGTTTTGGTTCACCACCGGAAACTCCAAAGATTTAAAGCCAGATGCTAAAGACTTCTCAACGACGGTACCTGAGTCCATGTCAAAGCGATATTCATGCAAGGTTATCTTGTTGCTTGATAGGAAATCATCTTTCTTGCCATGACCTGACATGTCAATGTGGTCCCAACGCACCACCACCATCACCACGTTATTGTCCTCTTCCCATGCATTGGCAAGATGAAAGATCCAACATGTGTCAATTTGGAACCACTTTGGGCTCACCTTTCCATCTTCTCCATCCTTGGGAAAAATGCCAATGAGCGAGCCGTGACTTGGGTCAAACTTCCAAAGGCTCCCTTCCGTGGTGTAGTTTTGAATACCCACCAGCACAGGGCAATCAATCACGATGGCATACTTTTCCGTAATGCCCAGGTCATGAATCATCACACCCTTGCCTCCCCCAAGGATGCCAGTACAGTTGCGCTCTTCCTTTCCTTCAGCATCGATGACTCCATAGGTGAATTTGGGAGATAACCCCGTGAGATCGTAGTCCAACCAGTACAGCTTCCGCGAGACAGGATCCACCTTTGGATGTGCATTCCATAAGTGGCTGTAGGCATACTCTGCTTGAGATTGCAAATGACCATCCACCAAGATCTTCAATTCCATGGGAAAGTCAGCTTCAGACAAAGCAAGCAATCGTGAAGCATGATACACAAGGTTGGTGTTGCTGGGCCCACTCGCTAGTTCTCGGACAAGACCCACTTTCTCTAGTGCCAGGCGAGTCAGAAAGGAAGTCATGGAGGTCGAGAATGCAATTTTGTCAAAGGCAGGACCATGCTTTTGATCATCAAGAAATGCTTTGGTTCGCAGCCAGTGGTTGTTGTAGCTGGCTGCACCATTGCATATGCGAACTGCATGAACCATTCCCGCACCAAGAAACCAATGATAGTTGCTGGTCTCAGATGGCGGGGGCCACAAGGGATTAGGGCCATTTCGCACATAGCAGCCCTCCAAATCAGAAGGGAGCTTGCCCTCCCGGACGGTCACTGCTTGGAAGACCTCCTCGTCCACTGGAGCATACGGCCCATTGAAGGCCCAATGCTGGTGCTTGATAGGGTATCCTGGCTTCTTCAAAGGCCCTGAGATCGGTTCAGAACTCGAAGCCGCTCCCATGTTTTGCACCAATGGAATTCTTGGTGAGGTGACTTTTTAGCCTTCTTGAGCCAAGCAACTCCGGAGCAAAAACGAAGTTGCTCATCATATGTATTCAATCAAGCCACCGGCATGCAATATCTAGGCTTCAGCGAACCAACTCCTTTGCACCAAAATGCTATGCTTGGCCAAGGATTCCTTTGCAAAAAAAGTCTGGCCTTCTCTTTCAAGAGCTGCGGGTCAAAGGGCTTTGTTATCAAGTCGTTGGACCCACTGTCGAAGCCCTTGACATGAAGTCAATGAAATCCAACAGGTGAATTTCAGGGGAGGGTGGAGCATCCGGAACAGGGGCTTCTAAGATGTTCTAAGAGTTCTACGTGAACCCTTCTTCGCCGAAACCATGAGATTCCTTGGTCATCCCATCACAGCGGCCTCAAGAGCTGCCATTGCGGATGGAGGCTTGTCATACATCAGGATAACTGGCAGGTCAGAGATGGATCCATACTTCTCCCTGATGCCTCAAACCATGCAGGGAAATTGAGTCAATCTGCATGAAAACAGTACTCTCACTGATCATGACATCGGAATTTGTCCTGGCAAGAGTGAACCATCTCCACTCCGTGGTGATTGTTGCTTGCATCTAAGAAGCTCTTGCAAACCTGCAAACCAAAGCACTTAAGGCTACGAGATAAAATGCCGTCATTCCAAGTTGGTAGTCCTCGTTTGCAAATGCCCTCAACAGACTCAGTTCTTGCCTCATAGCCAGTGAGGGCCTCATAGCCAGTGAGGCCCTTCATTTCAGCATCTAGCAAGATGATGTCTGGCAAGTCTTGCCTTGCCGTGAATGGTGCAGTTAGGTTTCAGCAAATTCACTCTGGGAATCTCTTCGCCTGGAGGTGCTGCTGGTTTCAACCCCGAAAGCAAACATGGCATCAAGATGCGTCAAGGCACCCTTCCAACCAGTCTAGGGCAGCTTGTCCATTCATATGACAAACCACCTGAAATTCTGATCCTGCCGTGGAGGTTGGGATTAGCATTGATTTGCCTCTGGATTACCAACGTGAACACTTTCACTACACTGGTCACGGCATCGAAACACTGAAGCAGGGGCCGGCAGTCCTAACGTCGAGCGAAGCACTGACTGGTGCGCTTCTTCATCATCAACTGCAAGCAGTAGAGGCCTGATGGGCCAGCTTTACAAGAAGGCCTGACCAAAATATTTGTTGATCGATGGAAGCGCCGGCAAGCACCCAATGTCCTCCCAAAACTGCAGCTACGTTGAGTTTGTTCAGATTGAGCCCTGGGCTCTTGGAACATAGATCTTGGAACGTGATCAAGTACACATGTGCGGAGTGGAGTGGTGTACCGTGTGATCATAGCAATACCAAATCCTACAATGACTTTCGGCTCCCACCATGAGCAGCTGGGCCTCTGTCTCGTTGCCTTCTCAGGAGGAAACGTGTCACAACCAGAAACAAATCGTGCCTTTTTGGAGCAAGAAACTTGAAGGGGATAGAAAAACAGTAGAAGAGGAAATTTGCCAATCATGTGAACATAACAGCGCTATTTGGTTCTTCTTCTAACAAGCTAAGGTTCGCCTTTTCTCAGAAACATCTTCGAAGTCAGCGATGCAAAATGCTACACCAGGGTTGAATGAGATCTGATCACACCAGCACCAGCCTCGCAATGCAGAGCATGGCCTAGGCCAAACTGTTTGCCGGTTTGCCAAATTTTGGATGCGTCATTCAAAGGGAAAACAGTTCAACATAGTTCAACAGCACCCTGGTTCCAGTTGCATGTGCTATCCTCAAATCTCAGTGCACAAATGAAGCTGGGAGGGACAAAGCTGTCCCAGCTCACCATGTGATGGCAATAGAAACCCAGGTCTCAAGACATGAAACTGAGAGTTGAACTGGTGAAGCAACGCAAGGAAAAGGATTGCACGGCAGATTGCCTACAATGAGGGATGCTATGGAAAACCCGCTCAAGGGGATCTTCCACATCATGTATTGGGGGTCACCTATCAAGTAGGAAGCAATCTTGAGCCAAGAAAGGAGATTCTATACTGTTCTTACCAAACTTACATGCGAGAAAAAAAACGTTCTGGTCATGAGGATTATCAATCTCAGACTTTGCACAAACAGGCCAGCCTCCCGGGACGTTCTTGATTCTCCTTAGCACAATGAAGCAAAAACCGGTGTTCTCTTGAAGTCTGGTAGGACCATCTGAATCTCATCACCGGCCTTGTCGTCTCGTGGCCAATCCAAAGTGACTTCAAGTGACCTTGGCAAAAGAAAAAGCTCTATTGAGCTGCTTGGATTACAGAGCAATTGCATCATTCCTCGTACTTGGAGGAAGAATAATAAACTGAACCTACCTGAAGTATCCACTCTTGCCCAAAGCATGAAACTCAGCCGCAAAAAATCAGCAGCATCCTCATCCATTGTAAATGAGCGGCTCGTTTGGCAACTGCTTCCCGATGATTGAAACCTCGCGAACCTGATTCTTCCAGTTGATTTGACTTCCACAAGAATCTGAATGGCTGATACATCTATGGCACAGCATGTCATGGCAGCTGTTGACATGCCAAGAAGCAGAACCTATCAGCATTGCACATTGCTCCAGCAGCTTGACGATCTCAGACAAGCAACTTCAACCACAACCTTCTTGTAACATTAACATGAAAGATTCTAGATTGGGGGTTCGCTGGTGTGTCTCCACAACTCTGACTCAGAAATGCTGTGTGAGCGCATGTGTACAAGGAAGAAGCCCACCAACAAATCATCCACCGGTTTGTGCCGCACCAAGGCACCATATGTTCTATCATGCTGCGATGCCCCATCCTGCGATGAGAGTCTCAAAGTTTCTTCCGCTGAAGCAATCCAACTGAGACTGTGGTTTGTTTGTTTGCAGGAAGCCCCACACAACCAAATCAGAAACCTCTTCTTTTGCCAAGATGCACTATAGGCGCAAGATCTTTCAAGCCATTGTGGAAATGAATGCCTCCTGTCAAATGTTTGACAAACTTGGCAGCTCCACAGGACAGCGTGGCCCTCTGGGCCTTAGGCCTTACTTAGGACTTAGGCCTTAAAAGGTCATCATTTTACAATCGCAATAAGTGTGCCAACTCCAACTATGCTGACACACGCTGACACACGCTGACACACGCTGACACTGTTCGAACAAGTGAGTACCGGGGTGTGAGTTTGCACCACCTACATGCGTCACTCCAATTGAAACTATGTTGCCACGCCTGGTGAAGAAAATCGATCCAGCCCCGCGACTTTCCCTGCTTGCGCTTTGGCAAGTATCTCGTCGATCAATTCTGAGAGGTTCACCTGAAACGCAGAGAGCAAGGCTTAGAGATTTTGTAAGCAGTCGTGTCCAATTCCAAATCTCAGAGGTTGCAACAAAAGTAGGACCTTCTCAATTGGGAAGCGCGAGCTGGAAGTTGCGGCGCCAAATTCCTGGTGAGTTGGTCTTGACATGTCTTGACTTTCCTTCCCTACGCTGTCATGCTGCAAAACCAACTAATAAGGAATGAGGAGAAGCTGATTATCATACCCCGCCTGCAGCACAGCTTTATTAAGAGAGCTCTGATATCGAATGTGCCCTGCCAAACGCATATCCCGGGCCCTCAATAGCGCTATCTCCTTCAAGACTTGTCAAAGGCCGATGGAGCGAATTCCCAAACAAAGCAGGCTCAACCGTTGACAAACGCAAGACAAGGATGTTAGAATCATAGACACACCTTAGACAATCACAGAGGTGAATCAATTTGCATGAAAAGCAATGCATCTAACAAATTGCGCAGTCTTGTTGTCGTCTGTGACCACCCCTCCTCCTTGAGTCTCTCTATCTCAGAGTCCTCCAAAGATCTTGACCTGGCGCTGACAGGAGGCCTTTGAAAAGGACACCAAAGTCGGCTTGATAGATATCAAGGTCAAGCCAATTTCAATTTCTGGAATCCTCTGCCCAAAATGTGTGGAATTTACGGAAAATCTGTGTTCCAGTGTTCTGTAATTAACACAGCAAAAACCAGCTGAGCTTGCCTGTCTTGTTGTCCTGTGTCCTTCAAAAAGTACAAGGGATGCCATCTGTTGGATTGTCTGTGCATGTGCTTCAGATATTTGACTGGGCTTGATCTCCTTCTGCACCTTTGGCTTGAATCCTGAACCTCGTGAAATCTCAAATCCCAAAATAAACATCAAAGTCATTAAAGCAGGTGATTCCAACGTGGCATTCAACTCAGCAAGGCACCTTTGGAATCCTTCCAGGATCTCTTGGAAGTTCCATCCAGCTGTACCTGTACCTTGAACAGTAAGTAAACCCTACAAAGCAGATAAAGCGGACCTACCAGAACATGTGCCTTGTGGGCCTTGTGGATATTGGATGCGGCAGAAATTGAAAGAATTTGGTCCATGTCACTGGGCGTGCCCAAGACTTTCTTGGTGTCACATGCCCCATTTGGATCACATCGGATCCTCAGATTTACCTGCCTGCGATGTCAATGCGTTCTGGAATTGGTCTTCCAAAAGTGCGGTTTTCATGGTCATCAGCTCCACCAAAGTTTTTTCCAAGGACTCACCCGTCTTCAACGGCTCCTTCAAAGAGACCAATGCCATAGGCAAATTCTAGGTTTCAACAAGTGCATCTTATGTGGGATATGCTGAACTGTCATGTCCAAGATGACACCAGTCACCTGTTGTAAATGTTCTCCACAAATCTATCTAGAAAGGCTCACCAAATCATCGAAGTCACTGTCCTTCAAGACCGCACTGAATTTCTTCTTTAAGGCATCCACGTCAAACGGCTTTAGCAGAGCAGACTCCTTGCGAAAATGTGTGTCAGCAAAAGCTCAAAGCTGGTTCATGTATTTATGAGTGCTGGAATGTTTTAGAGAAACACGTGCTCTCTCATTTCATATGTCTTCCAAGAAGCCAAGGCCTTCAACTTCTCATCAACTGCTTGCACGGCCAGCATGCCAGGTGTGTCAACACTCACAAGCAATGCAGGTGGCTGGCGAAGCTGTCGGAAGAAGGTGCACACCTGCGGTGATGGGCCTTGCTCCCAGTGGCTGGGATTACTCTGTGATACTCTGTGTATGTTTGACACGGAACCGATCTCAATGATCAGGGTGCCCTTAACCTGGCACCCCATGTCAGTCTCTAGCATACCTGTTTTGAATCCGGATCTTTACCCCAGCCAACCTGGAACCCAGCTGGCGATTTTAACTGGTCCCACAATTTAAGCTTGGGATTTCAATCCCTTTGTCTGTTGAAATCTGAACACAAACCTATTGATTTGTAGATATTGTGCTCCAACACAAGGTAGCGTTTTTTAATGACGATAGGCCCGACCATTTGGTCACTGCGTTCAATCCCAAGTGGGTCTCCGCGTGCGCAACCCAAACAGCAAATGAGTCAGACAGTAGATGTAGGGACTGTATCTACCAATGAAGTGGGCATGGAGAGCCAGTTAAAGCCGGTAGGGGCCCGAACTTTAAAAAGACGCCACATTCTACGGTGGAAAAGCGTCCCTTCGAGTGAAAACAAGTGTTCATCATCGACCACATTCTACACGCAAATGCACACCGGGTCACACCACGCCTTGTGGCAAAGCACTAGTGGGGTGCGCAAGTCCAAGAGGATTATGTCTGGATCCTGATCATGCGACAGGCAAACGTAAACCACAAGAGCCACAAGAGTTCCACATTGGACACTTTGAAGCCCTGGCCCTGCCCCTCAAAGTCTGGCCTTTTCTTGTAGCCATTCCTTAAGCCAGGAGGAGCAACCAACTGTCTGAGTGAGTGCCATTCATGAAAGTCGCAGAATACTTTCCAACTTTCCGAGTACATGCTGAAAGCAGCTGCAACCAAGATACTTCGATGTTGTTCACACCAGATGCAGTGAGAATTTCATATTCGTCAAAGGATTGCTTGAAGAATATCTGAATCTTTGCATCCAACTCCACGTGCAAAATGACTGGCCTGCAGCAGGCTGAAAGGATCTGACCACAACATCCAGCCACAAGAAGTCTCTTTCAAAATATCAGAAAATCAGAATAGATCAAAATGCTATGTCTATGTATGTACATGTATACAATTATGTTTTGGTTTTAAAAAACAGGCGCAAGATGGCTGCGAAGAATCTATGGCTGTGTCCGAGTCTTTCTGCCTTTTCTTTTGCGTCCTCGAGGGGGGCGTAGTGCTGAGTCTGGGTGCCACGAGCGGTTGCACTTGCTGCGGTGGCACGGTGACTGACCGGCTAAAGGGACCTTAGCCAAGTCCAGAAAGCTGAAACCAAATATATAATGAAAATATCTACATCACACATACCCACTTACAGTACAGGACAGTACAGTACAGTACGCTACAGTACAGTACATTACATTACGTACATAATATGCATGCCTTTCACTTCTACTTTTCTGGATTTGTTCTGATTTGTTATAAGCCGAAGCAGTGCTTGTTTTCTACATGTTTCCTCTTGCCAAATGTTTGGTTTCCACACTTGTCATCTCATCTTCCACGGCACCTTGACACAGTCCAAGGGAGAGCTAAGACATCTGACAGCAAATCCATCTGAGTCATCTCCGAGTCTGCTACCAAATTCTGGGAGGCAAGGAAACCTCACGGTAAAGGTTGAACCCTCATTCTCCTTTGACCTGAGTTTCAGCTGTGCTGTCCATTGATCGGGGAATAAAATTCTGTGGGTGTCTTTGTGGCAGTTTGAAAAATCAAAAAAAATGACTTGAAACAATCGCGATTCAAGGGTCTATCTCATTGTGAGATTTAACGCCATTGGGAGTTGATAGGAATGCTGCAGGCTGTGTCAAGGGCCAAGCGCATATGGCGGGCTCTTCCCAAACACTGTGGCATCTTTGATTTATTTGCATCCAGCTTACTCAGCCATAATGGTCCCGTGGTGTAGTTCAGCAATTTCTTTGCAAACTGCCTGAACGATGGCACCGAGTCGGCTCAGCCAGGTCACTTGGTATTTGAGTTGGACATAATGGTTGAGATCTAGAGATCACCTGGCAGTGGGCCAATTCTGAGGTTCTGGCTAGGCCCAATCCAGCGCCCTGAAGCAGCACATAATTGACCATGGTGCCATGGTGCAAGAATATTCGCAAGCTCCAAGAATGTCAACAGAAAACACCTTTGCAGACGCACGGCAAAGGGCGTCGACTGGACCACCAAATGAAACACCCAGAAAGCTGCCTGACCTTTGCAAGCCCCGTGTGCCACAACCCACAACCCTATCGCCCCTCAAGCATAAACACCAACCCGTTGAAAGCTCATCGTGCCAATTCTGAACCACAAACGCTCCCCAGCGCCCACACAGCTTCCAGCAACTACCAAGCATGAAGTTGCCAAAGATACCGGAAAAACTATGCCGTGCACTCAACTGAATCCCGTTGGCCCTTTTCAGAATGGAAAATCAGAAGAAAACTATCGAACAGTCCAAAACATGCATGCAACCTGCGAGGCAACCTTGCCCCTATCGTATACAGTCATACATACAGAATCTTCTGTGACACACACTTGCTCAGAACTGTCATTGCGAATTCTGATGTGGAATGCATCTTACGTGCAAAAACACTCCAATTATACCTGACAGGAATGGGTCGGTGAAAAGACCCGAGAAAGAATCACAAAGGAACCGTCGCCATAGCCAGTGCTAGATGCAATAAGTTGGAAGTTGGCCCTTCCCTTTAAACTAAGCCAAATCGTTCCCACCTTGACAGATTGCGACAACAGCGCAGTGAAAACTGGAAAACTGGAAAACTGGCAACAAATGATCGACATGCCGATTCTTGGCTTAGCCAGTTGCCATTGACAACAAATGGAAAAATGCAGGTACGTCTGGCTGGCCAATCCAGATATCCCACTCTGTGACCTAGCTTCGTTGAACTGGGTCAGTCACAGAGTGCCCAGTTCCCCTGCTTCAAATACTGAGATGACGTGAAACAACATCCAAAAAAGTCACAAAGTCAGTAAGAGCAGATTACCTAGAGTCAAACCAAGCAGTGAAAAAAAGGCATCATCAGGTAGAAGTTTTACATCTCTTCAGATGTTTCACACACACAGATAAGAAATGTTTGTGTCACTCCCGCCTGGAATGTTTGAGCTTGCTTTGGTCTCGCCGCATCAATCCAGAATGGCTCGAAAATCCGAGGCAAACAGCTCTCAGAAATGCCACATCCTTGGTGATTCAAGGGCTGTGGCTCAAAATAATTCAGTGAAGAGTGAAGTTGTTTAAGTCTTCGATTCACAATCTGAAACCACGGTGATGGTTTCACCATGGCATGACCCTGTGGGGTGCAGGCTGAGGGCCGGTATCTTCAACAATGATCTCCAGTTCACTGTTCTCAGCTAGATGCTTTGCAGATATTGTGACCTCACCAACAAGATATGACAACAACTGTGAAATTGATTGAACCATGAAGAGACTGGCACCAAAACATGCTTCAGCTATCTTCAGATTTTGTATGCTTTGCTACACTAGCTGTGCAGCTACTCTTGAATCTCTCTTGATCTTGAGGTTGTTTTGTAGGAGAAAGCGAGAACTGCCGCTGGCGAAAGACTGAAAGGTCAAGCGAATGTATCAAGTGGACTCCGACTCTCAGGACATGGTTGGTGTTGAGCATGGAGGCAACACACGATGAGTTCAAGATGCAACTATCTGCAGCCAAGGAATAAAAACTGGGAAAGCTTTCGGCCCCATTCTTGGGACAAGCTGCTGATCCAACAGCCGTGAACTTGCAAGCGTTGGTCACCAAGTTGTACACGAGATGGATAAACTTGTTGCGATCGCCCAACCTTTTCTTAGAGTTGCGAATGCCAAGCAGGAAAATCATAGTTAGTGTGATCTCAAACTATTTAAAAAAAAAAAAACTGTTTGAGTTGGCGGATTCACATCTTTCGAGCATGGCAAGTCTGGTACAACGAGCATGGTCACATCAAACGCCAACTCCTATGACTGCGGCCAGTTCAGAAAAACATACTTTGCTGTGAGGTTCTCCAGACTCTACATGTATAAATACAGATAATAAATATATACATGCATATGTACATTGTATGGATGGATATAGTTTTATTGATGTCTGAATGTATGGGCGTATGGTTGTACGTATGGAATGGAATGGAATGCAATGGAACAGAACGGAATCTAATGTAGTGGGATTTAAAGTGATGTTTAGTCATGTATGTATAAGAAATCTCTCAATCCCTGCCCAAACGGTCAAGTTTGGACCTAAAGTGCGTCTCAGTATCTCTCTGCTTTTAGAACAGTTGTCAAGGCTGGTTTCTTGAACTCTTCAGGGGAAAATCACACCAGTCTTTGCAGGCTCTAAAGGGTAGGACTTTTCAAACAACACTTTGACCAGGATTCAAGATCCAGGACCTCCCACAATCAGGACACTATCTGCAGCCATTGGGCACAAGTGGAAGCCGGTCCATGTAACGCAGCTGATTTTGGAGCTCCACACCTGTCACCAAAACAAAGGGGGCCCTCTTCCTTCGCCGTGCCCTACAAGAAAATGATACTGTATTTCTTCCTATTTCAATTCAAAATGTGGAGTTCTAGCGGAATTGCTTTTGATGGATGCCATTCAAAAAGTCATCACAATTCTTTTATCATCTGTTTACGCTTACTTGCAACCGCTTGGCGATTTCTGCCAAAGACGCCTTTGCCCACCCCACACCACCCCATCTGTGACGCAGCATCATGGAATGGTGTGTGTGTGTGTGTGCAAGTCAAAATTCCGTGGCGTGAGTGGAAGTGAGGGTGAACCTTATTGCCCCATCCCATCTGCCCCACCCTATCTGTGATGTGAGAGTTGCATGCAAAACGCGCAAGGATGTGGCCGCGAAGGTAGAGGCTCACCAGAAAAACTGCTGGGATGATCCCAGAATGGTCTGTAAATGGTTATATACCTGCTAGATTACACCCACTGATACCTAGTCTGGGTGGTCTGTCTTGGGATGTGTGTGTGTGTATACATCATGTGTATAATATATATAGATATACACACATTAATATCAATATTAACATTAATATCAATATTAACATTAATATTAATATCAGTTGCCACTCATTTGCCACTTTCATAGATCCCACAAGTGGGAAGTTCGCTTAATGGAAAAAGCCAGCAGAATGGGATTGCAAGTCAATCAGCACATGAGAAGCACAGCTTCACCACACCAGGCGCCTGGTTTCACCAATGGCGAATTGGATCTATCCACTGCTAAGCTTGTCATCACGAAGACTTCCTCCACCAGCTCCGCGAAGTTTACCTGAAGGGAAACATAGCACCGGATTTCACTTGGGCAATGATTTTAATGATTTTAATTTAATGGTTATTTAATGGGTATTTCCTCAGAGATCATCGGAGAGAATCGGAGATCATCGGAGCTAATGATGCATGGCACGTGCATGGCACGTGCCACATCTTGCCCGTGCCTTGGACTCTTGTGGCAAGCCCTGGCCCACGTCCATGACATTCGTCACAAGGTCCTCTCCAGAAAATCCCGGCACAGGTAAGGTTGGCTCGGCATGGCTGTGGGTCAAAATTGGGTGTATTCCAGACATTGCTGGTGCTATACGTTCTAGTGCAAAAAAAATGAAATCAAAATTGTGATGTTCTAGGTCTTAAAGTTTGACCCATCCCGTAAATCCAGTCCGGATGATTTTGCATGATTTTGCCCCCCTTTGATGATTCGGCTTCACTGCGGCTCCAGCAGTCTTGAGGAGCTGCTGCGTAGCATGCCCAGCCTGCAACCACTGGTGGCAGCATGGGTGAGGCATGTCAGCACCACGCGAGGCAGTTACAACCGGCAGTGGAATTTTGCAGGCTTCAACCACGCCCCATTTCTCCACCACGAACTCTGTGTTCAGCAATCACAAGAACTGTGGCATGCCTTTCTGCAAAAACTTTTTAGGAAAACTACGTCAAGACTTTCTCAGAAATATTCAGAAATTCTGAAAAACATTACTCACCCGTTAGTCACCCGTGCTCAGTTTGCCAAGCTGCTGCTTCTTGATTGGGGCGCTCAAGGCTGGGCTTTTGCACAAGGCAATCGTCAGCCCCACCATGCCATTGAGCGGCGACCGAAACTCCTGGGCAACCTGGCCGGATGCAGCAACGGTCAGACCGAATTCAGAGCCTGGCATCACATGGAGCCTCTCCCACGGGGAAATCATGGGAAATGAACATCAATGAACATCAAATGCACCAGTTTCTGAGTCTGAACATGTCTGAACGAAATTGAGCGCTTTGATTTTCACCCTCTCAAGTTCCAAAGCGGTGCGAGTGTTACACCTCCAAGACATGATTCCCTATCAGTCTATATATATATATTTTTTGCCTCAGGCTGTGCCTAGGAACTTCAGTGAAACAAAGCATATCATTTGATCAACTCTATTGATTCGTAAAATGAATTGTGCATCCAGGCAGCCAGGGAGGTTAAGCGACTCTTGGTGTCCTTCCATGGTAACAAAACGCTGCGAGAAGAGGTCTTCCACGAATCAGCTGTAAACCAAATGACTTGCAAAGAACCTGTAATCTGTATGTAAAACAAGCACAATTTCGTGAAAGCAAGACCAGAATCGATCGGTTGGTTTTTATGTATAGAGGGCACGAGAAAACACACTGGTAAAAAAAGGAAACAGAGTCCTCAACCAGCTTCCTCTGCAAAGGAGACAAACAGAGCCCAAGTATTTTAAGGACCTGTCGGACCGTGGTGGAAATCGTTGTGGAAATCCTGGTGGAACAGGTGGCAAATGTCTTGGCCAAACAGCGCAGCATCTGGTCAGTACGTATTGGGCAGCCTCGGAGTCATCCCGCACCAGGCTCAAGAGCAGAGGGACATCGCCCTTGCCACCAGAAGTATGAGGCCAAAAAGACAGAAGACAGTTTACATCAGCTTACTGGTTACGTCAATGTGGCGGCTTTCAACAAGACCAAATCTTTCGCCGATTTTTGTGCAGCTCAGTTGAAATCTCTAGCACGTGTCAAATCAAAACAGGATTTTGGCAACCACGGAAAAAGATGATGCGAACAAACGCAAAAAATAAAAAGAAATCACTCTTCAGAGACAGCCCATGAGATATGATGGACCTTGTGATTGTTGGGAAACGAAACAGTAGTTCTTTCAGTTCAACAAGCAGGCCTGGCACCCGTGCAGGGTAGCTTCCACAAGCACAGGGTCAAAAGGATGCCTCATGGCGTTTCCCAACCCCTATCTTCACGCGGCTACACAACGGAAAAGAAAGCATACTTTTGCATACTTTTTCTATGCATGGCTTCAAGCTATAATTGTAAAAATATGATCTTGCAAAAAGGATCGAAAAGGCTAGTCCTGTTTCAGCAGGTTAAGGACCAAGGCTGCCTCCTTCCAGAATCCCATGAAAACCCTGCAAAACCTGCATGTTCACATTCTGACATAGCACTCTTCCTCTGTGAGGAAAAGGCGTACTTTCAACAAAGCCCAAATGACGAGGTTAGGACTGTTACGATCTTGGCAACATAGAAAAATGGGCGCACATGGTCCGAGCTTGCAGAAGATCACAATTCTTACATATGTCGCTACGGTGACAAGACGTATCGATGGCGGTATATTGTTTTGAGCCATTGCTATGTTTTCTCATACAATTTGCTCACCAACTGTCTGTAAACTCGCTTGCTGATGCCCCTTAAAAAGAAAATGTTCAGAAGGAAAATGTCCGTGCAATAGTCTCCCCAATCTGTTACCATATACTGCTTCAAGTTGCTTGGAAGCAACACACTTGGCCAGCGCATCATCAAACTGCTTGTTCTGTTGGACGACCAGCTGCTTGATATTTTGAACCTCTTTGCCTCTGCTCACTGTCAGCATCTGTCAACCAAATGAAGCGCAAGCAACTTGGGACTTGCCCAGAGGGAAAATCAGTAAAGCAACAGGGCAACAATAAGCAACAGGAATGCAGAGGGCGAGACACTGTAACTCTGCCAAGGCACTTGACTCAGTGAAGAGTTCCTTGGCTCAACAATGCAAAGGGAAGCAGTCCGGTCCGGTCGGTCCGGTCGGTCCGGTCGGTCCGGTCGGTCCGGTCGGTCCGGTCGGACAAGCCGTTGAAGCAATCGTGCCAAGCAACGGCAGCGTATTCATTCTGGCCTCAAAAACAGCATTGTGACAATAATTGCGACAAATAACCAACTAACAGAGCTTGAGTACGGAATGAGTACGCCATAGTACAGCATCGTACAGCCAAAGCTGAGGCACGAGATGTAGAGCTGTCAATAACCAGTGGATGGCAGCTCTGGTTGGCTTCAAAAGTCTATCGAGTTCACAAATGGAGATTGTAAAGGTTTATGGTTTCAGAGATTTTAAACAAGGAATCTACTCTGTGCAACTTCAACACCGCAAGACTTCTGTGACACTCGAAGCAACAAGGAAAGGCAAGCCACATAAAATGTTCCCATCGAAGGACACGCTAAAGATCAAAGCTCGCGCAGAGCGAATCACACTCTCCAAATCTCCTTGCGAGTTCATGCCTGGCTTGTAGCAGCACCAGAAAGGCTCGGATGCAACTCATGAAACTGTGGCAAATATATATTTCTCTCTCTCTCTATTCATATGTATATAATATATATATATACATATTATACATATATATATACATATATATATATATACATGTATGTATATATATATATACATATTATACATATATATATATATATACATGTATGTATATATATATTGTATATATATATATATACATGTATTTATACATATAGTGCTGGGAACACATCAGTGTGATTTGCACAGCTTGTATGCTTTAGCTTCAAGGATTCGGCTGAAAATCATATTCTGAGCTAGTCACTGGCAAGGCAGCATCAAGCGAGGCTCAAATTCCAGCGGAACTTGGGACAGATTTGCCATGCTGCGCCAGCCAAGACACAGAATGGAGGTACTATCTTGTCTGCTGTTCAAGGCTACTTCAGTACCATGCTAGTGCTAGCTGCTTACCACAAGGTCTCAACCATTTTGCAGTTGGTTTTGCCAGTGTGCAAAGGCTATACTGGCTATACTACATTGAATATTATTGAATATTATTGAATGCAGTTTGATTCCTTGAGCCAAACAATTTTCAAAAACTGCGGCAGGCGCTTCTCGAACATCCGTGCTGCCACAGGAAATTGTAGGCGACTGGGTGAGCCCAGGAGCAATCTCAGTCCAATTCGCTCCTTCTATCTTGCAATCATACCACACAAAAGCCACAAGGAAACAATGGTCCTTCAGTGGGATCGATTGCCCAGAACGGGTTATCCGGCCTTTGATCTAAAGCGAAAAATGGCTTACCTCTGATTGATTACACTTGCCACTTGCAGAGGGTGTTGACTATTTTGAACCTGCAGGCAGCCGATTGCAGAAAGTCTTTCATGATGTTTCTGGGACATTCGCTGTTGTCCCGGTCTGTATTGGTGTATTTTTCTAGCACATTCAAAGTCAGATTTTACCAAAACCAAATGTCCTTCTCTCAGCAGCTCAAAGGAAGTCACTATATCTCCTGAGCCTACCTGAACCTACCTGAAACTGCTTGGAAAGCGCTCTTTCAAAGAGTCCAGCAGGGGTTTGTATTGCTTGCGAATCAAATGGGAGTTGTATATGCTCACTTCATGAATAAAACAAATATTGTTGCCGTTCTTGTAAGCTGTTGGATGTTCCAGCAAGAAAAGAGCTTCACGTTCTGAAATTGTCGTGCTTTGAAGTCGAGTCGTTGCAGGTATTCTGGCAGAGTTCATTGAGGCCACTATTGAGCAGTCCACCATCGGGGGCTCTCGCTGTGCAGCTTCCAAACTGTAGCTTCTATTCCCATTGTACTGGATCTTCACAAAACCAAAGGACTCCAATTTGGTGCATCGAAAATGAATGAAGTCATAACCCATTGAAAAGGAATCAATGTTCCTAATAGTCAGCTCTGACACCTTCGCGAAAGAACGCCAGCCTGCAGTGGATCTGTCAAAATTTATTTTGTTGACACCATGCTGACCCTTCTCACACTGTTTTGTTCTGCACAAATTCAAACATGATCACATCCCAATAACATCCCTGGTATACTTAGAGTGTAGTCTGAACACCCGGCCTCTTGAAAACTCCCTCATGGGGGATACAATGGCCATGGAAATCGGACGCTCTTGATCATCTTCTGTATCGCTTTGAGCATGAACCGACCGTTCCATATCCATTAAGTGTACATCAATGGCAGACACCTGATCGTGCCACTTTGGTCTGGAAGAATTGCGGGAAAAATAGCATGCCCGCAGAGATTTCAGCAGGCCCCGGCATTCTGCCTGATTGATCACCAAAGGATTCCATGCACTGCTGCACTGCAGGACTTCCCGAAGACCACGAGAGACGCACATGGCCGACAGCTTTGTAGACAGGTCAGCCGAACTTAAGATTTCGGCCATGAGGTTGGCATTCAAACAACCAATTCCCTTGGTCATCCAAATGAAATTTGGACCTAGGGAATCAAATGTCAGGAGTTTGACCAGCGTCCATCATCCGCAAAATTATCAACGTCAACAATCCATTCCAAAATGAACCAGAGTATGTTTCTGCACATACACATGCGTGCATGTACATGGTATCTAATGATACATATATATATAGATAGATAGATAGATAGATAGATAGATATATATATAGATATATATATATTTGTACATATACATATTTTTATACATATATATATGTGTGTGTGTGTTTTTTGAATATATATATATATATTCATTTGTATATATATATATTCATTTGTATATATATATATATATTTATTCATTTAATTTTTATTTATTTATTTATTTATGTTGAAATATTTTGATCTATTTATACCTTGATATATTTATCTTTTGATATATTTATTTACACTGTGTGTATAATGTATGAGCTATGTGCCCATGAGCTGTGTCTGTAACATATTATACCAGTAGCACCGCACAAGGCGGCGTCGGAAGTTTCAAAAATAGGAAACCTATAAGAGAGGTTGGTTGCTGTGAATCCCGGATGGCAGAGCGAATCCACTGATGGACCGAAAAGTGGTTGGAGTTGTGATTTTTTAAGTGGTTGCAATGGTTTCAGTGGTCACCTCACCCACAACTGCTGGATGTCGTGTGGTGTAGTGCAGTTGTACTTGTAGCTGTACTGTAGTGTAGTTGTAGTTGTAGTGTAGTGTCGTGTAGTTGTTGTTGTAGTGTAGTGTAGTGTAATTAGTGTAGTGTAGTGTAATTAGTGTAGTGTAGTCTTGTGTGTAGTGCAGCAGTAGTAGTAGTAGTAGTAGTACGGGCAGGACTGAGGGTTGTCCCGGAATGGTCGTATGAACGTCAGTGGGAGGCTCATTTCTCTGCGCAGGTGCAGTGTTTTATGACTCTGGTACATCTGTGAGTTAGCGTGGTCTAAGACGAATTTTCGGAAAAATCAGTCAGAAAAGTGAACCCTCTGCGGACTTCACGCGTTTCGGCCGTTTCCACTTTTTCAATCTTTTCGACTTTTTTGGCGAGTCCGGATTTTATAACTTATGTAAACCCTAAATGAAACACCTAATAGAGGTATGCGTATATGTTCCATGGGGCCGGGAGATTATGACAAGGAAATGTTATGACAAGGAAATCCCCTGGCACTGGAATGATGGAACCAATGGGTTGCTAGCTCCGCTCTCGGGTATGGCCCTCCGGGCCATACCGGAGGGCCATACCCCCTCGTCCTGTGGGTGGTGGTAGTAGTAGTAGTAGCAGCAGTAGCAGTAGCAGCAGCAGCAGCAGCAGTCGCACTAGTTGTTCTAGTTGTTCTAGTTGTTCTAGTTGTTCTAGTTGTTCTAGTTGTTCTAGTTGTTCTTGTAGTTGTAGTTGTACTTGTCGTGGTAGTTGCAGCTGTAATGTAGTGTACTGTAGTTAGCAGAGTGTAGTGTAATGTAGTTGTAGTTTTAGTTGTAGTTGTAGTTTGTAGTTGTAGTGTTGTGGTTCTGGTAGTTGTAGTTGTAGTTGTCTATCTGTCTATGTGTCTATGTGTCTATCTGTCTATCTGTCTGTCTGTCTGTCTATCTATCTATCTATCTATCTATCTATATGCAAGCTTGAAAACGAAGCTATTCTGCGAGACTTCCTCAATCTTTGAACTTGACAACATCAAAAACGCAGCAATATCAGCAATTCTGCGAGACTTCCTCAATTTTTGAAGTTGGCAACATCAAAAACGAAAGGATTCTGCGAGACATCCTTCAAGAATGGAAAGTTGAATGCAGAGCTGACGGCCTCGTACCATTGCATTTGGCGATTTTTCCACTCCATCTGTCTAAAGTACTGCGCCTGCCACGAAAAAGCGATGCCAAGTCATACAAAGTGTTGCACCTGTCACGCAAAATCATCTTCGCAAACCTGAAGATCTGATGCTCCAAAATGCAACCTTTCTCAGGAAATCAGCGGTCTGATCTCCTAACATCTCCGGTGAACATGTCTCTTGTACTGCGCCTGCCACGCGAAATCGATCTTTGCAGATCCTCTTCAAATGTCCCACGCCTGCCATTGTTTTTGGAAATGCTACAAGCAACTCACGTTTCGCTCACTTTTGGCAGGGTGGAGAATCCTTGCGCCTGCCACGCAAAACGATGCTTCAACGTCCAAAAGTGGCGCGAACATGTGGTGCTTTGTACAGTTTGACTTCCAAACTTCGCACCACAACGGCGTGCACTTTTTCAACATCTCAACTTCCAAAAGTGTTCCGAGGCTGACGTGCTTTGTGCATTTTGACTTCGAAATGTGCTTCGCGCCACAACAGCGTGCACTTTTTGAACATCGCAACTTCCAAAAGTGCTCTGAACATGGTGTGCTTTGTACATTTTGACTGCCAAATGTGCTTCGCGCCCCAACGGCGTGCAATTGTTCATCTCTCATCCGGCCAAATGGCTCCGCACCCGCCGCTTTAGCGAGCCTACTTTTCGACCCTTTGGAGCCACAAATCATTGGAAAACACAGTGTTTCGCGGTGTTTCGCGACTTTCCTACCTTTTCGCGCACCTGCATGTTCTTTCTTCTGACTCTTTCTCTTCTCTAATCTTCTATCTTCTTCTCTTCTCTTCTCTTCTCTTCTCTGACCTTCTCTGACTCTTCCCACCTCTGCTTTTTCATCTGTCCATATTGTCGGAAGTTTAACTTCTAAATTTCCATCGATTATATGATATATGATATATTATATTATACTGTATATGGCACACATGTTTGCCTATACTCCCGCCTTGTTTGAAGCGCAAGCGCCTCCTAACTTTCTGAGGCCATGCAGACGGCGGTGGGTCACTGACCAAAGGCCGCTTCTTTCCTTTCCTTTGCACCGCAGCTCTGATAGCGATCAAAATCTGCGCCAAATCTCCATCTCCGTCACCACTCACCTGGCTGACGCTGAGGCTACTGAGGCTGGCCAAAATCCACGAAATGTGAACCACACATGTCATGCTTCTTGGTACTGCTCTTGAAACCAGACCTGAATTCCAAGAGTGATGTTTAGCCCCCACCTCTGTCACCATCGCCTTCTCAACCCACTTTGACACGTCGCGATTGCTCATTAATTGCTGCCAAAACCTTCCACTCTTCGAGCAACCCTTCAAGAAATCCAAAGCTGTCTGGCTCCTCCTCCTGCTTGCCGGCTGCATTTGCGCCTCCCTTTCCATGGCAAGACTAGGCAGACTACACCACCAGTCAATCTAATATAATCTAAGAATAATCTATATAAGTATCTAAGTTGCTGGTGCTTGACAAAAGAGAACATCTGCGGTGGCAAAGGTGAGCTTGTTGGACTCGAACCTGGGCACATGAGATGGCACATGAAAGGAGGACATTCAATGGACTTGAGCCTCCAAAGCATTGCTTCAGTTTAACACAAATTTGCTGACATTCCATACAGTCGGCATACATCCAAACTGGCACTCGCTTTTCCAAGACTGTAGAGAGCCGAACCTGAGAAAACACAACTCTCTGGTCACTGGCACCTGCACTGGTGTCGGGCTTCGAAACTTCTGCCTGGCCAGTCCTGTCAGAACGGACATTCCAACTAAAACCCACAAAGTGTTTTATGTCGAAGCTCTCAGATCGATTTCAGAGAAGCATGGGTACTAAGCCTCACAAACTTGTTTTGTTAGACTGAGGCCATTAAACACCTGCAAGAGGTCATCTCTCTCGGAACCATTTTCTTTGCTTGTTTGTTCGACTTTTTTGAGACAAGTTCCTGTAAACCAAAGACCAGCAAAGTCATCTTTACCCAGCCTACCATCAGCTTTGGATGTAGTTCGAACTGCACAGGGAGTCCGACTGTTAGACATGTGGTTGGCACTTTTGAAACCACGTTGTGTTGCTGCAGTTGCAACACAATTCAGGGTTCATATGATCAATCCTGAACCACAGCCACCTGAGCCCAGTCGGACAGCTCCGTGGATGCCAGCTCCTGACAACTCAAACAGTTTAAACCGGCATGTCTGTTTGCGTCGATAGCTGAGTCAAATGAAGACCACAAGTAAGAACTGGACAGCTCCATGATCCTCCTCTTGCACTTGGGTCTTGCCACGGAGTTCTTCCAACTCCTGTCAATGCAACATGTCATGAATTTGCTTAGGATCGCAGCTTTGTGTCTTACTTCCAGTTGCACTGGGCCTTTCGTAAACGTTCGTTCTCTTTCGACAAGTCCTGCCACAACTGATGATTCCAAGCATTGAGTTCAGTCGGCAGTCTTAAAAAAAAATTGATGCCACTAGGACCACTCCGTCATTTGTGCCTCTTCTCCCTGTCCGTTTGTTTTCACCTTCTTCCTGCAAGCATGCCAATGTCAAGGACAGGGCAACTGCAATGCCAGTTGAATTAATTTCACTGTTGAAATTGTTTTTCTATGTTTTTCTATCCTATTCTCCACACATTCCAACAAACCCGAGGGAAACAGAAATATGATGAAATATGCACATCAATGTACATGTAAATGGCTTCTATCCAGACTTTGCAATTGCCGTATTGAACCCTTTTTTCTCCGCTTGGTTGGCCTCTTCTTCTTCGCAGGCAACTTGGGCAGGCTGGAATACTCCACGCCGATCTGATTTTGATTCACATGAGGAAGGTTGCACTCTCACACAAAACCACCATGAGTTTCCACACTTTCAGTATCAAATGTGTTCATAGAATTGAAACCGCCAGAATCATCCTAATTTCATCATCCCTTCGGTCCCTTCCCATTTGTTCAATTTTTTCCTGCAGTCTTGCCTCGTCAGGGTCCGCTTCTTCAATGAAAAGGCCCCCTTGCGCTTCAAATTCCTCCGTGAACACCCAAGTGAGTTCAATGGTGAAGCACACTGATTGGGCAAAGCAAATGATGACACGAGCGACGGCTACAAAATATGAAAATTGTTCCTTGCAGCAACCCCTAGCCTTCATGACGTCTAGATCCAATTGTACAGATTTCCAACCTCTCACGGTTTGAAAACCATTAAAAGCGGTGAAAAATCATGGGTTTACTGGTGCAATATGACATGGAATTTCACGGCTTGAAATGGAACTCATGAGAGTGCGCTGACAAAGCACCAAAATCGTTCAACTCAAACAATGGGGCACACGACAAATCAAATGTCCCGTTGCCTTTTTTGGCAAAGGCCGGACCAGGCGTTCGTTCTTCCTGAAAGTATCACTTGGACATGACTAAAAAATGAACCGTTATTTGACACACATAAACCCTCAGCATGCAATTTCTATGAATTGAAACACCAACATCAAATAACCACGGGTAGAACCACATACAATTTTGAGGAAACTGTTCTCCAATTGAATCATCAGTGATGTTCCAGAGAATGGTACGTGCATATTTTGCAAAACTGGGAACCATGTGCAAATAAAATTGGTGGACTTGCGACATTGATGACAAAAACGGAACCAAAAAACATAAAACGAATCAAGTACACCAACCAAAAATTATGGGCCGTCGGTCAATAAAAACCCTGAAGCCTCCACAGTGCCATCAGTTTTGGATTCCTGGAAGCGTCCATACTGGAACTGCAACAACCATCAAACGGGTTTTGCAAAATGTGGAACACCGAATCAAAATAACATTTTTTCCCATTGAACTAATTCTGCACGACAGCAAATAATGAACCAGTCCTCGCGTCGCCGTTTTTTCTTCGGCATCACAGAAAATTGTTTGTATGTGTGAATATGTTTTATTTTTTTTGCGTTGTTCTATTTTTTTCTGGACAAATTTCCGCAATTGCCATGATCCGTCAATTGGCTGTTTATTCCTTAGGCAGTGGCTAAAAAATAGGCAACAAAACACATGTTTGGTTTGTCAAAGATGTTGGAACGATAAAAAACATTGGGGACAAGCATGTACAAGCAGGTTGACAAATTTGTTTGCACGTTCTTTTGATATGCTGAGCTGACAAAAATTCAAAAACCATCACGACCAGCAAAGATCTACAAACCAAAACAATTCATTTCAATAGCGCTCTGGTTTAAAATAAAACCACTACATAAATACCGGAAACGTTTTGAAAGGGACAATAGCAACAATAAACTAACTCGGATTTTTCACAGCAGAAAACGCGTTTCTGTTTTTGCGAAGAAACAGCCGGCAAACACGCCTTTTTGCTTGGACCTCAGGGCCTGAATGCATACATGTGGATTTCACACGTGACTGAAGTGAAAACTGCAACTGTTTCGATTGAAGTGCGTGTCATCTTTGTGCAGTGGCCATGCAGCTGTGTTCCAACGGTGGAGCGCTATCAGAACACTTTCACACTCCTCCTCAGTATGGTGGGGTTTCAAATCACCATGTTGCCACACTTTTGCCTCACCGCCGTTGCACGTTGACACGCTGCCAAACGTAGTCACATCAGAAAAGATTAGGCCTAAAAGGGCTACTGTGCGGAGTCTTGCATTGGTCTTTGCAGTTTTGCATAAGCCCTGAATTGTACTTTGCCACGTAGCTCTTTGGAATTGTTGAAGTAGCGTATTGGGTTTCCAAGTGAGCATTATTGTCACCGGGAGTTGCTCACATTCCCGGGTATCCAAACAAAGCAAAGTAGTTTGCCCAAGATGGGCTGTCACGTCCTGGAGCGGTAAACATCATCGAAGCTTCTGTACCTGGCTATGAGTGCATCGCTCATGTTGTGTCGTTCTCCTCGATTGGTGATCATCATGAAAAAATCTGCAATTCTTTGGAAAATTTTGTGTCGAGTTTCTGGATTTCTCATGCCTTGATTGTGGGTGTGGTCCAGCAACATCAAGATTATTCTCTGGATTTTGTCTGCGTCACTCCATTGTTCTTCTGCAAGTGCCACATTGAGTTGAAGGCGCAAGTCGTCAATGGAGGTCTCAAGTTCACCTTGCCTTGTCGATAAGTCTCTTTCTGGATTCAGAAGGTGATCCTCCGTCCTCTCAGATTCTGATTCACCTCCCTCTCCATAGACAACTCCACTCCAAACTCCAGGGTCATTGCTCGAAGAAGCTGCTGTAGTTGTTGCTGGTGCCACTGGTGGTGGCGGGTCAGTGTCATCACCTGCCCATGCAAATCCCTGCTTTGATGCCTGATCGCACTCATATACTGAGCATGTCCCATGGCATTCATGGCTACTCTGTTGCCTTGCTCAACTGTAAACATGTGACGTCGCTGAACAGGAGTAAGCTCTCGATGCTGGGCAAATCCTCCAATCTCAACCAAACCGTAACGGATTCCATCGACTGAATCTGCCAGCATTTCCATGTGACCTGAAGTCTCAGTCACCTGGTTGCGCAACTGTCCAACTGACCTTTGAACTTCTTGGAGTACTGCCATATGTTCACCAAGAGTTGTGTCAGCCTGTGCAACTTGTAGTGCAAGATGGCCTGCATCAGCTTCAATTGCGCGAATCCGCTTGATGCCCATCCAAACTGCTGCTGCAAGCAAGAGAGTCATGGCTGTGCACCACACAAACAAAATCACCTAGACCAACCTTGAGTGATCATCATGATGATCTTCTGGTGCACACGTGCCAGCTGAAACACCAATTGCACATCCACCGACTGGAAAACCCATAGCGCCAGTGGTAGGCTCATGGCCAATGAGAAGTGCAAGACGTGCAATTGTCCTGGCTGCTTGCAACATTTGTTGATTCAAGTTTCGGTATCTCCACCTCGACGTTCTTCTGCCTGAATTGGGTTGGCACCATTATCGTCAAAGATGCCAATGTCCCTGAGAAGAGTCTTCAGGCGTTTTGCAGACAACACCTTGGTGCCGATATCAGCAACATTGAAGGCTGTGCTGATTTGACTCAAAGCAATCTCCCCATTTCGAACTTGATCCTGTATCCAAAGTATTTTGGCACTCAAGTGCTTCACCTTCCCTGTGCCCTGGCGTGCACTGGAAGAGTCAGTCAGCAAAATGCGCTCGACATTGCCCTTGATCACAAATTCAGCACAACGTTTGATGAAGATGCCGTCACAAAGGGTGGAAACCATTCCATGTAGTTCAGCTTCGCAGCTTGAAAGAGAAATCACCCTTTGGGTACGTGAGCTTGAGTAAACCAAATTACCACATACCATATGGAGACCTGCGGATGTGGAGCGTCCATGTCGTTTGTCACTGCTCCAGTCACTGTCTGAAAAGGACTCCAAAAGCCAGTATTTGTCATTGGTCTGCTTGTGCAAGCCTTGTCCTCCATGAGGTTGTTGAAGCACAACTGCATAGTTGCTGGTTCCCTTCAAGTAAGCCACAAGCTTCTTGAGGTGTCTCATTGCTGAAACTGTGGGGTTGCTCATGTAGCTTGACCGTTCCTTCACCCGTGAAAGCAACATCTGGTCGATCACGTGTGATGTACAAACATGTGCCCACAGCCATTCTGAAAAAGGTCACATCGCTTCCAACCAAACAAGGAGAGTTGTCCTCCATTTGAATTCTAGGATCAGCGGGAGTTGTGGAAGAGCGCAGCTTTCCAAACTTTTCTTCCCAAACCTTGATCAACTTCCCAATGCTGCTGCCTGGGAGTAAAGCCAAACCATCTTCCACACGCAAGATCCTTCTTTTCAGAAAAGAGATTTCTGTTCCAGCAGCAACTGATTGAAAAACGCTGTTGAAGTTTCTCCTTGAACTCATTCCAAAAGTTGTGGCTACCAACGTACATGATGTCATCCACATGGATGAGAATGGCACATTCTGGAGTACGTGCCAAACATGGTTGAACACTGCAAAATTCAAACTTCATGGTCTCATCCAAAAACTCACGCAAGTACCAATACCACGCACGTGCACCAAGTCGTTGGCCAGGAAGGTTCTTGAGCACAACCCATGTCTGTCCTGCCAGCTTGATGCTAAGAGGAGTATGTTGTGGCACTTCCAAGAAAGCATCCTTGATGTCCAAAGCTGCCATCACCTGATCACTGCATAAAAAACCTCCTGCAACATCATTCAAATCACCACATCGTTGAAGCCAAAGCAAAGGTAGCAGGTTCAAAACATGAGTGCTTGGAGCTGGTGAGTAGACATCTTGCCGTCTCTCCAAGAATGCATATTCTTGTGCTACCAGCCTGCTGCGTCGAAGCCATTTGAGTGTTGGCTCACCCTCAGCTGAGTCACCAAACTGTTTGAGGCGCCAATCTCTGACAAACTTTGTGCTCAGTTGATGGCTCTTCTCTGCAATGCCATCATAGTCAGCTTCACGCTGGATAACACCCATGCTGGTGAGTCGAGAGAGTTCTGTTTCATCGGCCAAATCATCACGCCACTGTGGAGGTTCTTCAGGCTTCACATTGATATCAGCATCTGACCACAACTGCAGAGGAACACCTAAAAAGCTCGATGGATCATCTTGCCAGTGATCTTCATCTTCCTCATGATCGGTCATCTTGAGGTCCTGGCCGTAGTCGTCCATTGTATGAAATTCTGATCCATCATAAAACTTCACTGCCCGGATCAGTGCTGAATGTTGCTCACTCAATTGCATGACCCTGGGTTTCTTTGAGCCCTGCACCTTGGCCTTCTTGTGGATCTGTTCATCAGCCGTCTCCTCCTCACCATGGGCTCTAGTTGTTGGATGTGTCCTTGGAGTCACAGGCACATCAGTTGAGCCTGCTGCTGCCGCTGAGCTTGAAGGTGCTATGACAGCAGGGGTCATTGGCACTTCGAAGAAAGAAGGAGGTGTAGAAGGACCAGGAAGTCCCAACGCTGGGTTTGCCATCTCTTGAGATTGATCATCTCCTCCCTCGACTGGATGATCGAAAATGCCAACTGGATTGGGATGCTGTACCAAACTTGCATCTTCAAGTCCAACCTGCGGCTGTTGCTCCATCTCCTGCATAGGGTTCTGCTTGTCGTGGATGGCCATGTTGGCTGTTTCATAGTCCTCACGTTGCTCTTCAAGAGTTTTCTGCCTGTCTGCCTCAGCATCCTCATCAAAGAACTTGGAAGATTC